ACGAATATAAATGCCCGGAAACACGTTCGATGAACTTTATTGAAAATGCATGGACGACAAGATGAACAGGTGGTGTGCGTGCGGGCTGGTCCTTTGGCGACTGCTTCTCAGATAGATCTTTTTCAACCGTGCCAAGAGCTTGAGACAACTTTTGTCCTATCTTGGTCAGAAGCCAACCAGTTGCAATGTCGAAATGTACGGAGACAGAAAACACTTCGATGGCAATTTCGGGCAGTTCAGTCTCAGTACTTGATTTAGCCCGTGCCTCAACAAAGTCTCTTCCGAACCTCGTAGATTTGTAAGCTCTAGAGGCAAGTAGACTTTCTTCGGGTGCAGAGTCTCCAAAGCTAACTGTGGATTCATTCAGGTCACTGTCTGTATTCTCCTTCTGTGACACAGGCAATGGTTCGTCTGACACTTCTTCTTCTTTTTCGGTATCAGGAGGCGAGAGCCACAGCAAAATCTTGTCAACAGTCAATACCGACTTTCTCATCTCATTGATTCTGTGCAATCCAGGAGACGACGGGGTTGAGGGGCCGTCCTTGTGCAATGTCTGAGATTGGGCTTGGTCATCCAAATCATCCTTCTCAGTGATGTTGTCTTCTGATGGGGCTGTGTATCTTGAATTCGCTTCATCTTGAACTTGGGTGGACTGTGCCGGCTCAATAGGTGCGATGTTTTTAGATCGGTCATCAAAGGCACTCTGGGAGTTTGAGGCACCAGCAAACGAGCCCCAGGCGCCTGGCATTTGTGGCATGAAGCTCTCACTCGCATCCTGGCTGATGGCACTCATATACAGACTTTGTGCTTCATCGTGGGAGAAAAGCTGGGACTCGTTTAGATCGGCATTTGGGGTTTCTTCTCGTGAGCCCGTGCTGTCAGGCTCTGACCGTGGAGGAGATGTACGGGAGTGGTGGGATGATATGCTCAACTGTGATCTTTCGTTATGTTCATTTTCGTTGTAATCATTGTAACGCTGTATGGATGGCGTGGTTTCGTCAATTTCAGAGCCGATTTGGCTGTGATGTGTGTCGTAAGTTTGGGACATATGATAGCTGTCAGAGGGGATTATGGGCTCGCCAGAGTGTCCAACCTGTTGGCTCTGATACAAGCTTTGTCGACCACGAGCCAAGTGGCTTCTCCATTCACTCCCGGTCTCTCGGTCTTCTTGGGGGTGTATTACCGGTGACTGCTCATCATCAAAATCATCAAATTGGGTGTCAATAACCGAGTCTAGGTACCCCGGGTTGTCTTGGAAGGGGTCATCCCCAAATATCCGAGAATCTTCCAGATATCCACCGCGATGACTACCTGAGTCAGAGTCGGCGTCTGAGAATCGACCGTGGGAAAATACAGATGCCTCCAAGTTGTCTGTAGTGGTGCTAGAATGGCCGAAAGCTTGCGGCGGCTCGAAAATAGTTGACTGGGTCATGGCAAGGGGCTCTTCCTCGGAGCGATCCAATGGAGAGGGTGATGGCGCTCTGCTTGACGGCTGGCTCCCTTTTGACCGCATAGTCGTCGACGGGGATGCAGGTGCCGTGAAACGAGAGTAGTTTGAGAACACCAATGGGTCCGAAACCAAACCAACATTGATATCGGCTATTGAGATGAGTCGCTTCCCTTCTCGGAAAGGAAGACCCTCCTCCGAGCCGGCAGGTTTCTCAGATACCCCGTGTACATCGATTTCCCCCACGCTCAACAAACCCGCGACAAGGTCCGGCTTATGTTCAGGTTGCCGTTTTGATGTTCCGTCTTGCTTCAACTCCATATCCACTCGCACAACTGCATCTTTTATTTTGAGCTGGAGTCGATCCACAACGCCTTTCAAGAACCCAGCCACAAAGCTCGGCAATGATAGAGTCTCATTCCCAAGACCGAGCTCGTTATCATTATCGTCATCGGATGACCAGGCTAACGGGTCATGGGGCAGGACTTGCGACTGCGACGATATCGCAGCTTGCAGCTCTTCCCTTTCCTCCCTTGGCTCAGACTCAAGGAATGACTCTGCAAGACCAGACGGTGTGGGCACCGCCAAATAGTCATCCTTTTTGCCTTTCCTTTTTGTGTGTTGTCCCCTTTTCGGCTCCTCTGACAATAAGCGAATATGTACGTCAATGCCGGTGGCCTCGCATAGGATGCCGCTGTTGTGGAAATCGGCAGGAAGGGTGATTCGAAGAAGCTGAACCCGAACGCTGAGTAGCTCGCACGATGGAGGAAGATTAAGTAGAGTCGATAATTTCTATCCCGCGATGTAAATAGTCAGCCCGCACTGCTCCGTATGTTGCGTTCGATGATCACGGAAGGCGGCCCCGCCGCTAGCGGAGGGTCACTACACCAACTCACCTCTAGTTTGAGGCCAACATCCTTCAACTCGATGGTAGATCGTTGTCCCCAACGGATGCCTAGGTTATCGGGATCCAAGGCATCTGTGTCGACCAGGCCCAGGCGAGACAAGGCGTATTTGAGGAGCCGCTTCTGGAAGAACGATGGCATGAAGTACGACGCCATCGTGACTGTGAGCCGGGACAGGGCTCGTTCATGTGTGGACTCGTATCATCGAAAATAGCTTAACAAAAACAATAAAGCAGCCAGCTCCGACAAAGCGGAGTGGATGGGGGGAGGTCGTGAAGGGGGGAATGTTCAACAATGACGTTCCGGCACCTGATAAAGGCGATAAGTGACCCGAGTCAGGCGCCGACGTGCCAACTCACCGATTGACAACAGATTTGACCAATTATCTTCTCATTGACTTGTGATATGTTCCAAGTTACTTCAATAATTCCCAAATTTGACCTACACTAGTTGGACTATTGTCAAAAATGGTCTTCGTGTTCTCATATTTGTTCCTGCTAAAGCTACTATGTATGTGACTTGTATATTGTGATCCACATGACCGAACTTCAATCATCCCCAGCATCGAATTCAGCGAACTCCAGCACAACCCACTCGCAGAATTTCTCGAAATCCGCGGCGAAATCCCGCAGACGCTCGGATTTAAGTCCCTTCCCCATAACTCCATTTTGAATTCCAGCTTTCCACTCGGCGGTCGACTCGTCTTCATAACAGCTCCACCGGATGGAGTTCTGCGCCATCATTGATAGGCCGACCAAATCCACATTTTCAAGTCCCTGCAAAGCCTGCCAGAAATCATGAGTCAACCCATTCCTTCCATGGCCAAGAATTGCGGGGTCGTCGTTGCACAGCGAAACAGGGACACCTCTGGACAGTAATGCGGGCAAAGGATGGGATTTGATGGAGCTAGCAAGGCGGAGCACTTCGTTCGAGATCGGGCAGCATTCAACGAGGATCTTCTTCTCTTTGACTAAATCAATGAGCAGAGGATGCTTGTAAAGCGAGAACGCATGGCCGATTCGTCGAGTGCCAAGAAGGATGGCGTCGAAGAGGTTGTGGTCTGTCGCGTCGCCGTCGCCGAGGCATTCTCCAGCGTGGAAAAAGAAGGGGATATCAACGCCTTCTTCTGCACATTGCTTTCGGAACCAGAACAGTACCGGGACGAGGTCGACTAGCGGTCTTCCGTTATCCTCTTGGCCAACAAGATCAAACCCACTGATCAGATCAGGGAACTCCTGCTTCGTTTCGATGCACTGCTTCATGCTGTTGACAATCGCCTCATTGCCAAACCACCGGAGCGTAGTCCAAATAATACGAGGATCGTAGAAGTCTTTCCCTTCATCCGTTTGTTTGAACTGAGCCACGACATCTTCCACTACGCGACACCACTCGAAGTAGCCTTCTTCGGGTTTGTCATTTCCTTCTTTCCGAAATTGGAAAACGAATCCAATGCGGAACTCCACATATCGAATTCCATCCTCGGCAAGCTGTCCGAGCAACCGGAGCAAACAGGCACGGAAGATAGGCTCGTACATCAAGAGAGAGTCGAGAATGGGGAAAGTCTTTGTGAAGATAGACCAGATTGCGTCCACTCCATGGTGGTGGTGATATGAATGCTCCGGCACAAGGACACATCGAGTGTTCAACCATTCCCGGAATCCCTTCTCTCCCCCGTTGGGGAAAGAGGAGGCGGCCTTCTGGATCGAGATTAACGACGAGGCCTCGTATGTTTCCGACCAAATAGTTGGCTTGTCTTCGGATGCTTCTAGAGGCTGTGAGGAATACTGGAAAAGTACGGGCGCTTCTTCGTAATCCTTGGCTGTGATCAACGGCCTCGGCGCTAACATGTGTATGCCAGGCGTGGAGAATGCTAAATCAATTAGGAAGTCAATGTCGAACATGGCATCCATGTGGGCATGCAGAAGGGACCCCTTTGGCATCTTTTCCACGATTTTCCATAGTTTAGTCGTCTCCATGCGGCCTTTGGCTAGATTGAACATGACACCGGGGTAAAGGATCTCATCTGCCTGGTGGGCCACATGCTCTTCCAATCCACTTGTCCACAGCTCATTCTGTTCCTGCGCTCGGATCTGTGACACGATCTTTGTCGCCCGGGCGGCAATAGGTGATAGAGATTTGCGCAGATTTGCATCTACAAAACAAAGTCAGAAAGGGGTTTTTTTTTTTTTTTTTTTTTACTTGATTTGGGTGAGAAATATACCGTGACGTCGCTTTTTCTCTTCCATAATTAAAGCATCACGTCCTTTCAGATATTGTTGGATAAAGGGATCCCCAACTTGAGGGATGCCCTCTTCCAGTTCCCACTCATTCTCTGTATTTGCCATGATTTGAAGTGATGCAAAATCGAAAGGGTTGTAGAGTAATCAAGGCTTAAAGTGGGCCGGATTGTCGGGAGGGGAAAGATACGCTCCCCGCCTTAACCGTTTTCGTATTTTGGTTGCCCAGGATTATATCCTCAACTTTCTTTTGATTGGCGCAGACTTGAAACAGCTTACAGATGGAACATTATTGGAACATTGGAAATGCGGTTGAGCTGATTTATTCACCCGCATTTGTGCATAGCCTAAGGTAACTATAATATACCTCGATTTTTGCTATGATCTAGTACCTAGAATTCTATATTGATTTCAACACGTATCCCCGGCAAGTGCGATCCATCTGGAATGCCACTCCCGCAAAGCCACATGCTGAACATATGTCAAACCTCCGTCGGGCGTTTCGGTTTGCTCTCCATTGTTCCACTGCATCAACCCCGTAGAATACATGCGCCATACATCCCAAACAAGAACACCTAGTCTCCGATACGGTTGTATTCTTATCAAGGTGTAGTTATGATCTGGCCCTTGATACGCCAGGACCCGGGCCCAATCTTTATACATCGCCATTTGGCTGGGGGCCTTGCCACAGTATCCGAGACCAAGATGCCACGCTTCTGTCACTGAATCGGTTCGAGGCGTTGATGGTGAAGGCCAAACTGTGATATCCATGCTCCTTTCGAGATCAAAGGAGAGGAAAAGTGGTGGTGGTGTCTCCATTGTGTACCACCACACTCCTTGTAAAGATTCCTCATCTTCACCCTGGTACGGGTAGGAGTAAATTGGACTGAAACCCAGGTCGGCTAGTACTGCGGCAACAGTGGCAATGACTTCAGAAGTTAGGTAGTCGATGGAGTTCCATGTGTGGTACTCTTTAAGCCTTTTCATGGAATCTTCAGACCAATTCAAGCGAGATCCGTAGTTATGCAGGTCGGAATAGTGTCGTAAATGCCACAGAGCCCAGTAAATATTAGACTCCTCGACCCAGGAGAAGGGTTTGGCTGCCTTTTCGGCACGAATTGATCCAGACAAAGATCCCACTGGCAAGCCACTGACGACGGAAATGAAGTTCTGCTGCATCGTCGATAGACATTTACACGCAAGGCGTTGGATCTGGGCAGAAATGCGTACCATCTCCAACACTTCTGCGCCATAGCTATGAATATCAGGCTGGTGGTGAACACCGTTGGTGCATTGGATGTATTCCTCTAGACTGTGGACGTTGAATGGGGGGCTGTGGAGAAGCCTCACTTTCTGGGTGATCTCTTGAATGGGGGCGGCTGATGCAATTGTGTTCGATGCCACCAGCCCTTGAAATAATAGTCCTGGCCGATCATGGAAGATGGCATCCACTCGGGGCGAGGCTATCAGGAGACTTTCTATACCCACAAAGTCCGATGCGCAGAGGAGAATGTGGTTTATGAGCTCGGCGGGAAGCCGTTCAAATGGGTCCATTGCGAGGAAGCAAAAGAGGTCACTAGGGAGGAAGCTGGGGTGTCTCTATAAACAAGGGAATCCATATTCTTGAGCACCACTGATTTCACCACTGGAGTCATAGCCTATGTATCTGTCTAGGCAGCAAAGCTTGGCAGGGCGGGGTGGAAAAGGGGTGGGGTGGAAACTGGTCGAACTAGATGTGCTAGTGGAATACCTAGATGAATTAAGCGAGGGACTCTGGGAGAAAACAGCCAGTTTGTTTATCGCAATGTGGGAGTGCACTTGATCCCGTAAAATTAGATTTGGTATTTTTGGATTTCGTTCGGGCTTGCACGCGGTGGCCGTTTGCCAGTCAAGATAGCAATCACTTGACGGACAGAAGCAATGGCAATGTGTAATTCAAGTGCGGATATCTCCATCAAGTATATTCTAGGCAAGGTCTTGAAGGAGGTCAGTTGATCTAATTCGGATTTAGTCGAGCAAATTCCCTTGTGACAGAGACAAGAGTCTGCATTTGCATTTCCGGGACCTCCCGGAGGCATTTGAAACAGCATTGTAAGTTAAGAGGGATATGAATCCGCAAATTTTGCGGCAAATAGCACAAGGCTTCGTGCATTGTGCGTTAGTAGAGAAACAGGATGCCGTATTCGCGCAGTAAAGGTTTAGTCCATGCGAGACTCCCATCTGTCTTAATATGTAATTTATTTGTCGAGAAGAGAGAATGCCGAGTCCAACATTCAATGTCCGCTAGAAAACTTTTGCTATCAACAGATGAATTCTAATGTGTTCAGGAGGCGTCCCTGAACAATCCCTTGCAAGCCGTGTAAGACAATGTTGTAAAACTAAATCAAGGGCTGGCTGCATCATTTGCCGGAAAATGTCTCTTCCGGCAGGCGCGCTCTATTGATATTCAGCTATGGTGTCGACAGCCCATTATCGTTGAAAAGTTAGTATCTTACTGTGTATGTCCCTGCATACAAAGTCGAAAGGTTAGCCTTTCGTAATTTCAAAAAGAGTTCAATGTAGATTCAATGAGGACCAAGGGATAATCCTGAAATACAGCCGCTGTCTTACGCCATGAGGCTTGGACTAGGTTTCTCTTTTGCCGAGATATTAGAAGCTGCTCCCATGTCTATAATTGGCTTGACACCCCAGATGGCTGAACTCTGTCCCCAATTCGGCCTTACTATGTACGGATACTCCCTGGACTCGGAGCGTGCTGCATCGAGCTAGGACATTGACCAAACGGGTTTGATGAGGTACGCGTTCTTTTTATTTGGGAAAAGGGATAGCAATCAATTGTTATCACCTGTAAAAATATCCGAAAGCTTGGCAAATCTGATAACTTTTCAGGATTTTTCTTCGATGCGCGCTTTCCGGTTCATGGAGAGAACTTCGTTGGCCCCTAATGCCAAGGTTCCATAATAAATTTCCAAGCAGCCACAGGAAGCTTGAACCGACCTTGGAAGCGAATAGACCCGATGGGGTCTCCATGACGGTAACTGAATGCGGTAATGATCTCTAAGCCACTGGCGATCTGATTAGATCTTGTCACTAGCTGACGCCGGGTCGTCTTTGGTTCTAGTGGAGAAAGGGTCCACGGGCTGGGCGAATATGTTTGGATTACATTATATTTACATCGCGTATGTTGTAACACTTTTGATATAGGAGGAAGGGATTGTCAATTTGACCCACATATGAGCATTCAAAACACAGCAATCCAATGTGCCGACTTCGGTGGTTTATGTGGGAATTTCGCATGTTTTATCTTATATTTTACTTGCCTTTCCCTTGTGGTTTCAACATACTCTTGAAACCTTCAACCTGTTTGAGTTCTTGGAATTTTGTGTTTCATATCCATTGTCATGGCGCTTCGTCCCTTGATACAAAGGGCCCGGTCGGTGCTTCATCGAATGAAAGTCGACAGAGACGAGGCTGCAAGTTCTTCGGTCGACGTGGACAGAAATACAGTAGAGGCAGAGAAGTCAGACGGACCAGTCACCCATCCCGAAGAGGCACTTCCAAACAATGGTGCCGAGCTACCCGGTGTGCCCTTTGAAGAGCTTCAACATGGTATCCAAGAAGTTGAGGCCGTGGCTCAGACCTGGTCGAAACTGTCCTTGGTCTTCGTTTTCATCAAGTAAGTCAATTTACCCCCATCCTCTGTACTTTTGTTAATATTATACTTTCAATAGTATGTGGTTCCTTTACTTCACTTATGCCTGGATATCGTCAGTTGATGGTAGCTTGAGCACTTACGTCGCTAGCTCTTTCCAACAACACTCCCTATCTGGACTTCCTACCGCCATTGCAGATGCTTTTTCCGCTGCCGTCTTCCTTCCAGTGGCCAAGATGATGGACACTTGGGGTCGAGCCGAAGGGTTCCTGGTAATGTCGATTTGTGCCACCGTGGGGCTGGTTCTCATGGCCTCTTGTAATAGTTTCGCTGTCTATTGCGCCGCAAATGTAAGAGACACCGGGTATATCTATGAAATATTGAGGGGGTGCTAATAGGGAATCTAGGTGTTTTACTCCATCGGCTTTAGAGGCATGCAATTCGCCGTGGATGTTATGACTGCCGATCTCTCGCAGTTAAAGAACCGAGCTCTGGCATATGCTTTTACGTCTTCTCCATACATTATTACGGCCTTTGCTGGACCAAAGGTGGCCGATCTATTCTACGCCAATACTGGCTGGCGGTGGGCCTATGGCACTTTCGCGATCATCTTCCCTATCGTGGCTGCTCCGTTGTTCTTCGTCCTAAAGTTCAATTTGTCAAAAGCCAAAAAGGGAAATGCCGTGGTTACCAGAGAGAACAGTGGACGATCGTTCCTTCAAAGTGTCTGGTTTTGGACTCTCGAGTTCGATTGTGAGTATTTCAAACTGCCAACTGATTCTTCTACACAAAGCTAATACCTCGTATAGTAATCGGAGTTTTCATCTTTACTGCAGGACTTGTCCTCTTTGAGCTTCCATTTGATATTGCTAGCGAGGCTCCTAACGGCTGGGGCACAGATTATATTATTGCTATGATTGTGGTTGGATTCTCGATGCTCTTCTTCTTTGCTTTCTACGAGAGGTACATCGCTCCTACGCCTTTGCTCCCCTACTCCTTCCTCACCAATCGAACCGTCGTCGGTGCATGTCTTTTAGATGCCACGTACCAGCTTTCGAACTATTGCTGGAACAACTACTTCTCAAACTTCCTTCAAGTGGTTAATGATCTCACTATTGCCGAAGCAGGGTATATCACTAATACATTCGATGTGGTTTCTGGCGTACTTTTGTTCTTTGTTGGATGGGTGATCCGCAAAACCGGTCGCTTTAAGTGGCTCCTTTACATTTCCGTTCCTCTATACATCTTTGCTCAGGGTTTGATGATCTACTTCCGTCGTCCCGGCCAGAGTGTCGGTTACCAGGTTATGTGTCAAATCTTTATCTCCATTGGCGGCTCGATCTTCATCATCGTCCAGCAGCTAGCTATCCTCGCTGCCGTTGATCACCAACATATCGCTACAGCCCTTGCGTTGCTCAATGTGGTCGGCACCATCGGAGATTCTGCAGGTCTTACTATTTCCATGGCAATCTGGAACAATACATACAAGAAGGCCCTCACGTGGTATCTGCCAGACTTGGCAAATTTGGATATGATTTACGAAGATCTCGAGACGCAGTTGAGCTACGCTCCTGGTACACAGATGAGAGAGGCCATTCAGAAAGCGTACGGCTATACACAGGTTAGGATGCTTTCTGCTGGCTTGGGTGTGATGGTTCTGGCATTCGCCTGGACTATCATGGTCAAAAACATCAACCTGAAGAAGGTTGCTCAGGTCAAGGGTATGGTGTTCTAAGGTATCAACATGGACCTCAGAATGTTCATCGCCTGTCATCCGCCGTCCAAATTTTGTACTGTGTTTGTCTGCACAATTCGATTCCTCCTTCTGCTGTATTTACTAGGTTTTAAAGCATGTTATGGTGTCTGCCATAAATATATATTGTTTCATTTCTTCGATTTTCGACGCTTTGATTCTTATCCATTCCCTTTGGATCTGTTATTTCTTTCAAATTTATCGAGGGAAATTTTTGAATCTAGCTACATTATCGTGATGGCTAAAGCGGATGTTGTGGTTTCAAACCCCAATTCAACTACTATCACAGTCTCGGCAGTACTACGTAAGATTTCTAATTTCTAATATTGAAATTCCTTTACATACTGATATACGTGATAAGAATATTTGGCCGCTTATATGGCCGCTTATATGGCCGTATGATATGATGTCTTTTTCTTGGGTTTTTTAGATATTTCGTTTTAGATATGTAAATAACATATGTAAAGGTGGTGAAAAAAAGTATACTCTATATACAAGACTTGGCTATACATAATATTTGATTTTAACTTTCAAGCCCGCGGATCTTCTCTTCCTATACACGATACTTTATACCTTAGCTGTTATACCCCGTATAATAAGGTGAGGCCTCAAAATATGCGCGGATTTTTATAACTATATATAACACAAATCATACCCTACATTCACGACTGAAGACGCTTTTTGTCTAAGTTGTACATTACTACGACACTTCAGATAGACAGCTCCAATATTACTAATAACTAATTAATTTCCAGCCTCGCATCGTGCATACTTGTAAAGTTAAAATGCTACGTAGAAATATTAACCAATGAGAGAGTTATGTCCCGCATGCTATATTTACCTAGTCACTCCGGATATAGTAATTCACAGGGCCACAATTTACATAATGAATGTAAGGCTTGGGTACCTAGGTAGCGTGTTATTATGTGTTACTATGTATTTTCTCGCCGATCTGGCATTGCTGGAGAAACATGTTGCACAGATATTCGCCAAGACACAAGGTCCAGCTTGTCCCGTAAACGCCACTCAACTTGATAGGTAGCTTGGTAGCTCTCAGTACCTCCAAAAGACAAGGATGTGTTGATCCCTCGACCTAGATATCGTTGAATGGAAGCTATTGTATTTGATTTGGAATGCAATTTCTAGTGATTGAGAAATATTCATTTTCGTTGAAGTTTCCTTGTTCAACTTCGTAATTAGAGTAACAATCAAATTAACTATCTCCCAATATGAACGATAGAAGTAGACCTTTTCGCGATAGGAATAACACCTGAAATTGAGTAGAAAAGATGAATGAATGATCCCGTACAGTCTAGATGGATAAAATGAGGTAAAATGGTGAATATTTTAACAATTTTTTATGGTAGAACAAAATTCCCCTTGCCCTGAGATAATCAAGGGATAAGTGGTATCCTTGCATTAGTCTTGTAACGATGCAAACCTTATTTCTAGATGGAAGCTATATTAAACAAGCTCCCTGTTGGTACTACATGCTCCCAACGGAACCTCAATTCAGGACGAACCTTGGAAGTTGTGTCCATCTGTACTGTTCGGCATATCCTACCTATACTTTATGGTCATTGAAAAGTCATGAAGCAAGCGGCGGGTATTCTTACCTTAGGTCTCGCGGCATTAGCTGTGCAGGCCGAGGAAACGGCTAAATGCGAGAGGACTAAGGTTGCTGTCTTGTATGATCATCCTCTATGCCTCACACATGGATGTTTGGAACGAACCAGAACTAACAATCCACAGGGGTGCGGGTGTGGCTGGAGTAACAGCGGCGGTAAGCTTGCCCTTATACCAAAGATGACCCCCCTGTCTACATATTAAATGCTCATGTGTACAAAAAACAGAAATCGCTCTCAGACAATGGGATTGATGACTTTCTCCTGGTTGAGTACCAAGACCGCATTGGAGGGCGTATGCATGATGTGAGCTTCGGCAGCGGGCCAGATGGCCATCCGTATACAGTCGAAGCAGGAGCGAACTGGGTAAGCTTTTACAGTGCCTGTTTGAAGAGGGTTATAGGTGGTTTACTTACTGGTATCAGGTGCAAGGAACAGTTCAGGGTGATGGCCCTGAGAACCCAATTCACACTCTGGTAAATCACTCCACGCGGATATTGTTATTTTATGCAGCTAACGCCTTTCTCATAGGCCAAGAAGAACAACATCATCACCCTGTATGTATGGAGGTTGAGAAATCAAGATATGATTGCTAATGACCATTGAAGGGAAACCGACCAGGATAACACGACATATTTTGATGATAAAGGTCCGGCGGATTACGAGTATGCGATTCGCGAGTTCACAGACGCTGTCCACAAAGTTACCATTGACGCGGGCTCCCTCCTAAAGGACAACCTCCAGGACCGGTCTTTCCGTGCCGGATTGCGTCTCCAAGGCTGGGACCCAGCCAAAGACGATTCCTACCGACAGACTGCTGAATGGTGGTTGTTTGATGGTGAATTTGTTTACACTCCTAGCGAGAGCTCTGAAATCTTTACCTCAGTGGCCGAGAACGCGACCTTCAACTATTTCTCTGAGGAAAATCTTTTCGTATATGACCAGCGTGGCTTTGCGACTATCATTCGGGAGGAAGCTGCGGAATTTCTGTCAGAAAACGACAGCCGTCTCCGTCTTAACACGCAGGTGACTGGCGTCGACTACAACAGGGACTCTGTCACTGTGCGGACGAATCAGGGTTGCATAGATGCTGATTACGCTATCATGACCTTCTCGCTGGGAGTTCTTCAGAAGGATGTTGTGGACTTCGCCCCCCACTCCCTTCTTGGAAGAAAGAAGCCATCCATAGCTTCGAGCTTGGAACCTACACCAAGATTTTCATGCAATTCCCGGAGCCCTTCTGGGATAACGCACAGTACCTCATCTATGCGGATCCTGAAACTCGAGGCTACTATCCCGAATTCCAGCCCCTTGACCTCCCGGGTGTGTTGGAAGGGTCGGGTCTCATGATCGCGACCGTTGTAAACGACCAGTCTTACCGGGTAGAGGCGCAAACCAATGAAGAAACACAGGCTGAAGTCATGGAAGTCTTGCGCAACATGTACGGTCCGGACATCCCAGACCCGACTCATCTTTGGTACAAGCGGTGGACACAAACTCCTTGGTAAGTTTCTGCACCACATCATCCGGGGACCCAGAACATCACTAACGACACTAGGGCGTATGGATCTTACTCCAACTGGCCCCCTCAACTAGTCTGCAAGCGCACCAAAACCTGCGTGCGAACGTCGGAAATGTGTTCTTCGCAGGCGAGGCCACTAGCCAGGAATTCTTCGGCTACTTACAGGGCGCCTACTTTGAAGGCAAACATGTGGGTGACTTCATTGCCAGTTGCTTGCAGGAAAGTGGCAATTGCACAGTTACGGACGAGCAGCAAAAGTATGCCGTTCTGACTGGAGTGACACCATACAACCTGTACAATTATGATCATGGCTGGTTCGTGGATACAATCGCTTGATATATCCATACTATCCCACAGAGGGCTAGAGTTTAGGCAGACTGGACATGGCGGTGGATATCGGCCTAACGAAGCCGACATACCGAAGGATTTATTAATCCTACATGTTTTCTCTCGGCTGCAAATACCTCTGTCTCGTCCACTCATGTATACTATTTACTTCTTAGCTATAGGATCCTGTATGGGATCTGTCCTGACCTCGCACGGTTGCGTCAGGATGCAAATTGCTTCCATACCGGTACTTCGCAATGTAGCCACCACAACCAGAGCGTAATTCATATCTATGTCTAAGTTATAACACGGTAAATACTCGGAAAGATAACGCAGGCCACTTTGATTCTATGTAAAAATTCACTTGAGGTCGAAAAGAACAACCAGAACAGCGAGTTCTCTTTTAATCATCTTCCAAACCCAAAACCTGGAGAGACAAGGACCACAGCCTGGCCTCTTTCTTCGCGTCATAGGCCCAAGGTGCATATCCGGGACCCCACTGTCCGGCAGATGGCTGATACGGTTTGGATATTTGGCAATCCTCCAAATATTTGCCGCCTGCTCCCTCGAGATCTTTCGAGGTTGCCGCCCAGACAGTCGTTGCTGCACCTTGCTCGGGGCTCTTTAGCAACAGACCAAAGGACTTATCCTCCAAAGAAGCCTTCAATTCATCACTAGGGATATGTCGGCCTAACTCGGTAGCGATGGAACCGGGGTGTAGGCTGAAGGCATGCAGACCTTTAAAGCCATATTTACGGGGTACATTCTCTCATGAAGTCTAGGCTAGCTCGCCCGACCTAGAGTAGTTATAATACGGCTATCCATTACTTTATTACATTATATAAAAACTTTCCCAATTAACAGGAACTACATTGCCGATAAAGAGACTATATCACCTGAATTTTAGTGATAGATCGACTGGCTTGATACTTTCATCTCTGGTCCAAGTGAGGCACTTCAGAAATGGTTAACAAATCTGAAATCTGCTCGCATTGATACCAAAGGTTGGAGGAACTAGAGGACAGAATGCGGGAAAGATAACCTGCTTAGAGTGAGTGACATTAGCTCGGGGGACGGTGACGAATGATAGGACTTTTTATGGCTCATGTATTGATGACTATAGTACGGCTATTTCCACAATGGGTTGACTCTATACCATATTTTTGGAGTCTAATAGAGCGACCTGCAGAGACAATAACCGGCGGATGGACTAGCGAACGAATATTTTCACCACTCTTTTTGCTTTAAATATGTATAATAATTCCATATTGGGAATACGAGGATGTGGATGTTTCCACCCCACAAATTTCCATGCATGGCAATTGGCGTTGCAATGAAATAAGATAATGGGTATCGGTATAGGCTTCAAGAAGGTGAAGAGGAAAGGAAGGGTTACCAAGCTCTTATATAGATTGAATCGTCACCAATACGCTTCTTAAGCAAGCCTAAACCAATCTTTCAACAACCTGAGATGTCTCATTCTGCATTAATGCTCCGCCAGCAGTCGATATTTTCCACCGAGCAGTATAATTAGCTGGGTTGTACTGACTTTCGCACCAATCGAACGTAGCTGCGCAAATTGAAGGATTTCAGTGACTTGGTACCATTGGTGGCCCGCAATGGAGCGAAGGAGAGAAATGGGGGCCATAAGCTTGGCGTAAGATCAGATAATACGAACAACCCTATTGAGACAATAGAGGGAGCCGATCTCGGATGTATCTATAGCCTGTTTCTTGGGGGCCAAAAGATTATCAGATCAAAAGATATAAATAGAACCTCATTTCCTCGAAGAACATCTCAATTACCATCTCTTCTTCGACCTCTTTTAAGCATTGAAAACCATAACAAAAATCACCATGAAGCTCTTCAACGTCGTTCTTGTTGCTGTTCTTGCTGCTTTCGCCAATGCTGCTGCTGTCCCCAACGCCGAAGCGGCTTTGAACACTAACCCTCTTGAAAAGCGCTGCAAAGGAAGTATGTTTCTATCATGACTATGATAACTCTGCTATAGTTACCTCTTTGGAGTGTTAGAAACATGAGGCTAACTCTTCATGTGATACTAGCTCGCAGCCCCTGCTATACCGCCAGCGAATGCTGTAACGGTGTGTGTGTCAGTGGTGGCACTGCCAACAAGTTCACCAAGTACTGCAACTAGGAACCTTTGCCTATTTAATTAAAGTATGCTCTAGTGTATCTATCTAACAATATACAATGTTACTGACCAAATATTATCACTCACAGTTGTCTCTGGGGCTTGGGACTTGTACGGAACTTGTTAAAAGTGCAAGATAGAAAATAGTCATTACATGTATTCAAACAAACTGACATATTCAAAGCCAATTTGTACATAATAAGATGTGTTGACAGTATTATTTGGTGCTTTTTTGCTTCCCTACTTCGGATATCTTCAATGGTTGCTTTCTTGTCGGTCATCTTCCTTCAAACTTCCATCCAGAGACTGCTCTGTCCTGATCTACCTTATTTAGTACATTTCTCCGGATTTTGAGCCTGTTTCCGATAGCCCACTTCTTTTAACCAACACATACCGCATTCAAAGTTCGTTCTGCGGCGAAGCGTCACTCCACGCCGTGAGATCCTCAATCCCCGGGGCCATCACGTCACCAGTCACCAGTCACCAGTCACCAGTCACACCCATCAGTGCCTATGCGCCAACGACTTGGACGGTTACTAAATATTTCGCGCTTCTAGCACGTCTCTCCGCACTCGACCAGCCTGTCCCAGTCGCAACCATGTCGACAATTTCCGAAGAAAACTAAATTTTCGACTTCGAAGTCAGCGACAATGAGATAGACGCGGTTGAATTGATTCCCAAGCTGAAGGGTGTATCCAACTGGAGGTAATATGATGCGCACATGTTCATGATTTTGGGGTTCAACAATCGTGCGTATGTGCAGTTGACTAGGGATGAGATTATGATGTCGCCCGCTACCACCGAGTTAAGAAATTTGTCAACCTCCGCTATAAAAGGGGAGATCCTCACGTCTTAGCAATGCGCTTCAATAAGGCTCTCAGGAACTACACTGCTTTTGTTGGCAACATGACACCCATGCAAGAACTCTACCACTTTAAGAGTGCCGTCCTCGGCAACCCTCGGTGTCGTGTGTTCATTCCAAACTTCACGACCAATGAAGAAGACCCCAATTTGATGGACCAGGTCTACCACGATTTTTGCTTGACCATGAGAGTGCACCAAATGTTGTCAAGGTCGTGATGAGGTTATGATACCTCTGGGGTTCTCATTTGGTCATATCTCAATTATTTGTCACACTCATCCTTCTTCCGCTTCCGACCTTCTTCCTCTTTTTTTCTTTCTTTCTTTCCTTGTTTCATTTGCATCCTTATTTCATTTCTATCGGACCTAGGATTTCCTTTCAAAGCGTTGTTTCTTGGCTCCCTCGGAGAACATTGATCTGGCATGTGGCGCAGTGAAGCTTGCCTCGGCTGGGGCAGCATTGGCCCTAGCATAGTTTCGTTCCGTCTCATTACACTAGAAAGGATGATACTGTTGCCAATATTCGTCTTCAATCGAGAAGCAATGAAATTTCCAACACGCCCGTTTTGCCTTTCCGGCTGTTGGTTGACCGGCTGTGTTTTCAATGACCATCTGACATCTCCGTGTTTACTTGCCTACTCCAGGCATCCGGTTTGCTCTCTCTGTTAGGCTTCTTGCAAGTTTCAATTATATAGATACCGCTTTTTCCATCTACCTTGTCTAGTAGGTCGACCAATTGATGAAGCGTAGTGGGAGATGACGGTGCGTTCTGAACTTTGATTATATTGCCACATATTCCTTCATTTTCAGTAGTAGCCTCTTCGATGGGGGCAGAGGAGGATAAATTATACGGAAATCAATTGGCAAATGCATTTTACATGGTATCTTTTGGTGGTGGAAGCGTATTTGCAACCATGAAAGCCTGTCAAGACTCGACCTGTATAACTAATTAGTTATAGACGATGCTTTTTACCTAAATGCCCAAGTACCAAAATTATCAGTGGGTCTTTGATTTTTAGGTGACTGGCTGGATTTTAAGTTATTCAGCCACTGATCACTGGTCAGTGTCAATTTCTGACAAACCTTAAAGCTTTAAGAGCATATACTGTTGTAGTGCCTGGGGCTTAGCCGCGGGGGTTAGCTCTCTAGAAATACATAGGTATTCTCCTCGTTACATGTGGGTTCCAACCGTGGAAGGTTGTCTGAGGATAGAGTTCCAAGGTTATCTATGCCGGCAGCTGACCACCCGTGGATATACCAAATTGATTCCATGGTTGGCATCCTACCTTAGCTCAGTGGGTCCGGGCTAACCATGCGATTACGTAAATATCTGCATGTTCCCACAATCTCGGAGGGCTTCCGAGGTCACGGGCGACAAGGTGACAATCAAAGATGGCCTAATATATGTTGTATCCCTTGGAAGGTCTTAGAATTCATTATACGGAGTAGATGACAAGTTTTTCTATTGCCAAGAAATGCCAAGGTGTGTCTCCTGAAGCGCCTATCTTTCGCTAAAAGATTATCTCTGAGGACCACACGTGTGTCTCTCGGACCTTTACTGCTTATCGAACTTTTCGCTCCCGTCTCCAGTTTTTTTTTTAACGCTAAACCAAAACTTATGGGGCAAATTCAGACATCGATGGGACTCGAGAACAACCCACAATGCAGATCACACACGTTTTGTACAGTAAGTAACTATGTTTTACATGAGTATTCCGTATCTGTTCACATTCAGCCTCCAATCCCTTGCTTAGCGCTCGGGTACCACGACCCCCTGGAGAAACTGGAGAAATCTCAAGTATACCAGCTAGTGAGCTGGGCGGAAAGACCTCGGGAAATTAAGCACACGACCCATATTGCTCCACAACTACCCGGTGCGGAGAGACTTTCGACTTGAGAGAAGTTAGCCTGAACCACACCACCAATCAGTGGAGACTGCAGGGGTTGTTGTGGCAAGATAATGTTACCCTGTCTTATCAGCTTTGCCGTCAATGTGGTTACATGTGGCTGTAGCTGGTTCTCGGCGAGACGGCGTCTCCGCTGTACACCGTCGGTCAATCCATTCATTGGCATTCTTGTAGCCAAACAGGATGAGAAAGGAAGAAGGTCCGATGATTAGTGCGCTGTGCCAATCCTTAGGCGTTCTTTATCTCTGATCCCTCAGCAAATATAATATGCAATAAATTAATTTTTAAAGAAAAAAAACACAACAGGATTCGCGGCCAAAAAAATCCCAACGGGCGATTCCGAATTAATCCTGCCCAGGTGTGTCCGTGTGTTTATTATAAAGGACCAAGTTTTCTCGGTGAAATAAATCTCAGGCGGGTCTGGATTTGTCTGGATTTGGTATTTTCGGGTTTCACTCTTAATTGTAAAATTTTCTCACGGGCGCCTGTACTTTTCGTACCTTGCCAGTGTCCAAGTCTGTGACGGTGAAATCGTGATGGATAAAACCCAGGAAGCTGATCCTGCGGGATCGCAGGTTGTGCATCATGTAGATCCTGTGTTGGAGCCGGAGAATCAGCATCACCATGCTCATCAACACCATACTGCCTTCGCCGAAGAGGGACGTCAGGATGAAGTGGTCTATTCTAAGGATGCAGGATTTGAGAAAGGCATCGTGCCTGAGCAAACACCTCTGGATCACGGCAGCAAAAATTCTAACGACGAGGAAGCCGGTGAAAATTTCCCAGCCAAGCGCACCTGGTATCGCCGTGTGGGAAAACAATGGAGACATATGGCCCATGCTGTGGTCTGGCTTCTGTTTACCGGGTAAGTGAACCATGAACTACTTTCTTTGGTTCTACTCGATTACAGTGGTACTGTATGCCCTGGACTCAACTCCATGCTTACACACACTTCTCTAGCTGGTGGATTGCCGGCCTGATTTTACATCGACATGATATAGGATGGCTCATCCCATTCTTGCTCTATCTTGCCATCACGCTACGAATCATCTTCTTCTATGTTCCCATTAGTATCATATCCAAGCCCATGCGCTGGGTCTGGGATCGTACCGCACTCCCTTTCGTGCGCATGATTCCCGAAAAGCTGAGAACGCCCAGTGCTGCCGCGCTATGCATTGGTGTGATTATTATTGGCTCGTTCGTATCTGAAGAATCACAGGATAACACGCGTGCCAACCGTGCAGTCAGTCTGTTTGGAATGGTTGTCTTCATCTTCGGGCTATGGCTCACATCTCGAAACCGCAAGAAGATCGTCTGGCACACTGTCATTGTTGGCATGCTGGCTCAATTCATTATTGCTCTGTTCGTGCTCCGCACTACTGCAGGATACGACATCTTCAACTTCATCTCAGGCCTTGCCACTGATCTGCTTGGTTTTGCCGCCGACGGTGTCATCTTCTTGACGAGTGAGGACTTCTACAACTTTGACAATGGCTTTGCACCTGGATCGTTCTTCATCGTCAGCGTTATCTCCGCCATTATCTTCTTCGTCGCCTTCGTCCAGCTCTTGTACTACTACAATATCCTGCAGTGGTTCATCGGCAAGTTCGCCGTCTTCTTCTTCTGGAGCATGCGCGTCTCCGGCGCTGAAGCCGTTGTCGCTGCCGCATCCCCCTTCATTGGCCAGGGTGAATCGGCCATGCTGATCCGCCCCTTCATCGCCCACCTGACCATGGCCGAGCTGCACCAAGTTATGTGCTCCGGCTTCGCTACTATCGCCGGAAGTGTCCTGATCGCCTATATCAGTATCGGTGTCAACCCACAGGCAATGGTCAGCGCCTGTGTGATGAGTATTCCCGCTTCGCTAGCAGTCTCGAAGTTACGTTGGCCCGAAGAGGAAGAAACCCTCACTGCAGGCCGTGTCGTCGTCCCCGATGATGAAGAACACCGCTCCGCCAATGCCCTCCATGCATTCACCAACGGCACCTGGCTCGGTCTGAAGATTGCTGCCATGATTGCATCAACCCTCTTGTGTATTATCGCTCTCATCGGTCTAGTCAACGGCCTCCTCACCTGGTGGGGCCGATACCTGAACATCAACGACCCCCCACTGACCCTCGAGCTGATCGTCGGATACATCTGCTACCCCATTGCCTTCCTGCTTGGTGTCTCCCGTGACGGTGATCTGCTCAAGGTTGGCAAGCTGATTGGTACTAAGCTTGTTACCGTAAGTTCCCTATCTACATAATAATTTTTCTCTTCTAACCAGCCATAGAACGAATTTGTCGCCTATGATGCCCTCCAACACAACGCTGAGTACAAGGACCTCTCCGACCGCTCTCGCCTCATCGTTACATACGCGCTCTGTGGATTCGCCAATATTGGCTCCCTCGGTAACCAGATCGGTGTCCTTTCACAAATCGCGCCTGGTCGGTCCAGTGATGTCTCGCGTGTTGCATTTAGCGCTATGGTCACTGGAGCCATTAGTACTTTCACAAGTGCGACGGTTGCCGGCTTGTTGATTACCAATGAGAAGCAGTACTTCAGTACGTCTTCTTAGATACTACTTGGATCTTAATGCGGGCGGTGGTTGTTTGATTTCAACAGGTTATTTGAGTATTTATTTATGGAGTTGTCCAATCCTGATAGCGTCGACTTGAAAATTGTCGGCAGAATCAATTTAATTATGTATTTTTGTTTCTTCACTTCTACGAGGGAAGGACTGTGGCATGCACAGTCTCGTACCGGATTTATTAAATATTGGAAGACTTAAGCTGCGCATATCTTAAGATAAATCTTCCTCTTTCTTCGAAGCGGCATCAGAAGGGCCGTGGATTGCAACGCTATGTGTATCATAGCTGAGGACACGGAGGAAGCTTACAAGAAAGCTTCCTCTAAGAGAAAATGCAAAGAATACGATGTGTATGATAAGCTTTTACCTACAGTGACGCGAACGCTGAGGTCAAGAAAGGATGCGAGTATTGATAACTACGTATGTCAGTTTAAAACATGCTTATTACCCTTGCACAAATTGACATAACTTCAAGCAGAGACCCTTCTATTACTTACTGCAGGAAAGATATGAGTGATACTACCGTTATCGAGGTAGATTAGTAGATATTTTAAGGACATTAAAGCAATACTACAGGCGTTATCTCTTTCATACTAACCAGGCCTTACGGGAGCCTTAACCCGGACCTAGAATAAACCTAGGCGAGCGCCCTAGTTATATAATTTGTGAATTACCTAGGTAGGCATCCATGTATTCATCCCAACAGTTATACCATATCATCTCTATCAGGTTCTCAAGTCCATTAACAATAAAGCCACTATATAATCTTATGCTCTACTAGTCTGTCGCACAACCTTGCTGTAGGTCGAGATATCTAACCTCCAACCTCAAGTTGGCATACTATACTGTAGGAAATTAATAAATTAAAAATCATATATAAATTAATCCACCAAAATACTACTAGAATACAAGATTATAGACCTATATCATATTCTTTTGGTTCTTCTATACTTCCTAATTTCGATTAACACCTGCTGCCACTTTCGCATTGTTTTTTCATGATCCGCTTTTTCAGCCAATTTATACTCTTTTCTCTCCATCTCTTTCACTTAGCTTCAATTGGTGATACTAGTGTTTTGTGTATAACCGTGAGAACTATCATACCGGGCGTGGCGCGTACCTATAATAGCTTATATTGAATCGAACTTCCCGCTGTCCTTCAGGAACTTGAGAATAGGCTTCCGAACGACCCACCTCGGAACCTCATCCGGACTCAAAACAGAATGGCTCAAGTTTTGAGTTGAACGGTTGTGCAGAAGTCTACATATTTACTTAAGAATAAACCTAGAAGGGTTGAAAGGAGAGACCCGAAAGCAAGCAGGATGAAATGAATGCATGCAATGGGATATTCACCCTAAGCCTATATACACACTAAGTATATATATACATCAGATCTTCAGCTCTCATCCAATAAGTCCACATTCACCACTTCATGATCTTCCCATCCCACGTCACAAACCGAGGCGAATCTTCATGCTTCGCCTCGTTGACACGTTTCAAAACACCCTCAACCGACTGCGGAATAGGCATCCCCCGGATCCACCCATATCCGTCGCAACCCAGCCAGGATGAATAGCCTGCAAAGTGAATTTCTGATCGCGGAGCTCATTATGCAGCTGGACAACAACCATATTCACAGCGGCTTTAGAGATGGAGTAAGGCCCACTGAATCCGCCCACCGCATTGATCTGGGTCTGCAAAGACCCGGATTGCGATGAAATTACAATAATCTTTCGCGTCTGGCGCGCCAGTAGAGCCGGCAAAAATTCTTGAACTACTCGCAGTGGACCGCCCACGTTCACGTTGGAATACTCCGCGAGACGTTCGTCCGAGGTCGTGAGGACCTTTTCGTTATCGCCAATTGCAGCGTTGATGATCAGGGTGTCGAGTTCCGGTACTTGGGCTGCGGCTGCCTTCACGGAACTTCGGTCTGCTTGGTCTAGGACGATTGACTTGATATTTGGGGCAGTGCCGAGATCTGTGGGTTTGCGCACTGAGCCGATTACCTGCTGGGAAGGGTCTTGGCTTATTTGCTTCACGAGTTCGAGGCCGAGGCCTCGCGAGGCTCCGATAACGAGTGTTATAGGTGAAGTCATTATGCAGGTCTGATGGAAATTGAGAAATGGAAATAATAAATTGGAAAGGTAGGAAATTTCTCTTATTTTGTGGAGCGGGGGACATGATATATATAGGTGTTGACCTTCTGATTAGCACAGGATGTATAGAAGATGTGAAAGCTTGGCTAGCCCTGGAGTGTCCACAGAGCACCTAGGCAGAGCTATTCCCATTTGTTGGTCTTTGCGTGATTTCGGCAATAGATGGCAATCCGACCCGACAATGGTGCTATCTACATAATTAATCGTGATTTCGGAAATAGCACCCCGACCCGACAATCGTGGGAATTCGTCGGAGATAAGATTAACGGATCCGTATTGAATATCACCTATAGTATAGAACAATCCGCTGCGTAAGCAGTCGGACACTGCCATCGATACTATGCAGGACTCACCTACCTCTATACCGTTACGGAACTATGTTGCCGATGTCTAGACAGCCGAGTCTTCTATACTTATGCGGAGGATAATAGACACGCGTTGACTGTACCATACTATCTTAGAAGCAAAGTGTACAAGGTCCAATTGATCTACAACGACACCAACAATGAATAAATCTACCGCCCTAGGATCCCAAGGGCAAGAGTTTCTCACGCCTGTGCCTGAACGTGGAGGCTCAGAGGTACTAGTGACATAGTAACAATAGGAACAAATAAAAAAAGGACATGACCAAGCAAACCAGAACTCCCGGGCCCAAACCAGGCCCGTTATGCATTTGCAGCACGATCCCACTGTCCAGGAAGTGGACGACAGGGCCAACCGACGCCGATGCAGAATGAAAAAAGAAAGGTATCAAATCCAAGAATCTATTCATCGTCCAGATCTTGGTGCCGGGCGAGGACGTGGCGCTTGAATTCCGCCTGGTCCGAGTCCCAAAGCTCGGCTGCCTGGGCGTTCAAGGGGCTCGCACTGGTTCAATGTTAGGTTTGATGGAAGTTATGGAGGATGTGAGGGAATGCGTACTTGTTAGGCTCACCCAGCAAGCTTTGCAAGCTGAGCAAAACACTCGATACGTTGTATACGGCGCTCCACTTGTCCTTGAGGATGTCGAGGCAGATGCGGCCGGAGAAGTCGACATTGGGGTGGTAGATCGGAGTCTTGAAGAGGACTGTTGGGGGAGAGTATGGGTAGTTGTTGGGGAATGCGAAGGAGAGTTTGAGAGTGAGGCCCTCATAGGGAGTCTCGGTCGGACCGGTGATGGTTGCTGTCCACGAGAGGAGGTTTCCGTCTGCGTCCGGGAAGGCGGAGATGCCGGGCGAGGGAGAGAGCATGAGTTGCATAAGCTCAGCTTGCAGGCTGTACGGATAAAATAGATCAGGTTAGCTATATGTTTTTGCAAATAGCAAACTGAATTGTCCAGCTGTTTGTAGGTGCTGAGAGGGCACGAACCGTTTGGTCACGCTCTGGGTGTCGCTTTTTTGACCCGAGGAGTTCAGCTTGCTAGCTTGCTGCGCATCGGGCGCCGAGTTCTGCGTGTCTTCCATGCTGTAGTCCATTGTGGTACAGGAGGTGAGGCAATTGAGGTTCTTAAGAAATAGTAATGTGAAATTTGTGGATTCCCGGTTGTGGAATGCTGGTAACAGTAGCACGAGGGTTTGGAATGACGCCGGATCCGTAAAAATGACCCACGAGGAAACCTGCGAATATTTAGAAAGGAGGGATGAATGAGAAGGGGAATTATTGTGTGAAGTGAGTGAAGTGAACAAAGAGGAAAATAGAGGATTTGTTTACTCGGCCCTTAAACGCCCCGGGCAACGCGAACCCCGCTTAGGTCAATTGACTGGGCCCATTCAGTGTTGTCAAAGAAAATAGATTTCTGTTTATACTCGAATATATATATTTTGAAGTCATGTCAAACTGAGTAAGAACAAACACAATCAATTCAAAATACATGTAGCTACGCATAATTAAATAGCCGATCTGGCAATGTTAGTGCGATCGAAATCAACTGCGGGTCTACAGTTTCAAGGTATTAATAGCATATGTACGGAGTAGTATAATACTAGAGCGTAGTATACTTGCATATCTAGTATCAAGTAGTAGTTATCTCTACGACATAGAGTGAACTTATTCCCTCCCTCCCTCTCTACTTTGTATTGTGCCCTTGTCAACAGACTGCCCGATCAGGATAAAGTGGTCCGCGTCTTGTCCCGCGTTTCGCTACCCTTGCTTCGACGCGACATTTCAGCCTATCTTATTTCCCACTCGTTATGCCCTTTTAATCTTAATTTACTTCCTGTCGCTTTGTGTATATCTCTGTTACATTTACTCGCATCCACTAAACTCCCTGCGAGCTTCCTCAAAATGCAGCATTCGCAGCTGGCTCCGCTTCCGAACGATGTGCCGTTTCGCATCGTGTCCAAGACTATCGGCCAAGGCGCCTACGCATGGTAAAAACAGGATCCATACTATGGAACGCCCAGATCTAACGCACCTCGATCCATTTAGCATCAAGAAAGCCTGCCCGTTAGACTCAGAGAACCCCGTCTTCGCCGTCAAGTACATCCACAAAGATTACGCCGCGCGACATGGGAAGATCAGCGCAAGACAATTACAACTGGAAGTCACCGTACACAGACACGTCTCGGGCCATGGGAATATTATCAGCTTCTATCAGACGGGCGAGGACGATGTGTGGCGTTGGATCGCAATGGAGTTGGCCGAAGGCGGAGATCTTTTCGACAAGATCGAGGCTGACGAGGGCGTGGGCGAGGATATCGCCCATGTCTATTTCTCGCAGCTCGTCAGTGCCGTCAGCTTTATGCACTCCAAGGGCGTCGGTCATCGTGATATCAAGCCCGAGAACATGCTTTTGACCGGCGACGGGATTCTCAAGATCGCCGACTTCGGGTTGGCGGCGCTGTTCGAGTACAAGGGAACGCGGAAACTCTCCACCACATTCTGTGGCAGCCCACCATATATTGCACCTGAGGTAATCACCAGCAGTACCAGAGGTCAGAATAAAGGATCTGGGTATCATCCGGACCTAGTCGACATTTGGTCTTGTGGTATCGTGCTTTTCGTCTTGTTGGCCGGGAACACGCCGTGGGATAGCCCGACGGACGATAGCTTTGAGTACCACGAATACGTTGCGACCAATGCGAGGACTACGGATGAGCTCTGGCAGAAGTTACCACCTGCTACATTATCACTATTGCGTGGTATGCTGACAGTGGATCCCCAAAAGCGATTCTCGCTGGAGGATGTCCGAAGGCATCCTTGGTACACCCGCGCAAATAAATACCTCTCCACTGATGGCAAGTTAAGGGATCCGATTAATCTTGCCACCTCGATGTTTGAATCGCTGCATATCGATTTCAGCCAAGATCCTCTTTCCCAATCCGGGAAGGGGTCGAGTCGCAGCTTTGACCCCATGGACACGGACGGGGATGATAATGGTGCAAATGCAGGGTTCTCCTCGACACAGCCAGAGATGTTGGGCGGCGGCATGTTGATGGACTGGGACAGTCCCCAGAATGCTGATGTCTTTTCTTCGACCCAACCCCTTGGGAAGAAGTTTGCCTCTCAGGATGCAGCGATAGCAGGTCATCTTGAGGATGAGCCTTCTATGTCACAGTTCTCACAGCAACCTTCGGTGCCTGTGAGTCGAACCCAAAACGCGCAAAAGTTCCGGGATATTATCCCCTCGCGTTCAATGACGCGTTTCTATTCTGCATGGGAACTTAAACTTCTTGTGCCTCTTATATGTGAGGCATTTCACCGACTGGGGGTTCCAGTTCCGAGTGTCCCTGCCGTTGGTGCTGGAGATACTTCTGCCATGATTCGGGTGATTGCCAAGGATGGCAGAATGTGTCCCCTCCAAGGTAAAGTGCTCATTGAATGTGTCTCAGAAGGGTTATTCGAAGTGGAATTCGTCAAAATCAAAGGTGATCCGCTCGAATGGCGACGTTTCTTTAAAAAGGTGGCCATCCTCTGCAAAGATGCCGTCTTTAGACCGGACGAGTAGCGGTGTATCTGTGTTGTCTCTGTGGACTGCTATCTTCTGCTTTTTACGCTTCTGCCTACATAATGTATTTTCAAATGTACGAGTCATGACTGATTGATGGTGAGGAAAATTAGGCCGGGCTGGAGTTTGGCCGTGGGAAAATAACACTTCATATCATTCAGAAGATGCATATAGCTTCAGTAATAGACGCTTCTAGAAATGCTTGTCCCTTTTTATGTGCCAGTGTCGTAGCTAGAGTAAAATGTTCACATAGCGGGAATATGCCCAGGGTAGTACTACTACTTGAAGTTCTAAATCCCTGAGGTTTCAAATGGGGCTTCAAATGTAATCTAAAATATTGGTGATGCGGTGATGGCTTTGCTCCCTACACCCATGGATGCAATTGGCTTTTTAGCTAATAGCACAATGACTGAGATAAAGATCGAGCCTTGGCCCATGCCAGGTCGTCCGAATAGGTTCACCAAAGAAGGATCTAGACCTGTATCTGGAATAGCGTGCTGTGCCCCGAATTCTAGCAATTTACCATTCTCTGTTTGCTGCCACAACCTTGGAGGTTGGAACAATCCCTGTCGGGCATCAACATTGTTCTCGAGGTTAGCGCAAGTGCGATACCGATACCACGACACCCACTAACAATTATTATACGCCATCTGTAGATAAAAAAGAACAATCTAAGATTTACCGTTAACTAATGGACGAGTTGTTCTCCGCTAGACCCGTTGAAAGTCTGCTTTCATCTATAGAGAACACAGAGTTATTTGACCTAGATCGTTCTCAAAAGGTACCACTAGCAGAGAGCGCAATACAGTGTGAATTGGGTGACCGCCGAACTTCCTACGATCTATGCACCTATATAATACGAAGTACGCACGGTATGAATGTTGAAGCCGCTGCTCTCGAATTCTCAGTAAATAAACCCTCCCTCTTCACCTCTCATCATGATCACTCTTAAGAGTCGGCATTATGCCGGATGAGAGTATCGACTGCCTGAAACTTTTAGTATGTATGGTGGCCTGAAGTTTGACGACCAAGGTGAAATCGTGAACACCATTTCAACACTACCTTGCGATGGACCGTTCCGGACCTATCCACAATTTGTGAGAGGAATGTGTACCTGGCAACTCGAAATGAGTGACCGAAGTGCTTATCTAAATGGTTGGCGGGATATACCTGGTTTACGGGAACGACTAGAGGACTTCTTTACCAGAGGCCTCGACCAGCTTCTGGATAACATTCCCGAGCAACAACCAACTCTGATACATGGAGACTTATGTATGTCTATCTAAGGCGTCTTCTACATTCAACACGGTATCGTTTCTAACTAGTAATCTTCTACTAGGCCTGCCGAACCTACTCTTAGATCGCACAAATAACCGCTTAAAGTGCGAACAATATACAGAGATGTTTGGAACAGTGGGGATTCCAAAGCTTATTAGAGTAAAATAGGGCTCGCTTTTATGTTTTTATATCAGTTTTGATGTCACCTTTTATGAAAATATGGTCCCAATTGTAACAAAGAGTATAGCATGTGATATCAAATATCGAATATTCACGAGTCCATATAAGGCAATCCAATATATTTTTAGTCCAGTTCCCGTTTTTCGGAGTGGCTGTGCCGTGGAAGATATCAGAATGTTCTCTCAAAAATATATTATTATATTATTATCTCCAGAGGAATTCTATACGGTGGATCCTATATCGGAAAACCCTCCCGGGTCTGTTCACTCTGAGATTGTCTCAGTTGTGCCCCTCCAAACGTCACAAACCCATCACTCAATGAATAAAACACCATTTTTATACCTACATGTACCCTCAATTAATTCGAAATTTAGCCCCTTCATCCCATGCCAATTGAATCCACGTGACGATCTGGAGTGCAGATCGCGGGGAAAAGCCGACAAAAAAGAAAGTCTAGAATTTTGTTCAAGAGGCCGACATCCCCGTGGTTGACTTTTCTTCCTCAGGCTGCCCTCGATGCGGTTGATCCCTCTCCATGGATAAGCTGCCGGTAGAGATTCTGTCTAAAATCATCGACCGTAAGCCCCGGACCTTCCCCGCACCCGTTTCGACCGAGAACTGATAGTGCGATAACCAGACCTCCCTCCGCGAGAAAAGGTGCAACTTCAAGCCATATCAAAAAAGTTCTTTGCTCTCGCCCGTGATAATAATCAATGGAGATTACATTGCTATGAACAATCATGGGCTGCTCGGCAGGCTGCCCGCTCTGCCGCCAGACCCTCAGAGAGTGTGATTGCCGACGCGACTGTTTCATTGTCAACCCTAGGGCAGGAGTCGCTGCTTGATATCATCCAGCCTTCTGTCCCACTAGCGAACGCAGAGTCTGATGATATCGGGGAACTATCTCGGAGTGAGAAAGCGAGGGCTGCAGCGGAATGGGACTCGTCAGCGACGGGGGAGCATGTGGATTGGTATTCGGAATATATTGCTCGCCACGGGCCCATATCCTTATCATGGGTCGAGCGGCCGATGGTCCGCAAGGGGGAAGGAAAACGAGGGCAGTCCTACGAGGTCAAAGGTATGGGGCTGCTCAAAGACTGGAGCTCAGCCAGACAGAACAAGATCGTTGCCCCGCTTGAAGATGGCAGCGTCTGCATCTGGGATCTGAATCATTCCCACGCAGCTGACTCCCAAGCAAGCAAAGGCAGGATTCTTGGAGTCAGCGAGCCTGGGATTCTCATGACCAACCTGTCTGGTCGTCGGGATCATTCTCCCTCGAAGACTTCATTGGAGTTCATAAATCTAGGCGAGGGAGTGAGCGTGGATTCTCTGCGACAAAGAGCCTATCTGGCAGTTGGAAATGTCCTAAATGAAGTTGACCTGGAGACATTAAAAGTGATTTCGCAGCAGCGCTATCCCTGGTCGATTTTCGCCCTCTCCCAGGAGACAGATTACTCAGTGCCCTTGACACTCGCCACCACACTCAGTCTGCAGATCTATGACTCCAGGCTGTCGGCTGTCGAAGAAGAAGAGGCAATCAGCTCTCGATGCGAACGGATAGTCAGCCCGAACGCCCCCAAACCAGGCATTTTCGCACACTCTGACTCGCCGTTGTTCCAACTCCAATCCAATGGACAGCCACCTACTCGTATACGCAGTCCAGGACCCTCAGATAAAGGTGCCAATTATGCACCACTGTTCCAACCTGGCCCTCTTTCTATCTTGCACCCGCCAGCTCCTCATGTGAATACAATTCTCCTTGCAGGACGTTTCCCCAGCATCCTATGTTATGACCGCCGCTACTTCCCCCGGCTACAGACCACAGTCCATTCTGGCGGTCGACTATGTGGTCTTGCCTCAGTACCAGCTCCGCGATTCCCCGTCTTCTCAGACTCCACCTACCCCGAGTCTCATTCCGTCGTGGCGTGCGGAGACTATAACGGACGAGGCTCACTGGAACTCTATAATCTCAAGCCAGCACACGAAGAAGACCACAGCCCTTCCAATACGACATCCAACCTGAATCCAGAATACAAGAACCGTCAAAGCGCCGCCAGTTCCAAATTACTTTCGGTGGGATCGCATGGGAATCGCATCGTCTTTTCCGACGCCGAGGGGAACATCAAGTGGACCGAGCGAAATGGTCGCTCAGAAGTGCGACGTTGGAATATCAATACTTCCCAGCCTCAGATCCCATTCGGTCGTCGCAGCCAACAGCCAACGCCACAAACTGAAGAAGGCCAGCAGCCACGTGGGCTCTGGCCTTCTCAATCACCGGGCAATAACGAGGTAGCCCGTAAGGTTCTCCCCACTGGTGGAAATCTCACCGGAGATGAGCTACTTATCTGGACTGGAGAGCGCATTGGTCGTCTCAAGTTTTCCATTCCCGCGGATTATGAAATGGAGCTTGACGAGGCAGAAGTTGATGGAGATGATGCTGTGTTTATGCATGCGGAGGTTGATGAAGCTACGCGCGAAGAAATGCGTCATAGACGGCGAGATGATTGGGAGAGAGAGCAGAGATATGGGGATTATATGCGCCGTGCGCTGGAGAGACAGGCGGATGAGGTCCGCTGGATGGGGAATCGAGGGCTTGGCTGATATAGTTTTCATACATCAATTGCATATGGATACCCAGATCTAGTGGATCGGAGTGTCGGAAACATGAATCTATATCTATATCCGAACAGTAATCTATAGATAATGCTATTTATTTAGAAAATATTGCGGAAATAACGAAATTCCTCGACTTCGGAGACCTCGGAGGGGGAAGAGTTGCCTTTTCTAACTGTCCGAGGCTTAGCAATCGGCAGGTCCGCAATTCGGCTCCCCCGCGCCGAGATCACGGGCATTTCTAATGTTCTTGTCAGCCAGTGACTCAAATTGCTAATATTCTTCTTGTTTCTTGGTTCTAGGCCAATTCGAATATTCCTGCTCTTGATTAATTCTTCATTCTCTTTATCACACCATATCTCCTGCACCCCCGCGCACTTTCCACTACTCATCCCGAAGTTCCTCAGTGAGGGGCAAAAAGAAACCAAAATGCCTTCCCCCGAAATCGCACACCAGTTCGACTCAATTGAGGATACAATTGCAGCATTTAGTAAGTGATACACCTGCATAGGGAATTGACGGCACCGAAACGAGCATCCAGCTACTCATGGCGCCCTCCAACGCGACCAAATCACTAACGAAGACCTACAGAGAATGGCGAATTCATCATTGTCCTTGATTCGCAAGACCGCGAAAACGAAGGCGACCTAATCATCGCCGCCGAGTCCATCACAGCCGCACAAATGGCCTTCCTGGTGCGCTATACGAGGTAAGAGCACCACCCAACCAAGACAGCGGCGGGGGACCGACTACAAAGGCCTCTCCCCGCGATAACAGACGCACACCCACAAAGACAATGCGCCAATCCAAACTCCTATTTCAGAAAAACTGGCTAACAATTCCAAAACACAGCGGTTTAATATGCGCCCCGATCACCCCAGACCTCGCCACCCGCCTCGCGCTCCCACAAATGGTAACCGAGAACGCCGACCCGAAGTGCACGGCCTACACAGTCACAATCGACTCAAGCGACGACTCCGTGACGACGGGAATATCCGCCGAGGACCGCGCACTGACATGTCGCACTCTCGCCTCGCCCACAGCGCAGATCGACTCCTTCCGCCGACCCGGACATATCATCCCTTTGCAGGCGCGTCCTGGCGGCGTACGTGAGCGAACCGGTCACACCGAGGCTGCGGTCGACTTCTGTAAGCTTGCTGGTAAGGCCCCGGCTGGTGTTATTGCCGAGCTTGTTGAAGATGGGGAGATCGTTGAGGGCGTTGCGGAGATTGGGGGCAATAATGGTATGATGCGTCGGGATGGGTGTTTGCGATTTGGAAAGAAGTGGGGTATTAAGGTCTGCACTATTGAGGACTTGGTGCTTTATTTGGATCGTGTTGAGGGTACTGGTGCTGCGAATGGGAATCATTGAGCGGTGGGCTTGTATTTGATCTATGGGTCGTTGCGTTCGGATCGCTTTTGTTGGGTCGTGTGCTTTGGGGTACTTTGTACATCACTACGCCTTCTCTTGGATACCTTTTTTTTAGACGAATTGATGCAAATATGGATAGACTTGTGTATTCGGTGTGTGTGAGCATGACTCTAGAGAGATGGTAGATTCACTGGCTACATGAATTAATACACTAGGGAATATTCGCTACATACATAGCTAGGGTGAAATGGAAGTGATTATTTGATTATTTGGGTATCTATCATTTTCTGCGTGTAGTGTACAAATGTCAATCCCGTTGAAGCAAATGTAAAAGTAATGAACGAGTTCCATGCTGCGACAATCAGGTCGCATGCATTCCCCCTAAAACGCCAAAGCAATGCAATAATTGTATCGAAGCAACTTCTGATGCGGAACCGAGGAAGGTGAGACCGGTGCGACGTCCTTGAACAACTCACTTACCGTTTGAGATGCGAGTAGTCCCGGAGAATGCTCGTCATATGAGTGTTGGTGGTCTTTCCACTTCGGCGTGGCTTCTTGGACTTCTTAGACGGTGCGATGACGCGCGGGCCAAGCACCTTGTTCTTGTTGGTAGGTGTGATACCGAACTTGTCCAATTCTTCCTTCACTACATTCACATCAGGAACCTTGATCTTGTCCCAAATCTGCTTGAACTCATCGTCGAAGTGTTCAATTAGGGACGGGTCGTTAGGCCACACCATCTTGGGATGGTCATCCTTCTTGTTTCGAGTCACAAGCAGTTTTCCCTCCTTCTCCATTTGATTGATCTCCTCTTCGACGGTGGGCCAGCCCTCCCTGAGTTCGCGAACACTCATACCCGCCGCAGTGGTCTGGGTTTGGAGATGTTTTAGGAGTTGCTCCGAGTTTCGAATGTTGTGAGGTGGGCGGAACCTGAATGTGCCCTCGCCGTTCGCGCCGCTCGGATCAAACTCAACCTTCTCATGCATCTGAAGAATACTCCGAAGGGCCTGCACGTAGCCCCGGTCATGGGCACGGTGCTGGAGTGACAAGTACGAGATGATATCAGAGAACTTGAGCGGAATGTTCTTGTTCTTCATGTGCTCGATCGCAAAAGAGCACTTGCGTCATAATATCTTTGCCCGTGCCTGTGTTGGCCGGCTGAGAGTAGACAATGTCCGGGTCATGGCGCTTCTTTTTGATCTCGGTAGACGATGACGGGGTCGGTGCGGACGATGGGACTTGGGAACTGCTGGCAGAGACCGGTTGGTTACTGGCCACACGACGCTGCGTGGGCATGCGGTTTGCTGACTCCACGACACTAGCGTTGAAGCTTTTGAGCTGATTCTGAAGGTAGGACATGATTGCGACGAAGGATCGGAGATCGCTGAGAGTCAAGAGAAGAATAGAACGGAGCTGAGATGGCAACCACTTGATTTAACCTTGATCTGGCTGGGGGATTCAAACGAGGCTTGGCATAGGTATGGTGAGTATTGCCTGAAAGAATAGAAGACAACACACCCGAAAAGAGTTGTGTAGATAATGAGGACAGCCTAGTCAATCAGTCAAGCTTCGAGGAGAGTGGCTATTAAAAGATTGAAGGCCAGACAAAGAATGTCACGTGCCGAAGCTCAGCAACCCAAAGCGCGGAAATGGATCTCAAACGCCCTTGAAGTCACCTCACCACCATTTCGTTCAATTACCATTTCATTCAATTCTTCGTCTTCTCGCCTCAGAAGACACACATTTCTTTTGTTCACATCGTCATGACCTGAGGTCCCTCGGCCAGCGCTGTGTGTACTTGTCTGTGAACAGTACACGGCGCGCCCGTCCTCGAGGACCCAGCTTCTAGCTTGCGCCGCTCATACTTGCTTTTCTTGATTTATCCGCCACGACAGCTTTGTGCTGTTGCACATTCGACAACATGGCTGAAACCGCCGTCCAACTACCCTACCTATCGTCTCACTATGCGCTTCCCGAATCGACGCTCACGACCTTAAGACAAGCCCCAACTGTGGAGCTTGTCAATCAACTTTTAGAATCAATCAGTCAAAAGGCTCATGAATTCGATGAGCTCAAGTCCGACAAGCTTCGCTTGGAGGTAGAGCTTGAGAATTCCGTGCGCAGCAATGAGTCGAAGGTCAAGGTTCTGAAAGCCAGCGTGGAGAAGGGACACGCGGAAGTCGCAGATTTGAGGAAAAAGCTGCATGAAGCTGGTATATATCTTTATCTTTTGTTACTACTGACGAGTTCCTCTCTAACATTGAATAGAAACTACCCGTTCCTCACTCGAGACAGAGATCTCTACGCTGAAATCCTCGTCCACGTCTAACGAATCCGAAACCACGTCTTTGAAGACGCGTATTTCGTCTCTGGAGGCATCCAACAGAGACACATTAGGCTTGCTCGAATCGAAATCTGCGGCCTACGACAAATTGGCCGAGGAGCTCTCGCTTCAACACAAGAAGACCATCGAATTACGACGTGAACTCTCCACCGCAGAGCAGAGTCTCCAAAGTGCCAATGCGGCATCTGCCAGCGCCCGCTTCCGCGAGCAGAGCCTTCAACAAGAACTGGATCTCACCAAAAAGAATAATGAATGGTTCGAGACGGAACTCAAGACGAAATCCGCTGAATACATCAAGTTCCGCAAAGAAAAAGGCGCTCGGATCTCTGAGCTTCAGCGAGAGAACGAAGAGGCAAATTCGACAATTGACTCTCTTCGCCGGAGTGAGAACTCGCTCAAGAGTCGCCTGGACGAAACGGAGCAGCGATACGAAACCTCTCTGGCTACTATTCATCAATTGAAAGAGGAAGCCATCCAAGCAACCGAATCCTTCCGCATCGAACTTGACAGCTCTAACCGATTGGCCGAGCTACAAGGATCTGCTGCCCAGACGGCCAAGCAACGGGTGCAAGAATGCCAACTTGCCCTCGAAAAGACAAAGGATGACGCAGCACAGGAAATTTCGCGCCTCCGTGTGGAGCTTGAGACGGAGTCCAACGACAAGGGAGCTGCGGAGCGTCGAATTGGCGAGCTCGAGGCCCTTGTTGCCCAGCTTGAGTCTGAGCCTGCTAGAGGAAGATCAGCAAGCCCCGCTGTCTCTCTCAATGGAGGTGCACCCAGTACACCTCTGCGATCGAGCATTATGCGTGCTGGCACTCCTACTGGTTCTTTCTCACCCCGCGCATCTCGTGGTAAGGGTGGTATGAACGTCACCCAGATGTACTCCGAGTACGACAGAATGCGCACCGCTCTTGCAGCTGAGCAGAGAACCTGCCAGGAACTCCGGAATACTGTTGATGAGATGGTTCTTGAACTTGATTCAACCAGACCTGAAATTGAGGAGGGACGAGCAGAACAAACCCGTCTCGACCACGCTGTTGTGGAGATGTCTACTCTCCTTGAAGCGGCCGGGAAGGAGCGGGATAACGCCCTCAAGGAAGCCAGGAAATGGCAAGGTCAGGTCGAGGGCTTGGCTCGTGAGGGCGACATCCTACGTCAGCAACTTCGCGATTTGAGCGCTGAAGTCAAGGTTCTCGTCCTGGAGGTTGCTGTCGCAAAACATGGCGAAGAATACGACCGTGAGGAGCTCGAGAAGATTGCTCGGGGTGAAGTCGAAGAGTCGGCCAAAGATCTTAATGAAACTGGCCGCTTTATCAGCAAGCACCTCACAACTTTCAAGGATCTTCACGAACTCCAGGAACAAAACCACACTCTCCGACGTATGTTGAGAGAACTTGGTGACAAGCAGGAGGGTGAAGAGGCGCAGGCCAAAGAAGCTACACGACGGGCAGAGCTCGACGAGTTGAAGGAGCTGCGGATCCGCGCGCAGACAAACCGGGATGAAATTGCGAACCTCAGCGCACAGATGCAGAGTTACGTCAAGGAGCGCGACACATTCCGCAGTATGCTGATGCACCGAAAGCCAACCGTTGACGAACAGTCTGTCTTCTCGCAGTCCATGCCTCTTGGTGCTGCTCCTCAGGGGGCTATGGATACATCAGGACCCGACTACGCTGAGTTGCTCCGCAAGGTCCAAGCCCATTTCGATACTTTCCGCGAAGAAACGACGACAGACCACAAAGCACTGCGCCAGCAGGTCAATGAGCTATCGCGTAAGAACAGTGAGCTTATGTCCGATATCAGTCGGTCAAGCAGCCAGCTTGCTGCTGCTTCCCAACGCGCGGAGCTTTTGCAGAGTAACTTCAATATGCTCAAAAACGAGAACACGGAGATCCAGAAGCGTTATTCTGCTCTCTTTGAGAATGCAAACCGACAAGATCTCCGCACTCAGCAAGCTGCTGAAGACCTCGTGGAGGCTAAGGGTCTTGTTGAGAGCCTTCAGAGAGAAAATGCCAACCTGAAGGCCGAGAAGGATCTTTGGAAAAATATCGAGAAGAGACTCATTGATGATACCGAAAATTTGCGGAATGAGCGCAGTCGTTTGGACTCCTTGAACGCAAACCTTCAAACCATTCTCAACGAGCGTGAGCACACCGACTCCGAAAGCCGACGCCGACTCCAAGCCAGCGTCGAATCGCTCGAAACCGAATTACAATCAACAAAGCGCAAGCTCAATGATGAAGTAGAGGAATCCAAGAAGGCTAGCATGCGCCGAGAGTACGAACAGGAGACATCCCAAAAACGAATTGACGATTTGGTCGCCAGCTTGAGCACTGTCCGTGAAGAGCTAGTTGCCGTCAAGACCACCCGTGATCACCTACAGTCCCGTGTGGATGAGCTTACGGTTGAGCTGAAGAGTGCCGAAGAGCGTTTACAAGTCTTGAACTCGAGACCAAGCGTATCTGCTGGTACCGCCGAGGGACCTACCGAGGGCCAGGAGGCTGGCGAAGGAAGCGGCCTTTCACGGGAACAGGAACTTTCAATTGAAGTTTCCGAACTGAAACGTGACCTTGAGTTGGCTAAGGGTGAACTTGAACACGCCAAGCAGTTGGCTGAGGATTACCAGGCCATCAGCCAAGCTAGTGAGGAACGTCTTGAGTCCGCCACGGAGACACAAGATCAATACCGCGAAGAGACCGATCGTCTTGTTGAGGAGAAGAACGCTAAGATTCATGACCTCGAAACTCGCATTGAAGAGATCTCAGCTGAACTGTCCGCCTCCAACACTGAAATGACCAAGCTCCGGGAAGAGCAAGCGGAAGCGACGCGCCGCCTGGAAGAGCAGAAGGCCAACTTCGAGTCGGAGATTACTCGCCTCAAGGCCGACAATGAACGACATGTCACGGCTGCACAGTACCATCAGGAGGACCTGAATGCGCAGGCCGAAATCGCCAAACATGCCCAACAAAACTACGAAACTGAGCTTGTTAAGCACGCCGAGGCTGCGAAGAATCTACAGATCGTTCGTGCAGAGAGTAACCAGCTCAGGCTCGACATCGCTGAGCTGCGAACCCAATCCGAAGGCTACAAAACGGATCTGTCTCAGAAGGAGGAAAGCTGGGCGGAGCAACGAGCCACATACGAGGGTGAGCTCTCTGAGCTGCAGAAGCGTCGGGAGGAGGTTCTCCACCAGAATTCTGTGCTTCACACCCAGCTGGAGAATATCACAAGCCAGATTTCGTCTCTGCAGAAGGACCGAATGAATGTTTCGGATGATGAGCAGGAGGGCGACCAGGGGGCCCCCAATCTCGAGGGCCTCCAGGAGGTCATCAAGTTCCTGCGGCGTGAGAAGGAAATTGTGGAGGTCCAATACCACCTCTCCACTCAAGAAAGCAAGCGACTAAACCAACAACTCGACTACACGCAGTCGCAGCTCGATGAGACCCGCCTCAAGCTTGAGCAGCAGCGCCGTGCTGCGGCTGACAGCGATCACAACGCCTTGAACCACAACAAGCTGTTGGAGACTATCAACGAGCTCAACGTTTTCCGTGAAAGCAACGCCACTCTCAGAAATCAACTGAAACAAACCGAAGCCGTGCGTGATCAAAAGATCGCCCGTGAGAATGAGCTCGTCCAGGAGATTGAACCCCTCAAGACCAAGATCCACGAATTGGAGAGCCAGATTGAAGCCAAGGATGGAGAAATGCAGCTTCTACAGGCTGATCGTGATCGATACCAACAGCGTATTCAGAACATCCTTCAAAAGTACGATCGTGTCGATCCTACTGAAATGCAAGAGTTGAAGGAGAAGCTCACGAGCCTCGAAAACGAAAAGACTGAGGCTGTGTCCGCGCGGGAAGCTCTCCAAACCCAGATCGAGTCACTTCAGGCTCAAATCGCCGAATTCCCAGAGCAGCTTAAGCAACATTCTGATGAACGCGCGCATGATTTGCGATCGAAGCTCACAGAGCAATTCAAGGCACGCTCTAAGGACCTTAGCGCGCGTGTTAAGGCCAAGCAAGATGAGCTTAATGTGGCGTTGCAGGAGAAGGAGGTCATTCAAGCGGAACTTCAGACTACAAAGAACGAATTGGAGGCACTGAAGACTAAGGTGGCAGAGGCGCCAGCCAATATGTCATCCGCTTCTGCCCCTGCCCCTGCCCCTGCTCCTGCTCCTGCTCCTGCTACAGAAGAAGAAACCCCCGTCAACGCTACCCCGGCTTCACAATTCCCAACCGCGACCGTCGAAATCCCTGGTCCTGGTGACGCTCAAAAGATACAAGCCCTGGAACAGAAGATCCAGCGACTCGAGGCAGCTCTTGCCGAGAAGGATGGACTTCTGGCGACACAGGCCAGCGAACAAGATGCAAAGATCAAGGAACGCGCCGACCGCCTCAAGGACATGTACAACTCGAAGCTGAACGAGGTCAAGGCTGCTCACCGTCAAGAAATTGAGAAACTGTCCGCCGGTGAACAATCCACACCTGGAACACCAGCCGCGGCCCCGGATGCAACCCCTGCAACGCCGTCAAAGACGTTAGAACTTGCTGGATTTGCTATCCCCGAGTTGACAGACGCTCAAGCAAGAGAGCTAGTCGCGAAGCATGAAACCATTCGTACCATCGTCCGCAACAACATCCGAGGCGGTGTAGCGCGCGAGCAACAAAAGCTCCAACAAGAAGCCCAAGCCTCCTCCGGTGCCAATGAAGCTGCACTGGCTGAACTACAACAGAAGTCGACTGAGGAAAGGGAGGCTTTGATCAAGGCCCATGAGAATGAAATCAAGGAGAAGGTCAGCTCAGCTGTCGAACTTGTTGAAAAGAAAACAGCTGCCCGTCTCAGCATGCTTGACACCAGATTCCGAACTGCGAATGCCAAGATTGATGTGGTATCAAAGGCTGCCACGGAAACTCCTCAAAAACCCGTTGTGGAAGTATGGGAAATTGCAAAGACTGCTCGCCCTGCACCGGTCCCGGTTCCGGCTGCTAAGCCCCCCGTACCAGCAGCAGCCCCAGTCCAACCTGTTGCTCCCGCTCCAACTTTAGCTGCACCGCAAGTCCCAGTTAAAGCGCCCTCGGCCCCGGTTCCTGCTCCGGCCCCTGCGCCTGCCGCTGTCCCTGTAGCAGCAGCCCCGAATGTTCCAACAGAGCAAGTCGCGCCTCCCACTGCGCCTGCTCAACCTGCTGCCCCCCCAGCAAGGTGAGGCACAGCCCACTGCACCAGCCAATCCATTCGGCCAAACCCAGCAAACCGATCAAAACCAGCAGGCCTCTTCTCTCCCCAGCAAACCTCCCGCTGGAAACCCACCTGGCCTGATGCGAGCTCTTCAATCAGGGCTTCCTATTGCACGAGGCGGACGTGGTGGACGTGGCGGTGGCCAGCAATTCGGCCATCAGCAACATGACCAACAACAGCAGCAAGGTCACGGTCAGACCCAAAACCAGCGCGGCCCAGGCCTTCAGCGAGGTCGCGGCGGTCGTGGTGGACAAGGTCGCGGTGGTAACCAAAATCAAAATAACGCCGCCCAGGCTCAGAGCCCCACTGCCAACCGTGGGAACCTGAATGCTTCGGCCCGTCAGTTCATTCCCGGGGGCAACAAGCGCTCCCGTGATGATGGCCCCGACACTACCACCGAGGGTGCAAGTGGTGGAAAGAGACAGAGAGGCGGTGGTGGCCCACAGCCTCGTGGCGGAGGCTCTTCTTAAGCAGCAATCGTCGTGTCATGTTTTTCTATTTCATTAATGTATTCTCGATTTCATTGACAAACGCGGCGTGGACCCATTCATGAATGGGTTTCAACGTCTGCTTATGCCATATGGCGTATTGCTTTTCATGTTTTACCCTGCTACGCAGAAAACAGCTTGATTTCTTTTGTTTTGTATGTATCTATTGAATGTGTGGCGTTCCTATGGGTTGCTATTCCTTACTCTCGATTGATAAAGTTCAATTGCAAGTATCTCGTGTACCATCATTGTAACCACCGAAGATAGAGTAACTATTGTAAACAAAGACTGGGGTATAAGCTGCTAGAAGACAAGAATGTATCCAAGAAATGGTCCGACACAGAAGAACGCAAGTTGAAAAGAAACAAGAAAGCACCTTGAAATCACTTCTTCTTCCCCCAGCAGCAGGAACAAGCATTCTCCCAAGGACCTCCCTCTCCTTCTGCAAAACCATCAACCTCGCATCTTCAATAACCTTACCCGCCGGGGCAGGACCAGGAAGAGACGTCTGCGAAACCTGCGCCGCACCCACAACAGCTGGACTCATCGCCTTCACGCCACGAGCTCTCTTCCTCCGCATTCCCGGGCCCTGTCCATAGACAACAACCCACTCCGCAACAGATCCACCGGCAGCAATTTCACACCCAGAACACACCTTCGAGTGCGCACCGATATCCGCGCCCCGACGAATCGTCGCCAGAGCCTCGATTGTAGCAGAAGAATGAATATGAGCACCGGGTTCAACTGTCGCCAATGGACCAACAGTAACGAAGTATGAGATCCGCGTAGATGTCTCTTTCCTAGGCTCAGGCGTCGACGCCCCAGACTCCGTGGGTGTTGTTCTTGCTGGTCTGGATGGTGACGGTGAGCGAGATGAGCTTGGCGGAGCGCCGATTACTGCCTTCTCGCTGATTATACAGCCATCGTCAACAACGATTGGGCCTTCGTATGTGTAAAATTTCGCGCGCGGGTGGATGACGGTTCCTGCGCCGATGGTGACGGGGTATCGGCCTTGGAAGACGACGGTGTCGGCGATTGTGGCTGTTGGGTCGGCTTTTAGGGGGGCTTTTGGTGGGCCGGAGCTGTGGGAGGAGGAGGAGGAACGGTGGGTATTTGTTGGAGGTTTGAGGGTCGCCATTTTGGTGATTTATGTTGGAGGAGGTGTGTTTTGGGGAGATCTATGATCGCAGGGTGTTATCTGTTTTGGAGCTAATTCGCGCCGCTTTTTGGGGTACGCCTCTTAGTCAGCTCCATCAAATGCGCGGGCTTCCAAGGTTGCACAGCCGGCATGGATCCATCCATGGATAGATAGATCGAGGTATAAGATGCAGTTGTAAATGTTGGTATATTTTTTTAGGTATAGGCCGGTACAGCGTAGGAAAATGCATTCGTGATATATTCCGAGCCGGGGTATCTAAAATCTAAAGCCAAGTCTAAAGCGCCCCATCCCCCAACGTAGAACCATCGGATAAGACAGCCAAGGACCCTCATGGCTCCTCCACAGTCTCTGGCTTGATACCGTTGCGCTTTCTCCAAGCTCTAACGCCCCGGTCGACCTCGTCTCTGGTCATCCCATCGCGCACCAAGCAAAATGTGACACCCAACTCTGTCTCCACGTTCCGGTTCCGTGCCTCATCATCGAAGAACAGCATATCCTCATAGGCAACAGTACTTGTCTGCTGAATCTTCGAGAAATGCGATGTCTTATTTCCCGGGTAGATCTGGATAAAATCGAAGTAATCGAGGGCGCGGATGGTCTTAGCGTTCGCGGCGGGGTTATCGGAGAAGGTGGGGATGATATGTAGGGATTTGAGCATGTCGCGCGCTAGATCAGGGGCCTGGGTTCGAGATGCAAGGGCCAGTGGAATTGAGCGATGTTTGCAGGCGTAAACTATCGACGAAACTGCTGGGTAGAAAGCGAAGGACTCTCCCCATCTATTTGAGATAAGGAATGCGGGGTTAGAAATTGGACTGGTTTCGAAAGGATCAGATGTCAATCGGGGGATTCGTACCGGTCAACGGCACGGGAGTTGTTGTCCCGTGGCTTGACAGGGGCGCTGACATGTGTGTCGACCCAGAACGGCCACAAGGTGTAGTCCAGGTCGAAAGCGATCAATTTTGGGAGTGGGAGGCCGTCGGTGAAGGTTTCGGGGGCCACGGAGGAATCCTCCAAAGGCTGAGTGTTTTGGCGCTTAGCTCGGACCATATTTGGTACAAAGAACACACGAAGAATCAAAAAAGAACGTTGGAGGAATTCGAGAAGGAAATGGACCATGGAAGAAGCCACCGAGGATGAACCAGGGCTGGACTGGCACGTGAAATCTGGTACGGATGACGATTGCGACCAGTTGGGGAATATTCTCCCTATCGATAAAGTGGGTCCGAGCGAAGTATACAACCAGCATGGGACCTACATCTACTGACGAGGTATCGGATACTATCGTTCCAAACAACTATCTAGACAAAGAACGAAAGGTCACAGTGATTAGGGATAGCACACTCTCATGCGCATAAACCGGGCGTCTCGCGTCAGGCAACGGATAGGTGCTGGAAGGTCTAGAGAATCAGTGGTACATAGACCATCACGGGGATTGTATCCTCATCCTCTAGTAGCAAACCAGGTAAAGACAACCCATAGATAGAGGGATGTGACAGCACAATATTTCTGTTGAAATAGAGGAACTCCATGACAACAATGTGACCAAATGAACATTAGACGATAGCTTTCTTCTCCAAACACCCGGGCCAGCCGAATGTTAAATGAAAAAAACATGTCCTATTAGCCGTGAGTAATGTAAGTACGACAACCTTGGAAGGCGTGCGAAAGCACATACACGAAGTCAGGAACTCTATAATACGAAGCGCGGAAGACAACGCGGAAGACAGCGCGGAAGACGGGACGGAAGACAAGGCGGGAGTCGCGGATGTGGAAGTGGGCGTGGGAGGGACGGAACCTGCGGAAGTCGGAGTGGACGCAGAAGAGCGGAATACGGCGCGGAGATGAAGGAACGTGCATCCCGCTCGTATTCGTATTCGCAAAATGTACATAAAAACTAGGACTACATTGGAAGGAACTCAAGAAGCTTTCTTCTCCAAGCACTCGGACAAGCCGAATAATTGATGAAGGGGTCGCGTCAACCGGGTTCAGTGTAAGCCCAGTGACACAGTGCAACCAGGCATATGCAAGCACAGAGGCCAAGTCGCGAGTGCGAAAAATTGGATTAATCGGGGTGTCTGTAGGGCAGGACTATCAGCGATTAAACTGATAAGAACAGGTACTACACTTGATCTGAGCCAGGAGGCAAAGAGAAGCTGGAGAAGAAGAAGGAGAAGAAGAAGGAAGAAGAGGTTCCGGGGGGGACCTCGTTATATACCCCAGAGGCGGGAGACCCCTTAGCCGCTAGGCGGCACGGCCCGTCCCGTGCTGCGGGGCGAATACCTAGGTACCCCGTATAGAGTTACCTTCCAAATGTAGTTACTGGCAAAGTAATTAACCGGAAATGGTATCAGGTAGTATGGCACGTGTACCTCTCACGTAATCACTCCTTGACACCTGGGCATCCTTGGAAGGTTGGAAATATCCATTCAGGCAGCCTCGGGTCCGAGACAGAAGCAACAACCAGCGTCATATTAGGGGTACACTGTGGCTTTCAGGGATAGGCTAGGTAGACATCAGAGATAGTAATGCCGCTGGGAAAATTACTGATCTACGGAGGCCTGGTGATAACCTTGGAAGTTACTTACGGCCGACTTATCACCTACCATCTTGACTGCGAGAACGGCTTTTGGGGTGGATTGTTTCGACTGTATAAATGAATGATTCTGAATCCCATAAGGTACTAACTATATGGCTATTGTTTAGTTCATTCTGTCTCCCTCTCCAACATTATTATTCTCAACCCGTTTGTAATTCAGTTTGGAGCTCCGTCGCTGGGCTTTGTACGTCTTTAAAAGACAAAAATTGGAGGTTATTACATGTTAGGTCAATCATTGAAAAAGAGCGCATTCTAACACAAAAAAAAAAAAAAAATCAAGGAAGACAGAGAGATGCGAGATGGGGATTTATGGAAGCAAGTAATGCAGACAAACATATATTTCCGGATTAGGCTTAGTAGCAATTTGGAGGACAAAGAAACAAACCTTGAAGCACACCTTCCCCATTAGGCTTAGTAGCAATTTGAAGAACAAAGAGACAAAGAGACAAAGGGACAACGATCTTTGACATGTGACAAAGCATGTGCCAGAGCATGTGATAGATGTAGATCGTAACAGAGGTCTCGTATTCCTCTTATTTCATACACACTGATTTGCTGCTATGTATGGAGTACAATAATACTATATACATATCTATGTGTCGCACATACTTTCATAGTTATACCAGAGTTCATGATAACATATCTACAGTGAGTTCCGCATTGGTGCCCCTTTTTTCAAGTCTCACAAGTACTGTTTCTATACGCAATAGTCATAATGCTACAGTTCTGCTATTGGACGGTAATAGGACAACTAGGATTGAATAATTATAGTGATAGACTAAATACAAAATACAAGCAAGTGCCACAAGGAGGGAGTCTTGAAACCAGGATCATTCGCTGACATTTAGTCTTGTCGTGCAGGCTCTGCTCTAGGGTTTCTATAGATTTACCAAGCCAGTGTCCATTCATAAATAGTTGAGACCAGCCCGAGACTCAAGAACGTTGGATGAGTGGATGGCAGGTATATCTTCTTCACAGTCAAATTGGTATTCGTTTTTCATCCTACTAGAACCTTGCACTACCCTCTTCCCTTTCGCTTATTGCGTGTAAACTTGCACCTAGCATATTCATGCCCCATCTTACAAACAGGGTTGTGTTTGTCGTGCTAGAGGCGTTTGTTGTTCGACTGCCATTCGAGGTCTCCGACGTGACAGAGTTTGTGGATTGCCAGGATGGCAATCCGACTCTAACCCCAACCCTGAGGGGCCATTGTTTTCGTCAGAAGACAGGTGGGGCTTTTGCCCCTCGGGGTCTGAGGGTGATGCTCGAGCTAGATGGCGGATGGCAGGGATGGTGTAACCACGATGAACTCTGCAGTTGGGGCAATGACAACGAGCAGAACGCCCAAGGACGGGCTAATTGGCGCCCAAGCGAGAACGGACTGAATCTGAATAACAGTGTAATATCGCATAGACTTTGTTAGCAATATGAAAGAACACGATGCATCGTGTGATTCCCATACGCCGAAGAAAGAAAGTGAATCAACTCATTTATTGATCCACGGAGGTATCAACTGCGAGCTAACAAGAACAGCTAAGGTCTATGCGAGCAGGAATAGCCAACAGGAAAGCCACCACGGGGGTCTTGTAATGCCTAGAAGAGAGTCTGGATTTCCCTCTGGTGTCGACAGAAGAAATCATCACGAGCTACCATGAGCGTGTTCTGAGCGGGAGGGGGAGGGTGTGCTGACGCTGACGCTGTTAAGAGGCGGATTTCCGGTGGCTTGGAGTACATCGAGGGATGGGCACATAGGAGAGACTGGTCGCAAGTGTGAGAGCTCCGTACATGGGTGGTATAGCTGGATAGAGAGTTTGTACAAGATAGACTGGTTACCTTTAGGTTAATGACGGTGTATTAGCGAGAGAAACAAGGCACTTGCAGGGTATGACCATACGGTTAACAAAAGAGCACCTGTCAGAATGGCCTACGCCAAAGTATGTGGTGGAATGTGATAATGTATTGAGCAGAGAGTTGTAGGAGCTAATTTACGAGCTATCGAATCTGACACCTCCTGAATATGAAATCATGAACTGTGTCTCCCTACGAAAAAGGGAAACCTAGATATTGAATGCGTTGTTGTAGCGTACCAGGGGTTGCCGATAAGAGTACTAGCTGAACCAGAGGCAGTAGTGGTGGTGGTGGTAGTAGTAGTCGAAGCCGGAGGGTTAACGATTTAGTTTTAGCGGGGTTCTGGAAGCAATTTTTAGAACTGTGAGCGGCCTTTCGTTGGCGGAAAGTGTGGAAATGCCTTGGCTTGTTAGAAGAAGCGTATTTGGAAGCGTTGATGTTGTAAGAGACCGGGTCGGAAGTGAAGTTGGGATCACTGGCGAGATCTTGATTCTCGGAGATGACGAAGTCGGAGAATGTGCTGATAAGAATATCCTCGGAAGAGTCCTTGACTGGAGGACGAAGGGTGTCCAGCCAGTGATAATTAGCGCGATGAATGCTGACGGTAGTCCACTCACAGAACTGGCTCAAACGGTATTGTAGGTGTGGAAGGCGAAGGTCTGGTAAAGACTCTGGTATGCGGCGGAAGCGTTAGTAATGGTGTTCATACAGGTTTAAGAGAATTGTGAACTGTGGTAGGACTTACCAGTCTACCCTGGAAGAGAAGAATCTTTGGGAGCGGGCTAGGTCGCGTGGCCGGCAGGGGTTTTTGAAGAGGTGAGGGTCTCGAGTGTCGACAGCGCACTCGAGTGCGGTGGACCACATGTTGAATTCGCCGGCGAGATTAGCCACGAGCTTTAGCTTCGCGAAGCTGGTCGAAGGAAGCATTTTGAAGGTCCATCAAATAAAGAGGCACTTGTGGTATATGTTGTAGGAGAAGCACTAGCTGCGTGGCTAGCGGATTGTTGGGAGACAAAAAGTTCTGCACGAGAAGGCCTCTATTGGGGTATCTTGAGGCTGTTTGTATGGAGGTAGATGATACCGTTTTGTAGGTATTTGTGGGTGGCCTGGCCGGTTGATATCGATGGTAACGGTAGTGACGGCAGTGATGGTTTCGAAGATGAAGGATGAAGAATCGGAGCGCTAGATATTCCAGGGGCTGATAGCCTGTCAGAAGGGACTACGTCGAATTGTATAGTACAAAAAGAGAATGTATTGAGTAGAGAGCTGTAGAGGCTGGGTTACGAGCTACGCGATTTCTTCTCCAAGCACCCGGGCAAGCCGAATAATTGATGAAAAAAATGGAGTCGCATCAACTGGGGTCAGTGTAGGCCCAGTGACACAGTGCAACTAGGCATATGCAAGCATAGAGGCCAAGTCGCAGTGTGAAAAATTGGATTAATCGGGGCGTCCTGCAGGGCAGGACTATCAGCGATTAAACTGATAAGAACAGGTACTACACTTGATCTGAGCCAGGAGGCAAAGAAAAGCTGGAGAAAGAAGAAGAAGAAGAAGAAGAAGAAGAAGTTCCGAGGGGGGGAGCCTCGTTATATACCTTAAAGGCGGTGGGTCCCCGGGGGCAGTACAAGGAGGTACCCCCTCCCCCGCAGCACGGCTCGGCCCGTCCCGGTAGTTGCCTTCCGATATCAATAGGCATCGGCCCTTTGTTTACTGGTGTACGTACGATACAGCCTTGAAATTACATGTATGTATGTAGGCACTACATCATGGTGACAGAAACCTTTGAATACGGGGGATTGAAGTCAAAGACGTAGAGGGAAATGGGCAGCTCATGCCCAAGTGACCTTTCACCTCACAGAAAGAGAAGAATGCCCCTAGAGAATACAGCAGGGAATATTCTTTCAAGTCGCTGTGGAAAGAAGTTTGTTTGTTTTCACACTCACGGTTTGCTGTGGTGATTTCTATGGACATCAGAAATCAAGAATTTCTCGTGGGCACTACATTACGCTGTCGATGAGCTATAGTGGTTCCCGGTTTGGCTATGTTTACTAGCAAGTACCTTATCTTCCCTAGTTGGCTGCAGATGTTCGACTAGATAGATTAGTCAGTTGGTTGCTTCATTTTGCTTCTTCGGGGGATAGGAGTTGATGTCGTAGTTCATTGTGCTGACCAGGTCTAGGCAATATAGGCCGCCAAAGCTAGTGCCCACGCCCGTTGCATTCGCCCCAGCTTATCCTATCGTCACTTTTACTTCTAAACTTATCAATAGCGCCGCTGTAATCCCAAGAGGCACTTATATCGGTCTGAGGATAGGTGGATTCCCCCCCCTCAAGCCAAGATGATAAGGACGAGACCCACTTGGACAAGGATGATCACCCCTAGGGCTCATCATCGGGCTCTGACCAAAGCTCTAAGGAGGGCAGCCCAATTTTCGAGGGAAATCTTCTCCGAATTAGACAAGTTTTGGGTATCTCTATTCCCGACACTTCGAACACATTTTACGCTTTATCATGATCGTTTTCGTACTATAAAATTAGGGATAGAAAAATTTCAATCAGATATCCAAAAAGAAAATTGTAATGTGATCTCGGATATAACATCCATAATATCAAGACTAGGATCTACTCTTAATGGCACTCTGAACGCCATCCTGGACTTGTTTTGTCCATAAACCACTAAACCAACTCTCGGGGTTCTGAAGAAGCTCAGCCGGCCTTCCAGATTCGACAAGGGCCCCATTATCCATAACCAACACCAGATCAAAGTCGAGAATGGTGTTCAGACGATGAGCCACGGCAATGACTGTACTGTCTTGGAATCGCTCCCAGACCAATTTCATCATCGTGGCTTCTGTTTGCATATCTACCACCGAAGTAGCTTCATCGAGGAGCAGAATTGGAGACGGCTTCGGCTCTAACAAGATTCGCGCAAAGGTGATCAGTTGCTGCTGACCAGCAGAAAGTGTCTCTTTCTGAATGGCACTGTCTAAGCCTGTTTCTTTGGATAATAGCCAATTCAGCATTCCGACCCGGGAAATTGCAGACATAATGGCCTCGTCGGTATGTTTTTGCAAAGGATCGAGATTTGCACGGATTGAGCCAGGCAATATCAGGGGATCTTGGGGTAATGCGGCAAGCTTTCGTCGAATTGTCTCTCGAGGAACCACGCTGATATCGAGGTCATCGATTAGGATTCTTCCTTTCGTGATCTCGTTCAGTCGCAATAGGCCTAATACCAGGGAACTTTTGCCACTGTAAATATGTTAGAAACAGTATTATTTTGCTTAAGGTGGGGGTTTAAACATACCTTCCCGAGCGCCCACAGATGCCTATTTTAGCACCGGGAGGTATTGTTACATTGATTCCCTGAATTACAGGATCAGACTCAGTCCTAAGTACTATAGTAGCGTATGATGTAAAGTCAAAGAACATGATCACTTCAACTTACCGGTAGCTTAGTGCAAGATCGATAAATTGGATTCTTCCTTCGGATGGCCAAGCATTTGTGGGAGTGTAGCATTCCCGAGGAAGATGCTCAGTTGGCGTTTCGGCTTCGAAGGATTTTAGACGAGCCAATGCCCCAATCGACGTTTCAAGCGAAGTCCAGGCTTCGATGACATATGCCAAAGTCGCGCTGATAGCAGTAACATTGTTGAGCGCAACACCCAGAGCACCGCCAGATGTATTGCGTAGCTCAATAGCCAAGACGACAAGTACGACGACGATTCCCATCACTATCAAGTTCAAAACCAGAGTCAACCAGCATTGAATAGAGTACATGAGATAAAACGGTTTCTGTGACTCGTCCGTAAGATGCATGTTGAGCTGACGGAAATTTTCTTGCCAGCCAAAACCTCTGATTGTCGCAATCCCGTCGCACGTCTCGAGGAAGCTGGAGAAAAGTGGCGACTTGGCTTCGAGGTCTAAGTATCGAATCTGTCTCGAGGTACGTAGATAGAACTTTTGCAAAATATAAAGAATGAAGAAGATAGGAGGGAAAGTCAATGCGGTCCATGGGGATGATTGCGCGATCAGCACAACTTCGGCAATCGTATCAAGGGCACCGTCTAGTGTTTGTATCATTGCACCTGGGAGTCTCATATCAATCAAAGACATGTCCTGACTGAAACGATTTAGTATCACTCCAGTATCAGTTGACACAAGAGACGCAAGAGGGGCTGCGGTGACGGCCTTCAGCAGCCTTCTGTGCAAACGAACTGAAGTACGAGGCACGGATTCAACCATGAAAATCCAGTAAATAAGAAAGAAGCAGATGGCCGATGAGACTCCAAAGCCTGCATAGCCAGCGATGTATCGGGTGCTGCTTTTGCCTGAGTTCTGAATTTCTGCTTCGGACCACCACTCCAGCCAAATATTGGGGAATCTGCTGAAGAAGCAAAAGCCAATCGATGCAGAAAGAACTAATATAACGAGGACCCAACCCATTTCGTTTGCATAGAGAATGTAAAGACTGGAGTCGCCTACCTGCCGGGATACATCGGCGAGCGCTTCACTGGCTTCCATGTCTTGCTCTTCCAAGACATCGGGTACAGAAGCGATAAGAGGAGTATCTTCTTGTATCGGGATGTCACTTTCCAAATTGGCAACTATCTGATCAGAAGGTTGAGCTTTCACACTTAAGCCATCATTATCAATCGTGATGACCATGTCCACCTTATACTTGAAATGTACTGTGGCCGTAAGCAAAAAACGTCAAAATGTCGTATAAGATCAACTCACTCTTGTGTGTTGCAAGAACCACAGCCAAACCATACTTCCGGCAGATACCGTGCTGTCCCAATATCGTTTGAACGACCTGGTTCTCTGTGGCAGCGTCAAGGCCACTGGTGATATCATCCAACAGAAGAAGTTGTTTGCGGGAATAGATAGCTCTTGCGAGGCTAATACGCTGTCTTTGACCCCCGCTGAGACGCGCACCTTTACTCCCAACAGTAGTCATGTCTTTCTGTGGTAGACGGCCAATATCCGTGTCAAGACAGCATGCATTGATCACCTCTTGGTACCATGTTTCGTCAAAATTTGAAGCCCCCTGGATAACAGCTCGGATAGAGAGGTTAGGCAACCATGGCTCTTGGGAGCAATATGCAATCCGCAACCCCGGTCGTTTCACCGTTTCTCCCTCTGTCTGAACAATCTCGCCAAGCAGGGCTAACAACAGAGCACTCTTGCCGCTTCCAACCGGTCCCACGAGTAGAGAGCTACTGCCTGGTTTGACTTTGAGAAAGATATTTTTCAAGACAGGATCTTCAGCTGCCTTGAAGGAAAACGAAGCGTTCTCCATCTGTATCAAGGACCTAGAAGGGTTGTTCAGATCAGTGTGCTGTAAGTCATTGAGTTGTATTGTCTCTGCATCTGAAGAGGACTTTGTGCGCAATCCTGTTTGTTGGAATTTGGATATATGGCCAAAGGAAGTGGAACCTTGGTGACCCTGGCCCTGGTCCATCAAAAGATATTCCTGAATCCGATCCCAAGAACCCAAAGAAGCGACAAATACCGGAAAAGCATGCATGAAGTTCAACATGGGCGTACTGACTAGACCGACGAGGGATAATGACGAAAATGCTTTCGCAGGATTAAGTGCTTGCCCGGAGTGTCTAGCGATGAGGGCGTAAACGATAAAAGCTGCAGCAGGGGCGATAGTCTCTGGCAGAACACCAACAGTCATTCCGATAGTAGCATTTTTACGAAAGCTTTTCGACTTTTCCAACTCCTTGACACGTAGATCATCAATTTTGGCAGATGAGTGTTCCGAGATGCCAGACATTCGAATGTTTTTGATGTTGCTGAGAAAGGACGACGTCGAGGTGATTCTGTCCTGAAGGGCTTCCATCCAGAGGTGCTGCGCAGATTTTGCCCACTTTGACAACGTATGAACCGACGCAGTACACCCTACAGCATAAGTCTATTAATGATTGATGTAATGCGTCCCATGAGGGTGATTTGCACTTACCAACCACGAAAACAACAGGTGCAAGGCAACCAAGTCCGATCTGTCTGTACAGGAGATAAAGTGCCAGGCCCACCTCAATAGGTGAGGCCCATAGCACATCTGAATTCTCAAAACCAGCAGCGATTCGATCAAAATCCTCACTCATAAGAGTAAGCACAGATTGATCGGCCAGCGTAGATCCTGAAAGACAAAGGGTCTTGTTGTATAGCAAGCTAAGAAGCCCTCCGCGAATCATTACAATGCATCGATAGGTTTGATGTTTGTAGGCTGCTGTGGAAATTGCGATTCCTAGATATACCAGAAGTGCGGCACCTATCAGTGCTCGACCCACAAATTGGGTTTGGTCGTTGGTCGTATCATCTATGAATGAGATCACCCGGTAAATAAGAAGTGGCTGAGCAATGTTGAAGCCAATCAAACAAATTCGGGGAAAGATAACATGGAGAACAGGCCTATAAGCAACCTTCAATGTCACCCATGCTAGGCTGTACTTGGAGGTTTTTCGGCACTGCTGCCAAGCATGGTCCATCTGAATACCGACACTCGCTGATGCCAATTTCGGATCCAGGGGCGGAAGGTCGTGTTGTTGGACAGAGTGGGAGGAGCCCCGGAGGAGCAATGAATTCAACCACCAAAAAACACTCCGATTGAAAATGCCCCCTAGAGCGTCGGAAGAATAACGGGAGTAAGGACTTTGCAGCAGATGACGTTTTTGAATCGATTCAATAAACAGTATGATCAGTTTGAGAATCACATTTGCAAGGAACACAATCGCAATTGGTCGATGGCTTCCCCTGAGCCATAGAGTACGTGCTTGACTTCCATCTAAAAGCGTACTGATCGCAAGATATCCACTTAGTAAAAAGGATGGACGAAGTGAGCGATGGTGTTCCTGGTAGGAGATGACGGCTAGACTCAGGGTGGCTAGGAAGCCGAGACAGGCCGCTGGCAAGGAAACCCTGGTCAATTCACCGCGAGGCAAGGCATAGAGGACGATCAACGCTAGCTGTAGGCATCCAAGAGCGGCTACTGCTGTCTAATATTTATTTAACTAAGAAGTTCTTCTGGGTTATGAATCAGTCCTTGAAATGGGGGTTCATACAATTTTTGCGAGTATCAGCCAGTCTAGAGAGGTTTTCAATACCCTCTTTTTCTTGGCCAGTTCAAAATACCGATAGACGGAGCACGCAAGGAAGCACACAGCAGGCAGCAACGAAAGGAAAGATTGCTCAAATAGCAAGGTGAAGTCAGTGTCATCTCGACACCCCCGAATTGTAGGACCGAAGCCGTTGTCGGCACGATCACACGTGTCGCTCATATTGAGCGAACCTGATGGCGAACCCGGGGAAGAGAGCAAGTTGAAAACTTTCGAACCGGAGGGGGCTCTCCATGGGGTGATTAACCTAGCTTGACCTCGATTCGCTTTAGGTTACAGTGGAAGCGCAATTGCCTGTAACCAATCGGCTGTGAGGTCTATAATAGTAGTGTTATCTATATCCCTGCATACCCCATTGACTCAGTTCTATCACCGTCGGAGTACCGGTATATGGGTTGACATGTCAGAACTAATGTCAAATCAAGTCCAGGATCGCATCAAATAGTGATCATGGGAACGATAATTAAACCAATACAGAGTCAGTTGCCGTACATATGGACCCCATATTTTATGCAAATGCTTGATTTATAATTTCCGGAGATCCTATGTAATATCGTCCAAATCCAGTTAGACTCGGGCATAAGAAACAAATTAAAGAATCACCAATTTCTATAAGAGCCCCAAGTTTTTCTCTGGTGGACCCTACGTGGACCCTGCTTCATCTCCACACCATGTCTTCCCCAAGGGACCCCACTCACGATGAAACCGCAAGTCTACTTCAACAAGAACCAGAAGGCTCAGCTCATCCAGATTTGACCAAAGAACCAGTTTACCCTAGTTGGATTACTGCAGTTGTGCTGTTATGCGGCGGGGCGCTTCTTTTCGATCTTTCCAATAATCTGGGTGAGGTCGCCGAGGTCGCTATCTTGGAAGACATAGTATGCCGAGATTATTATGCAAGGTCTGCTGTAAACACTATTCTTTCTGCTGCAGAGAGATGCAAGATAGAGCCCATTCAGACGGAGATTGCATTACTCAACGGTTGGAGGGAAACGTTCGAGACTATTCCTGGTGAGTCCATAATTTGGGGAAAGCGTGACACGATTTGCCTTGTAAAAAAAAAAAACAGCAAAACTGACTTTTGAATAGCAATACTTCTGGCCGTGCCTTATGGGATGCTGGCGGATTGGATTGGATACAGACCGGTCGCTTTGTTGGCCTTCTTCGGTAATGCCATGAGCTCCAACTGGAGTAGAGTGGTTTGTTAGTCTCAACTCGCAGTGGGATACACCTTTCAACATGCTAACCTTATGATATAGTCTGGTTTTACCCTGTATTGCCCATTCGTGCTGTTTGGTTCTCTGCCCTTTGGCAGATTTTCGGGGAGGGCCGCAGGTCGCAACGTCCTTGATTTTTTCAGCTGTGGCTAGTATCACCCCTGCTAAAAAGAGGTATGACTACTGCAAAGGTCGATAAAACATTGTTTGCTAAAGACGCATGCATTAGAACAACTGTCTTCTCTCAAATGACAGCGGTTATCTTGACTACGGAGCTGATTGCACCCCCGGTTGGTGCAGCGCTAATGACAAAAAGTCCTTGGATACCGTTCCTCGCGTCAACTGTGATTGCTGCAACTTCGGTTATTTGGGGAGTGTTATTTTTCCCTGCAATCCATAATCAGACCAAGCCAACCTCCACTTCATCTGACGAGGAGCGGCCAGTTCGTACCTGGTATGTCTCTGAAAAGATCCGAGAGCTATACGAGCACCTCTCGCATAATAAGAATGCTGCACTTGTTGTTGTCTCCTTCTTTGTCACACTTGTGGGGACACATGCATTTGCACTGCTGCTGCAGTATATCTCAAAAAGATTCCACCTATCATATGCCGAGGTATGTTCTCCAGGTATTTTCCATATATATCGAGTCAGTTGTGCATGCTGAGCAATTACTAGGCATCATACGTGCTACCACTTCGGGCTAGTTTTAACCTGTTGTCTCTATTTATTCTACTTCCCGCCATCACAGGTCTTCTTGATCGCAAACTTGGATTTGATATGGCCAGAAGAGACAAGATACTTACTCAAGCCAACGCACTGTTGATGCTTCTGGGGTGTCTATTTATCTTTATGGCGCCAAATCTAATCTTCCTGAGTCTTGGAGTTGTGGTGTTCGGTTTGGGATCGCCGTTTTCTGTCACGGCTAGAACATTGGTGACTTCCCTCGTTGATCCGACATCATTGAGCACAGCCTATACACTTCTCAGTGTAATGAGCTCAATTGGATCGCTGGTAGCAGGGCCTCTGTTGGCAGGGGTGTACCATCTGGGGATGGTCCTTGGTGACACATGGCTCGGCCTTCCGTTTTTTTTCGCAGCGGCATTATACGGACTTGCACTGGTCGCTATATCTGCTGTGAAGGTTACTGCAAGAACAGCATGATTCCAAGGTTTGATTTGAAACTGTTGTGGTATGGCCTCAGGCTACCAGGTGGGTGTGTTAGCCATCCAACTCCTCTATAGGTACGACAGGTTTTAGACGCCACGATATGATTTCTCCCATCAGGGTGAGGCTGCCTAGCTTCTTCGCGTGCTTTCTTCCGATGAGTAGTATTATCCCGCGTTCCACTATCACTATAGGCGGGTCATACACCCAGCCTAGTAGCGTGGGGTCTTCCGGAATGCGTATGGCTTGGATATATCCGTTTTTGTCAAAGTCAATTTGAAATCTCTCCCTACGGTCTATGGCAGACATGTTTTTGGTTGCCAAGTACACTCCTTCGTCACTTAGCTTTACGCCTCGTGGTGGGGGATCCATTCGCCATTTTCACCTGTCTCACTTTGGATACAAAGTGGTGCCTCTGCCATTTCTCTCTGATGGGAATTTGCAAAGGTTGGTAGGAGCTTCCTCGCCTAGAATCCACAGTGGACGTTCAGTTTATTCAGCATAACGTCAAGTCGTTTGTCCGCTTCTTTTCGTAGCCATTCCATGACTTACGTGTACTTGTCATCATCCATAGTCGCACAAACCAGGTCGGTCTCCGCCATGAGATCCATCAGCTGCACGTGGGCCTTGGAACATATTCTCCAAACAGATCTCTCTGGAGGCCAGGAGAGCACTGTTTGGTATGTTGGTTTGAGACTTCTTAGGCATGCTGGGTTGAAAAGCCTTTGAAGGTTAAGTCTTGGGGCACTACGATATTTTCCTGGGAAGCCCTAGAGGTTATCTTAAGGAATTAGTAACAACAATTCAAGGGAAGGAACAACCTTAGACCCCTTATCGGCTATAGTAATCTATCGAATACCCCGGGGCCATGATTGAATACAGAGTCACACTTGGAGCGAGACATTGGAGAATACCAAAGCAACCGAATTCTTTCAGGATTGTTTCATGCTGAGAATTCTAATGTCAATATAGCAGGGCCCCCAATATTCTATATAGAAGTAAGACAAGTCACAACTTGCACCAGTTCGTAGTAATCCAGCATACACATCATCACGCAAAAGAAATCCTAGAGATGCATGAGAAAGGCAAAGCTCCCACCACTTGACCAGCAATTTTCGAGCGTTTAAATGAATCTAATAATATCCTTGAACTCATCAAGCAGATCAATTCCATCGTTGTCCCATGTCGCATTCAAGTCCATCCGACCAACGGTCACAGGAACGGGAGAAACAGGAGATGCAGGAGATGCGGGAGAAATAGGAGGCGCAGGCTGCCCAGGACTCAGTTGGGGTTCATCGTTCAAAGAGTTTGAAGCGTGAACCTGTAAAGCAGGAACAAAGGGAGTTTGTTTAACCCGTTTCTTGTGTTCCATTCGTGTTTCGTCTTGGCTCGTCTTCCGTTTCAGGATGGAGGATTGGTCTGCTTTTGTTGAGAGTGGCAGTATACTCTGCTTGACAGGAGAGTCCTTGGTTGTTTTAATCCTTGAGTCTGGTGGTGTGTCATCCAGGATCTCAATTATCTCGTATTGTCTTTTTGGGGCGGATGGCTTCATTTGGTCTTTCTGGGAGAAATTGATCCGTAACGTGGAGGGCGCGGGCTCGGCACCTGTATGCTTCGTCTCAATAGCCGGCACATCCATGGTGCTGTTCTTTGCCTGGTCATCCACCACTGGAGAAACTGATCTTTCAAACCCAGATCCTCTATTCCTGAGAAGACGTGACGGAGACGGCAAATCATCGAAGCTTTCATCACCGTAATCACTGGAAAGAGGTTTCTCTGGACGCTTTTCCAGCTTTCTCTGGTAGAAAGGCACGTTCTTGTCCCGCTCCGAGAAGATAGACCTCTCTCGACTTGGATTCTTCTTTCCAGCTTGCGATATTGACATCTGCTTCGCCTTTGAAACAAGGCCGTCATTCTTGGGCCCCGTGACGCCTTGTCTAGCCACTTGCTTTCCCCAACTCGAATTATTGGTCGGAGTTGCCTTTGTGATACTTGCTGAAATAGTCAGCTGATTGAGACCACTTTCCTTTTGGGTCGTAGGGATTGTCCGCTTCGGCGGCTTCGGAGGTTTTTCCAGCCCCTCACGACAGCAGAAATGCTTGCAACTGCAATCATCAGCTTAGCCAGCTTAAAAATTAAGAAATTGATGGCTTTCTCAAACCTAGTTTTATCTCTGCATTTATGATTGCAAGCCCATTTGCCATTCGCAAGTCTGACTGGCTCGTACTCGTCCTCTGGCTCGTCCAAGTCCACCGCCCAGTCATCTTCTCGAGGCTTTGAGACCCTCGGTACTCCCCTGGCTGGGCTCGGTGGAGTCGCATCAATTGAAAACCAATCTATATCATCAAAATCGTCAACCTGTCGAGGTCGTGGCCTTGTAAATTCCTTTGCTTTGCCACGGGGTTCATTCACAGCGAGGAAATCATCGAGCTCCAAGTCATCGCCATCAAAATCGTCCACACTCTGTTGAGACTTGGTCATGATGCTGGTCATATCTCGTCCCTGGGGATGAGATGTGTTCGTCTTCGGTTTCTCTGCCTCTCTAGTATTCAAATTTCCCTTGGGGTAACGAGATGGCAAGTTCGAGGTTTCAGGGTTTTGGGAATTGGTATTCCTATCTCGCACAACGGCAAAGAGGTGAGATGGCAGGTTAGGTCTGAGCTCAGCTTGTCTCGATGTTCCCGCTGGGAAATTGTCAGCATATATCTACACAAAAGCAATAGCAGAAGAAAACATGGAAGTCTTACCGATTTCATCACACATAACATGACACACAATAACATGCTCCGCACTCGCCAATTCCGCGGTGAGTTCAATTTCCAGCTTCTCTTGGAGCTTGGCTGCACTTGAAGGGTATCAGAAATTGCTTACAACCAAATAACTAGCTCGGAATCTCACCTTGTGCGTCTGAAATCAATCATATGACCATCAGACCTCTCTATCAAGCAACACACATAAACCGGACGACGTTGGAAGAACGTCGGGATTTTGTCATTCATGAACGCGACTTCAGCCTTGAATCGGACATTGACACAGTCAACTTTCACTTCCTGTCTTCCACATTAGAAAAATCACATTTACCGTCATAACAAATTCCAAACCTTTCCAAGCATCTTCACAGAAACCCTCAGTTTCGGGAACTCCTTCAATCTCGAGAGCAACTTCGACCCGAAAGGCGGATTCTTGCTAAGAACCATCTCAATCTGATGAGCTTCCGCACATTCCAGTCCTTCAATACTAGTGATCCCAGCAGCAGCCAACTTCCGAACTGTAACAACACCCACTTGCTCAATCTGCTTCATTTGGAGAGGTGAGTGGTCCCAGACCTTTGCTCCAAAGCTTCGGGCGAGTTCAAGGGCATTAAGGATCGTAATTGAGTCACCACGGGCGATTTGACAGTCGAGTAAGCAGCGAATTAGTCGGTTGACATGTGCAAAGACTAGGCTTTTGTCTTGCTGGAAGGTAAATTTGTGTTTCTGAAGTTGGTCGTTATCGGGATACTCAATTGCCCCTAGCTCGGATTGAAGGAGTAGTGAGATCTTGTGGGCTGGGAGGGCTAGATCAACCTTGATAGGGAAACGAATTCCTGGGTCACGGTTGATCTCTCGATAAAGTGATTTCTCGGCAGCTTTGAGGCGGATCTCGCGGAACTCGTCACCTTGAGCGATCACATTTAGCTGGAATGTAGTGTTAGTTGTAGTTCTTCATTTCAGCAATCCAAGGGAAATACTCACAATTTCGGACAATGTTGCCTTTGGCTTCAGTGACAATAGAACTTTCATGGTCTCGAACTGGATGTAGTACCGAGCCATAGCTTCGCCGAACTGGGTCGAACAAAGGCTTTCGCATCCGACCAACCCATATTTTTGAAGAAGATTGATATCCTTCTCACAAATATTGCGAAGCAGCTGATCCTCATCTTCTTGGTCCGCCCCTTCCTTGAGCTTGTAATGCGTCGGGTTACGACGAATCCTTACAAACAAGAATGTACCAGCAAGCCATTTCACGGCCGATTGGACGTCCGTGATGTTTCCCAAGCCAATCTCAGCGTTGAGGTGATCAATGAGGTTTAAATGTAAGCAGCTCTCCAGACTGTCGGATCCCTGAACCAGTCTCTCATAGTGAGCTACGCGCTCCTTCCTGGTGAGGATGACTGCCGTCGCACTATCGTCGAATTGAGGTCGGCCCGCGCGACCAAGCATCTGCATCATCTCCAAATCCGAGTACTCCTTGCAGCCTCCATCTTGCCAACTGACAGTATTTTTGATTATGACAAGGTGGCAAGGTAAGTTGATTCCCACTGCAAGTGTAGACGTGCAACATATGACGTTGATGTTCCCTTCTCTGAAGCCTGTCTCAACAGTGTGGCGATCAGCGGGCCCCAAACCAGCGTGATGGAATGCTACACCAGTAGGAAGGGTTACTATCTCCAATTAGCAAAGTTAATCTTAAAAAAGAGCTCATATACTTACTCTTTAGGTCCTCGTTATGAACTTCGAGGCGTTTCTTGGGTTCCTTCCAAAGCCTTGTGGGTGGATTGGTCAATGTGAAAAGACGGGCCAATTCTTTTGCCGTCGCGAGGGATGAGTTTCGCGTGCAACAGAATATCATGATGGGTTTCTTGCATGAATGCATTCCGATCACTTCGGGCAACCTTTTCAAGCACCAATCAGTATACCAAACGAGTAACACAAATGGAAAGAAGGGACAGAAGCCGAAAGGTCACGTACTTTGAACCGCAAACTTTATCAAATACAAAGTCATTCAAATTAGACGCATACCCATAGACAACCTTCTTCAGCATGACAGGACGAAACTCCTCGCCGAAATGCTCCCGGTGCGCAGGAACATGCTGATTTGTCGCATCCTTCCCAAGCCAGGTAGCAATATCCTCAGAGTTAGGAACAGTCGCACTCAGTGCCACAAATCGCACATTCGATCCAATGTTCTTCATTCGAGAAACCACAGCCTCAAGCGTAGCTCCTCGCGTCTCCTTCAGGATATGCACCTCGTCGATAAGAAAGAGTTTCACGAGCTGCATCAACTTCATATGATCTTTCCATTTCCGAGTCATGCTATCCCACTTCTCGGGCGTCGTGATGATAATCTGGCTACTCTGGACGTTTCGCAGTTGCGTGTGGTCCGTGTCTCCGGTCAGTTCTGCGCATTTGAGATTCAAGCTGGAGAACTTGGAGTGCCAATCTCGGAAGCGCTCACTGCAGAGGGATTTGGTGGGTGCTTGGTAGACTACTTTGAAGCGTTCGTCTTTGAGGGTGTTCAGGAGTCTGCATATGGCCAATTCCATCACCACTGTCTTGCCGCTGCCGGTGGGTGCAGACAAAACGATGTTATCATTGCTGTTGTAGACGGAATGGAAGGATTTAGATTGAATGGCATTGAAAAGTGGGAAAGGAAACATCGAGCGGTAGTTCTCTGGTAGGTTATTTACTGGTACGAGGACGATTCCCCGCACAGATGGTGGTATATTGCTAAACGGATTTTGACATTGTTTATTGACAGTCAAAGCCTCGGGGCTCGCTTGTGCGATCGGTTCCTGGGGTGAGTTCTGACTAGTCTCGTCATTGTAAAGGCCACGATTCGTCTCAAGGTTGCGCTGTCCCATCCGCATCCCATCCTTCTTCTGCTGGAACAAAGTCAAGGGGCTCGAGGAAGGCCCTAAAACAGGATCCGACGAGCTGGATCCATTCCAGCGGGAAGAAGGGTTACTCGAGATTGCTGTTACTTGTCAATCCCGAATCGTCAAGAGAGAAACACCAGCACTCGTATACAAGCAACTTACGCTGAAAGAAACGGGAAAATTGAGGTGCCTGTAGATCAGGTTGACGAGAGGGTTGAAGTGGCGTAGATCTAGGAATTCCAAATCCTGGATCTTGAATTGACTCCTCTCTATCTTCTGAGGCCAGTAGTTCCAGGTCTGGCTTGCATCAGCACCCGCCATGATGATAAGTCGGCAGACTCACCGAAAGCATCCAATTCAACGTCCTCATTGGGAGCTGATGATGTCAGCTCAGTGAAAGGTTTGCAAAGGGACGAGATGTTGGGTTGCGGTTGCTGGGAGTCATTGATCGGTGTCTGATGCATCGTTCCAGCTCCACTGCTCTTGGATGGTGAGGCGGCATCTGTGCGCCTCAGAGTGGGCAATTGGAATGGCTTGAAGTTTGAGGTCTGATAGTTTCTTCGCATTTTGAAATGCAATCTCGATGATTTAGATTGAATCTGGGTGCTTGTAGTAATGAGTTGCAGAGTGTCTGGTTCCAAGTTCTATCCACGGATGCTTCCGATAACGTGACAGCACGTGGACCACCCATACCTATACTGTAGCAGTGTCATTTCAAAATCAGTAAGAATAGGAGTTGTCAAGTATTGTGGGGTATATGAAAGTGTTTCATTGATTCGTATATATGCATACATGAGCCAAAGGCAGCAAACATCTTGACAGCAAGAGGACATGCAAAATTGGGCAGCGAAGAGGCGCTAGCTCCAAATTAGGAGCGACATCAAGAATAGTAAAAAGGGCTCGCGGCTGGCGACTTTCTTGAAGACCGCACTTACATCCGCATCTATCAGGTATCCAATATCATTTCCCGTAAAGAGGCATCTCATCACGTAGATCAATATCAACGTGCATAGCAAGGTACATCAATCATTTCTCATCGAAGTAGCTCGCGCTCGCATTCCGGCTAGAGCTTACTCTAGTATGGCCAGGTGCCGGTGAGGTGGGACGGGATGACGACATGCCGTCAGAGAGGAAAGGTGAGGTTGGAAGTTTGATAGAAAAGTCGTTGGGAGGCGCCACAGGGGAGCCATCGGGACCTACGGCGTCCTTCTCGTAGGCGTCGATGCGGATTGGAGGTGGACGCAAGGAACCCACTGCAGGGTTGAAGGTGGGGTTTCCATAGTAGTGGGTTGCTACCAGGACTGCAGCTGAGCCCAGGAGGAACTATAATGTCTCAGTCAGTCTTGTTCATAATGTGCATGTGGAGGCAGGCTGAGAAGTGTTAAAAATGCAGGGGACGTACGCTTGCAGTGACCTCAAATTCAAATAGCCAGATGCTTCCAACAATGGTCAAAATTATGTTGGCAGTTGTGGCCAAGCTCCTTGCATCCTTCTGGGCGTTGCTGGCGTAGAATGCAGAAACGATACCACCCAAGGCTTGGATGATGATAGTAGACCACACCGCCCAATTGTAGCCCTGGAAGAAGCCATCTTCGGCGATTTTTTCACCATCCCGGAAAACAATTCCAATGAAGAGAGCCGGGAAAACAGAGTAGACGGCCAATTGCACATTGCGGACCCACAACGAGATGTGATTCGAGCTGTCCTTGAGGACTTTCTCGAAATAAATGCCCGCAAGCCCGGAAGCTAAGGACGCTCCGATAGTCGCAAGGAGACCAATTGCGGGGTTCAAGTGTGGGTCGGCCGTCAGGATGTCCTCTTCAATCCCCTCGTATGTTGCAGACCGCTTTTGCAAACTGCTGCCAGCACCAGCACCTTGCTTGACAGCCTTCCACTCCTCCAAGGATCGCGGGAAATGATGACTAGCATGATCATCCTGCAACATCTGCTCGGGGCTGGCATCGGGGATTTGCACCAATGCCACGCCCACAACAAGAAGCAAAAGCAGGCCCCACTTGCGGGCGGGGATGCTCCGTTTCAGAAGCATCAGACCAAAGATCGCAGTGGTAAGGAACTTCAGCTGGAATGTAATCTGGAACGACGCAGCTCGTAAGTTCGAGAGCGCAATGTACAGGAGGGAGTTGGACAAGACGTCGAGCGAGGCAGGGATAGCGAGTTTCCAGCTGTCGCCTGAGAACACGGCGCTTGTGAGGGAGAAAAAGAGAGAGGTAGCGGGCATCGAGGGTGGTGCGGTTTTGGAGACGTCGTAGAGCGCCATTGTGAGGGGAGATGGCCAGCTTGACCACTTCGACTAGGAAGACCGCCGTAGAGGTCAGATAGCGTTTACCACCGGCGGGAGGCATAACTCGAGAATAATGAGCTAGCTAGAATATCGTAAAAATATAGATTAGCCTTCCATTCTTATCACAGGTGTTTTCTGCGTCGCGCAGGGTGACTTACCAACACAAACGCAGTCGACTCCGCCGTGAACTAGAAAGAAACCGAGGTAAGTCAGCGAACAGAGTCCCCAAACCGCAAAGGCCATGTAATTTCCAACAAGGTCGTACCAGAATCCATGGCGCAAGTCTGGCCGCAGCTCGAAGCCCAGATGGCTGGCGTTGGGCGCGCTCTCCCATGACGAAGTAGTAGGTCGCGTGTTCCCTCTAAACAGTGGCTAATGTTTCCGCAAAAGGGGCACGCAGTGCAATCCCCAGTCCGGTGAATGTGGTGAATGAGTTCAGTGGAGGGAGCGACAAGAAAAAGTGTGTACGATGTAGAGCAAAGTGTAAATCCGAATTCGCGAACCAGGGGTGTGGGTTGTTCTGGAGATCTTCCCTTTTAGATCCCGATAGGGTTTCCCGAGGCGATCGGGGGGCGATGTGGGTGGCTGGGAGGCGAAGGAGAGGATGGGCATCGGCTAACTCCGCTGTATGAAGGAGAGTATATTGAAGAACTTGGAAAGGAACTTGGAAAAGAAAAGGAAAGGATAGAGCTCAGGACGACAGTAATCTGGGGGTATAGACGAGAAGGTCGGCGGTCAAAGAGTCACCAAAGGTTCGAGCGCTGAAGTTTTTCTCTGCACTAGGTAAGTGTGTACGGAGTACAAATATATGGCACACCTCGTTTACAGGAATCTCATATCATATTTACAATGTCTTGGACTCAATTTTGGTCCCCCTTAACCTTGAAAAAAGTTGATGACGTCGAGCTGCCCAGGGCATCTCCAGGGCATCTCCACCACATCCACAGCCCCATTGTTATTCCTCCTATGTCGTCATTCGTCAACATTCTCTATTCTATACGGAGTACTCCGTAGTTTCAGATTGATTATTCTAGTCATTTATACATATCTAGAAAACCCCATCTAAAAGGAAATTTACATGAAGACGAAGACAACATGTTCACATCCTCCGAGTCCTACATGGTTTAGTTATACCGTTAAGTACAGAAGTCATAGCGACTGACTATTTTTGCTTCTATATAAACGACCAACACAATACATATAGATACAAACTTGTCATTAGGATGGCAATATAATAATCCAAAGGCGCTACATTGATGGAGATTACTTCAAAAAAAAAAAAAAAAAAAGATGGGCGGTGAATCCTAAAACCCAATAGGACCAAAGTCCTTAGTGGTCGCTATGCATTGCAATATACAACTGGGGCCAAGCTGGACCGCCACTTTTTAGGGGCAAGACTAGGTGGAGAATGGAACAAGAACATTGCACAAGTTCGGTTGATGAATTGGTGACCATTGAGAATATTAATGACAACAGTCATGAGCCGGAAATAATGAAATCGTGAGAGAGGCACGAAGATCACCCAAGTTAAAACATGATATCAGGTATAGAAGCCTGTGTGAACGCTAATTCAAAAAAAAGCAATGAAGAGAAAGTGAGAAGTAAGAAGAGACAAGGAAGAGGGGTCATGTAGGAAAAGGACAAGTGAGGTCTATGTGGTTGGAAAATGCTTGCAGCGAAGTGCTGCAAGATGCGATGAAATCAAGGAAATATAGGAAAGACTGTAGGAGATCAAATCAAGTAGGAGTACGGAGGGAGTGAGAGAAGAGTGAAATAGGAAATGTAAGGGGGGGAGTGAGAGTGTTGGGTATCAAGGGCCAAGCGATCAGTGCACAGAACCGATATTAGCGCTTTCGCGGTTCCAATCAAAGTCGAAGGACCAGAGAGGAAGACCGTTATTGCCTTTCGACTCCGCGCCATCGTCTAGTAGGATAGCCTCGCTACTATCGGTGCGTCGGCGGGTGTGCTGCTTCTGATCTCCGGGGATGGCAGGCGGGGGCCCTCTTGGGGGTGGCTTTGGAGAGGGAATTGGCGAGAAACGATGAATTGGCAAAGTGGGTGTCATCGGTGAAGCACCGCTGGTGGAAGGGGAGGGCAAGCTCTCTGAGTAGTCCGCACTGAAGCCAGAAGAGGAAATTTTAGCGCGAGGTTTCCGTTCGCTATCCGACCCCGAGCTTTGGGAGGGCGTTCCATCTTTATATTGGGTAGCACCCTTTTCCGATCGGACGTCGAATGGCGGGAATACGTTGCTGAGACGCAGGAATGAGGTGTCGGATCCGCAGAAGGAATCGCGGGATGGGCCAGAGGCTAGTGATCTTCTGTCCGCTCCTTGAGCATTGAACAGGCTCGGCGTGACCTTGCCCTTTCGGATACGCATCGCCTCGAGGAGATCTTGCTCTTGGCGGGTCACGGCGATTACACGACTCCTCCGGTTCAACTCTTTCAACTCTGCGGGGGAGCGGAGAGGCTGCTGGGGGAATTGCGCCAGAATCTCATCGGGGATAGTGGGAACTCCGCTCGAACGGCGAGTTTGCGTGGTCCGCCCAGCTGTTTGAGACTTGTCGTTCGAGGATTGAGCACTTTTTCGTGGGCGAGGTACTGGCACTGGCAGGCTGTTTTCGGTTTGGCGGGAGCCACGAGTGCTAGTCGAGAGTTTCCGGTCAAATCGTCTTACCGCCGTGGCAGTGGTCGCGTGAGCAGTGGAAGCCGTGTAGATCTGGGGGTCGTATTCGTCGTAAGTAGCCACACTGTTCCTTCTAGACTTGCTCGCATTGCGCTTTGACTCGGTGGTTGGGGTTTGATCCTCGTCATCCTCGTCCTCTGAAGAAGAAGAGAGGCAAAGCATACTGGTATTTCGCAGATCTTTGTTTTTCAAGGTGCTTTTGCTGCTCTTCTTGGTCAATGAGCTCTTGTCGCTCTTTGATTTTGACTCATTGGTCTTCCAAGATTCCTGGGAAGTGCTTAAGCCACGACCACGCTTAGGGTCTGGACATGTGGCAGGACTCAAGTACGTCTCCTTAGATCGAGAGGGGCTGTGGGCGCGTCTTGAGCTCTTCCGGGGTTCTTCGGGGCGTTGCTGTTCTTGCTGCAATTTCTCGCGGCTAGTAGTATATACGCTTGAGCGACTCAAAAGTGATCGTCGCCCCGCATATCGATCCAGGGCCAAATCAATCTCACTCGTCCCTACTGTCCGCTCGAATGGTTGTTCTAGCCAGTCACTACTTTTGCTCTCCGCAATGGAAGGCAAATCCGAATTATCACCGCTATGCTTGGGTGGGTCATTTTTGGTGATCGAAGATCGGCGAGGAGGGGGAGGTGGGTCGACGTATCTCCTCGTAGTAGAATTGCTCGTGCCGCCGGTCATCCTTTCAATCTTGTTGGAAGATTCCGGGACAACTGTAGAGACGGGGGAAGGGGAGTTGACCATTCGGTGGGGGAAAGAAGTGTTTGTTCTGTGGGACTCCGTGGCTTGGGGAACAAGACGGAAAGATCGATTTTTGGAGGACGCATCTTCCGCTTAGACTCTTTCGGCGGATCTTGAGCCTGCGTGTATGTCACTTCTGGCTGACTCGCCAGACCATGTCGTACTCTAGGTTGGAGTTGGTTCTTGGGTGATTTAGAGGATTTGGGTGATTTGGAGGATTCTTTGCTGAAATAGGAGAAAAGGGTGGACGAGGAACCAGCATGGTGAACCTTTTTCGACGACTTGGGGAGCGGCGGCGCAGCCTCCTGCGATCGATAGTCATGGCCTAGCAGAGGCGAGGAAGCCCGTACGCGAAGGTTTTGATCGGGGGAATGAGAGTATTTTCTGAAGAGCGCGGGAACGGAACGAAGCCGGAGCTCTGCCTAGGAGCATCATTGGGTGGCTTCACAAAGCTCGGTCGGGATACATTTGGAGGCTCCTGCCACCCGCCATGTTCCGTAGGAAGTGATATGTCGGTTCCGAAAAATCTTTGGGCTTTCGAGGTTCGCCGGTCGATTCGGGTCTGGTCCTTAGTGCTCATTGGGTCGTGTTGTGCTGGTTTGCGACTCGATGTTCGAAGCGGCACATGGACCGGTGTGATCTCTCGGTGTCCCATGGTGGGAGAGGGGCCCAAATTCAATTGCTCATGAAATCGTATGATGCGATGGGCTCATGAGCTCTGAGTACGCAAAATATGTGGCAGCTCAGCGGGACCCCGGTGGTTCAAGTATTGGTCTCGGGTCCGACTCTAATCTACTCCACCAAATTAGTTCATTAAGTGTGCAATTTATTTAGGGGAAATTGAGCTAGGCGTCAACGTACCGGAGAAATAAAGATATTTTTTGGGGATGTTTAGGTGGTGACTTGGGATTTGGGAGGGTATAGTTTTGGTGAAATAAAAGATCCGGGCAAAATGCGTGTCAAATTGGGGTCGGGATGTTTTTTTTGTACGTCGACAAGATAAATTATTTAGAACCTTGGAAGGATTTCCTATTCCTACGGGTCTGAAAGGGGGAGAACTCCACAGATGTCTTGAACCAGATCCTCATAGGCCGAACAGTAGTGTTTCATTTAATTCCAATTTTAATTGCGAGTGGAGCACGGCATCTCCAGAGCTGATCGACATACGGTATTAGGAATATTAGAAATAGTACGGACGGAGTACGGAGTAGGTAGGTTATAGGATGTGATGGCCTCGGGGAATTCCAGGTTGGCTTGTGATAGCTGTGAATCTGATCCGGGTGGCGATTTGTTATGTACCTATAAGGACTACAGATCATGCTATATAGCATGCATTTGCATCACACTATTATTCTTGGTACAGTAGGTACTTTGTACTCTGTACTCCATACATTTAGATCTCATTTTTAACCCTATAGGAGATTTATCCCCCTTACTGCGGTATCTGCAACCTAAAATAAAATCCAAAGTAACGTGAAGAACGTGGTGGCTTTCTCCGTACTCTCCGTCGACGCTATTGACGCCCAAATCCTGTCCACATCCTTGCCTTCGCTAATTGGAATTATTTATCTTCTGCTCCACTCATTTAACTATCCAATCCCCTCCTATCCACTCGCATGGATAATTTTTCCCTAATCACAAATCGCTAGAAAATGTGGAGTCCACTCGAGGGCTAGAGCCAAACACTATGGAGAATTGCATTACAATAGCTGATGCCAATACCTAGGTACTCCGTACACAATTCAACCCGCGACGGTCGCGTCTGAGAGCCAAGATCGACAAATCGATCGTTCGCCCAATGCACCGGGGCGAAGCTCTCTAAGATCTCGTTATGCACGAAGGCCCCAGTAGAGGTCTGCCCCACTCTCCATGACAAATATTGGTGGACTCTGTAATCGTACTCCTTCCCCCTTGGATCCTAAGTCGCAGCAAAATTTCGACAACGGAGTAAGAATACTCGTTTCCCGGGTAGCCCATCGCACATGCATTGTACAGAAGCCCACAGGAACTGGTAATGATCGACCTGCATGTGGGCTCGTCTTTTAAACTCAACCTTCCACATTTGCTCGGAATGGAAGTGAACTGAGACATGAATTCAGTCGTTTGCCGCTTGACAGCTTTGACGGCCCATGGTTGTGGATAAGTGACGCGCTGTCTTCCGTACACCGGGGACCTATAATACCAAAGTCGGCGACCAAGACAGTAATCTCCCTATCCCTAAAAATAAAGAGGCACAGACACCACTATAAACAAACTTTGGCATCCTTGCAACCAAGCCCATGTGCCGCGTCTTAGACCCACGAGGCGGAACAAGCAGCCATGACACTCCCGGGGGCACAATTTCACTCAGATCGAGATCCCTGTCCCTTGTTCATCCGAGATCGATTCACCGAACGCCGATCAAACCCCCTATACGGAATTAGCCGGTTTTCGGACTACCACACCAAGGACTTACGTGTGCGAACCAACAATAGGGAGGAGCACTATGCCGATCGAAAGAAGTGAGCTGCAAACGCATTCTTTGAATAACCGTTGGAAACACGACAAAAGACAAAACAATACTCACTGCATTACGCCACATTTTACCCCAAGTTCAGTCAAACGGAACACACTATTGAATTCAGCCTAGTGGTTTGGCAGGTGGCTAGGCCAAATTGTCATGCGGATACCCCCCTGATGGTCGCCAATAGTCGACTCCAATAGCCTAGTATGGTTCCAGGGATTCGGTTACGCTCTATTGTCGATCTATTGTCTGCTGTGCAGATCAGGGAACGAAAATCATGGAAATCCTCCACACTTGACATCCCACTTTCCAAATTTTGAGGCTTCACTCCGTACATGATTTTGCCACAAAAATGCACAACATTGTACAGAGAAACCTGACCGAAGTATCCGAGAAGGTAAGATGATGGACCAAAAATAGCAGAGAAAGGATAAAATTAACCATCTATATATGAAGGAACAAGTATAGAAGACCTTCTATTACAACCCTTCTTTTTCACTCGGTCAAGCTAGCTACCGATCTACTCCATACTCCGTACCTACTCTAATATGATGTGCAGCAAAAGGTTCAGTCTCATGGACTGTGCTGCACACGGAACGACCCAGCGGTCTAGAAGTGGAAGAAGTGGATATGCATCCAAAGATTTAGGAAACACTAGTCTTATACTCCGTAAACTACTGCAATCACTCCTCTATTTAAGCTTCATCTTCTTGGCCTCCCGAGTATAAACGACATCTCCGAATTCCTCATCTTTCGAATCCAGCAACCGCTTTGACACGCTGTTTGAGGTCTGCCCCTCAAAAAAAATACCCACTGGCAGAAGGGTTAGAGCGCACCCGCTCCCAAAGTTTAGGTTGCCAGCGAGGGTCAATGGTATTATACCACTCACCAGACTCACTCAGAATACCAAATAAAGGTACACCAGACTTGGACCAATGCGATCGAACCATTGGCGGGGAGATAGGAGGGGGTATATCGTACTGCTCGATGATTAGATCATATATAGCCATGGACCTTGTCGCAGATGTATGGAGTCACTTGCATACTCTTCAATGAGCAACATCGGGTCCAAGATTTCGCTGCAGATGGTGTTGCAGGCCGGGATTGTCTTGTTGAGCAAGAATTTGCTGCTTCCTATCTTATGGTAGTGCTCTAACTTCTTACTCTCCTCTGATCTCATGATGCCAAGTTTCCGGATGCTGTGGACTGCTACATGAGCCTCGTCATCGCTACGATCTGGCTAATATTAGACAAGTTCTTTAAAGGATGGCAGTTGCCCTTACTAAGTTCTCCGGCCACTTGCCAATTCAAAGTTGGTGGTCTTCCGACAGTAACGACAAAGTAGATTATTCTGCGCGTTCGGATAAGCTTAATCAATTCTTCCATCAGATCGCTGTCAAAGTCGTATCCGATCAAGCAACTATAGCAGTAATGTATATCTGGAATTCGTTCATCCCTGGCAGAATAATAGCCGTAGCACAGGGTGTGCTGCCAATCTTTGCAATTGGCACATTGTATCTTGCAAAGTTAGTTAAAACTAATCGTTTATTGCATACCATAGCTTCATGACTTACAGACTTCCTGGGCTTGAAGTTCCAAGTGTTGCACTCACACCGATAGTGACGCTGATCCCTGTGTCCATACTGGGTCATGCTGTCACTTGGCCCGGGCAGATTCTCTATTTTGTCCTTTTTCTCCTTGTCCAGCTTCTCGGTGACACCGTGGCGGTTCTCGACATATGCTACTGTTCTCGCTTTGACGGTGGGTTTCGACCCCGCAGTCTGCAAACGACGTATGTAGTTCTCCGGGGAAAAGTCTTCTCGAGACTTTCTACGAGCCTGAGAAGAATGAACACTATCTCGGCTAACAGGAAAATTTGCTTCCTCCTCTGGCCAATTCAAAGGTATGCTAGATTTTCTTGAGCGTTCAGGGCGAGGTAGTTTTGCGACAAATTTGGTTTCTGAAGAGTCATCTGAATCAGCTTTGACGGCCTCAGCCATTAACTGGGCCTTTTTATGCACCCAAGACTGATAATTTTCCAAGTCTTCTTCGTTGAAGAAGATTCTGTCCTCCACTTTATTCTCTGTCTACTTAAAGTCAGCACTCGTTGAATGGTTTGAGTAGGAGCAGCAGTGACGGCAAACTGACATAACGTCGTGATTCTCTGAATTTCATTCTCTGAGTTATCATCGTGCATTCGATTGGGGTGTATTGAAAATCTAATAACTCTTTAAAGGAGATTATTGCGTCTGTATCGAACAAAATATTTAGTTACGATGTAAACAAAATGAAGCGGAGACGAATATTTACCATCGCCGTCACCAGCAGTGCTTTCATCGGTGGAGACATATATCTCTCCGACTACATCCAACGGCATTTGAGCAGGCGTGGGGATTCCGACATCGCCAGAACGGATCACTATATCGTCGTTCGCTTCCTCCGCAGAAGGGAAATAGGCCTCGCCACCGGGCGAGGTAGAACGAAGAGAACTCACTCGTAATCCGAGCCTTCAATATGTTACACCTGAGCTTCAATTAGACCAAAGCAAATGCTAAAAATTTAGGAAGCGAAATAAGGAAACATACGTGTGGAAACCGCTGTCGACGCTTCCGTAAAAGCGCCTAGTCCTCTCCCAGTACAAAGTCCGCGAATATTCAATTGTGTTGTCCTGGGAATCAGCAAACCCAGGCACATTTTAGGATCCGGGACACTTCGATTTGTAGAATACATGTATTCCTAGGCTGCGCTCGTCTGTTCGATTCGTGAGTGCCAACCCCGGGAATGGGCAATAATAGAGTGCACATACTAGGCAATGGCGGGCTTTCAGCACACATAGTTCTCAACCGTCGGATAAGGGCCTTCCCTTCAAAAATCATATTACGCATGCTCGCTCGATCCTCATGGGGGCTGACAAAATCCATCCTCGGGCCATTGGTTAGGCGATCTGCAGTGCTGCGCTCACCGAAGTTGTCGAAGGTGAAGGTGTAAGATTCCAGAATCTTGTTTGGCGAGGCTTTGTCTGCAATAACAGTAAATTGGACGGCATGTAGCACGCCTCTTAGGAAAGCATCAAAGACGCCATTTTCCTAGAAAGGATGGATATTAACATTGTTTAATAAATGCGAATATATCGGGTACTCACTAGAAGGTCGAGAAGCCGATCGGCTACGTCCGAAATTGCCCTTGCTCTTCCCATTTACAAAATGGCATAGTTGTAGCGCTCATGGAAGCGGTTTGCTGGCAGAATTCGCTCGCCGAAGGCATGTATGGGCAATAATCCACTGTATCCTATGTGTCAGAACGTGAATAGTATATTACAAGGTCATTTAGGTCATGACTAACCGCATACATAAGAGCGATGCAGTCTATAAGACGTATATTAGATTGGCTACAGCAACATGGACCTCGTGTAAAATGGACTTACGGTCATATGTAGTGTTATCTTCATTAACTCCAGGCTTTGCTCCTATTATACCATAAGAGTTGGTTGGGTTCATCTCGGGTGCTATTGATTCAGTAGGGCTACTCACGATCACGGGAAACCGGTGGATTTTATCCGCTTTGATTTCGGGCTGTGGTGCCCCAGACTTGGAGGCAGCCCTTAAAGCTACAGTTTTCTTGGAGCGAGACATGATTCTGGCAGTATGAGTATGACAGACCGAAAATGAGAATTAAACATTGTAATGGGAGAAGACGAGCATAGTATATTTCTATGGGGAGTGTGGATAAACAGGAACAAAGAAAAATGCAGACCAGCGAGTCCTAAGAATAAGATATCTTTTATTTAAGTCACTAGGCATGAACAAAGGAATGTCGTATATCTTGAAACATCTTAGGGATCTACCGATCTATTCATAGACACTAGAAGCAACGGCCACCCTAATTTGACCAAGGATGTAGGCATGGCTGTATAGAGCCTATGGTGAAGTGTCTACCTATGCTTCTATTTTAATTTTTCTTTTTTTTTTCTCATCGGAAATCTGTAAACGTCACTTTGCTCCAAAATATATATTCGGATATACCGGACAAGTTTGTTTCCTATCGGGTTTCCAGCGAACAAGAGGCCGGGTGGTTCAAAGTCAAAACATATTTCCCTTCAACTATCACCTGTCAAGTCAAGTCAAGTCTAATACTACAAAATATTATCGATCAAGGGTATCATAGGAGGCAGGGCTGAAGAGTTGTAGTACGTAAAAGCAACCAAACCCTAACGTATTCGGTAAGCGAGTGGGCCATGTAAGCCAGTGGGCCACCCCGAAACACCATACTAAAGGCGATTTTATATCTCAACAACAACGCATTGATACTACTTAAAGCTTATAGAGAACGTTGGTAACTAGATTACTAGCTATATTCCGAACTTTTTGGGAGATTCAAATGATTATTCATTGATTTTACCAAAAATACAACATATTTTTGATCATTTTATAAAAAAAAACATATAACTCAATTCGTACTTATTTAGAATTTCTAAAACTTTATGAATGTATTAGGATCTTTATTTTAAGACCATAATGTCATAAGAATATAATACATTTTGTGGCCGTCGAGATATCAAGTATCTATAAAACGCCTTTAGTATGGTGTTTCGGGGTGGCCCACTGGCTTCCATGGCCCACTCGCTTACCGAATACGTTAAATAGATGTGGGGGGGACCTCGGGAGGCCGAGACATCTCAGATATCAGTGGATATTCCACCTGGGCAAGATGTGACTTGCATAGAGTAAGTAGTAAGGGGCAACAGTCTACAAGCTTATTATTCCTTACCCCTGTGCCCTGTGTCCTATGCCCAAGCCCCTAGTAAATAATTTCTTCAGCATAACAATGAGATACAGCCTGCCAAGAAGCCACCCGAGGCACGCCCCCACCTCACGTGATATGTGGCGATGGCAAATCAAAAACTTGATGCAACTTGATTTGGACGAATAGATTACAATAGTCGGTCGCTTATGTGGCCGTGTCATGTCTTTTTGGTCTTTTTGGAGGTTCTTTTTTAGATGTCTTTTTGGGTGTATACGAAGGCAGTAAAAAGTACTGTGCAGAGGCCTTTTCGATATATAATCTTTGGTAACCTTCGATATATGTGATTTAGGGGTAAATTTGAATATATTAATCTATTACGTTGTTAACCGCATGGGCAAAGGAACATTTGGAAGTCCATCTGCTTATCTGACTGTCATTATCCTCGGTCCCACTTCTATCTGGTGATTTCTGCCGGTCTAGAGCAGGCCCAGGGGGGGTTTTCTCTCCAGGTTTCACACTCGGATCATTTTGAATTTGGCATGGACAATAACAAAGGTAGAATATACTATATTAATATATGAAAGAATAATTTTTACCCAAATAAGCAAAGAATCTACCAAAGTCAAAAAATCAAAATGTAGCACGTTGGGCCATGACATCGTCCACCTACGGGAACCGGAATAAATGTTGTTCTCCGCCCCAACTCCTTGTCAGCCGCCACTGTTTCTTTCTCCCCTTCCCTTTGCTTCCTTGCTTCCATTATTTGTGTTTTTGTTTCCACACACCCCCTAACAACATTGAACTTGACTATTCTCCGTTCTAACATGTGCTGAATGCCCTTTGCATCGATGGTTCCGCTGGTGTACCGTGCTGAGGGGGTGTTTCACTAAAAAAAAGAGAATTTGCGAATCACCGTTCCTTTGTCTTCTTACATGAGCTCGCTTTACCATGACTTCAAATGCTCCTACCTCCCTTCAAATATCTGAGGTCGACTCGGCTTTGAGCGATCACAACGCGTCCGTATCTGCGCCCTCTCATGCGACCCACAGCCCCGGATCTCGATTCACTCATCCTCGAAAACACGAAATGGACGAGGGAGAGGAGCTGGGCCAAGGGCCATCAAATGCGGCGATCGGACAGTTCACCTTTGCCCCTACTACCAGAACTACAGTGGTGACAACCACCACGACCACCACCACCTCCTTCCCGCCTCTGACCATCAACCCCCCGCGAGCCGTCAAGGATCTGGATGCCCGACAATACCCTCTCGCCTCATCTCCGACTCCAGCGGCCTTGAGAAACCTCAAGTTCAAGATTGGCGATAAGTCGATCATCTTCAACGAACCTGAGGATACCACAAATGCTGCCGCTGAGGTACGATTCTATGCTCCCTCTCGGTTTTCATGGTTCCAATGCTCACAGTATAATAATTTATAGTACAAGGAGAAAAGCGAGGCGTTGAAATCTTCAAACGGCCAGATTCGCTCTGTGAACTCGTTCATCTCCGAGGGCGAGAACCCCACTCGCCGGCTAACCCCTCCGAGGATAGCGAGTCAACCGTCTAGTCACCCGTCCAACAATCGTCGTCGTGCGGTCTCCCCCGTCCCACTGTTTGATGCTCGACCTTCGGTTCTTCCGCGAACTCGCCCATCACGAGTTCCTTCTGAGCCCATTACACGCCGCACTCGCCAAAGTGGCGTAGGATCAACTCATCTTGCCGCTGGTCTTGCCACCCCAGATACCGAAAGCAACCTGGGGGAGTTGGTGAAAATGCGGCCCCAAGACCGAGGATTCATAGCTCGGTGTTTCCGCGCAGGGAACCCCCTTTGCCGTCACCTCTCTCCTCTGAAATCGGAGCTAAAGGCATGCAGGCATCCAATCCAAATTCCTACTTGCAAAATGCGTTGTCTGGGATTCGTTCAAACCCCGAAACTCAAGAGTCCCAGGCCACTGAACCGGATGAGAATGGCCCTCCTGCACATGAATCGGCTTCATTTGATGATACAACATATGGAACCCAGGAATCTGCAACGCAAGAACGACCTGAGCTTGTATCTCAATTATCGGCAATAGACAACGCCATGGCGCAAGATATGTGCCTCCCGAGCCCGAGTCTCTCACCGGTCGCTGCTATGAATGCGCTCCATGGCGAATCCTCCTTTGAGTCAGAAGGGCTTGACGTTGATACAGATTCCAGTCTAGATCATAATGTCTCGCGTTTCTCTAAGGCTTTGCGGCTTCAAGATGCAGATGAGACTCGGGTAAATGGTCATTCTCTTCCAAACTCCCAGTCACCTTCCTCACTTTTAGATATGCCCAAGGTGCTGGAGTTCTTTGATTCGGTGCCCGATGAGGTCAAGACGTATCTCATGTATCAATTCCTTCGGAGATGCCCTAAGCCTACTCTCCATTTCGTGGCCGATGTGGTTAACCCAACTTTGAAGTGCGACTTCCTAGCTCTTTTGCCGCTTGAGCTTAGTCTCAACATCGTCAAATACCTCGATGTTCAAACCATGTGCCGTGCTGCGCAGGTGTCTAAGAGGTGGAGACACATCACCAATTCTGATGAAAAGAGCTGGAAGAACCTCCTTGACCAGGATGGATATCATCTCTCTGATGGAGAACTAGAACGGGCTATAAGACAGGGATGGGGATGGCAGTTGTCCAGCGGCCCTGAAGATCACGAGGAAGATCTCAGCCTTGTGGCTCTATCCAGGGCAGATATGGAGGTGTCCCCTGTCCCTTCGATGGCGGGACCCAGCAACAGAAGCCCTCTGGGTTCTCTGCCAATCAGCCGACGAGCCAAGCGGAAAGCAAACACGCGTGCTTCAAGCCGGAAGCTTGCCAAGCGGAAGGTCTCATCCAGTGGGGGAGAAATCGCCGATCCAGACTGGAAGAAAGATATTGCTGCGTCTGAGGCTCCATACGCCGCAGCCAACGCCGCAGCTGCCGCAGTGCCCTATGCTGAAGTAGGTCTACCGTCCCTCCGTGGACTGTTCCTCTTCAAGGTCCTCTACCGTCGCCATGTTGCCATTCACAAGGGATGGATGCAACCGGATGTCAAGCCACAGCATATTGCTTTCCGTGCTCATGACCGCCATGTTGTTACTTGCCTGCAATTTGACGCGGATAAGGTTCTTACCGGAAGCGATGACACTAATATCAACGTGTACGACACCAAAACAGGTGCATTGCAGGCAACATTGGAGGGACACGAAGGTGGAGTGTGGGCTCTTGAGTATCACGGCAACACGTTAGTCTCTGGCTCTACTGATCGCTCAGTGCGAGTCTGGGACATCGAACGGGCCAGGTGTACTCAGATCTTCCACGGCCACACCTCCACCGTCCGATGCTTGCAAATCGTCCTGCCTACTGAGGTTGGTAGGGATGCAGGTGGTCATCCTGAGATCATGCCCAAAGAACCATTGATCATTACTGGGTCTCGGGACTCGAACCTTCGGGTATGGAAGCTTCCAAAATCCGGTGACCCAGTTTACTACCAGAGTGGTCCTACCGTAGATGACGCTAGCTGTCCATACTTCATGCGTGTGCTCTCCGGCCATCAACACTCTGTTCGTGCAATTGCAGCCCACGGTGATACCCTCGTAAGTGGTAGCTACGATTGCACGGTGAAGGTCTGGAAGATTTCCACCGGACAGACTTTACACACTCTACAGGGTCACTCGATGAAAGTGTATAGCGTGGTTCTTGACCATAAGCGCAATCGTTGCATCAGTGGAGCCATGGACCACATGGTAAAGGTGTGGTCGCTAGACGATGGAGCCGTCCTATACAACCTCGAAGGCCATACCTCCCTCGTTGGTCTGCTCGCTTTAGAGCATGATTTCCTTGTCTCGGCTGCCGCTGATTCCACCCTCCGAATCTGGGACTCCGTGCATGGCCACTGCAAGAACACATTGAGTGCGCACACTGGTGCCATCACTTGCTTCCAGCATGATGGGCAGAAGGTCATCTCGGGCTCTGATCGGACACTGAAGATGTGGGATGTACGAAACGGCGAATGTGTTCGAGACCTCCTCACAGACTTAAGTGGCGTGTGGCAAGTCAAATTCAATGACCGGAGATGTGTTGCCGCAGTGCAACGTGACAGTTTGACTTATATCGAAGTAAGTGTTCTCTGAGGAGGCATTCCAATCCTTTATGCTAATATTGCTTCCACCCAGGTTCTCGACTTCGGTGCTGCACGGGATGGAGTCCCAGAAAGCAAGCTTGCGAAACGCATTGTCGTCAACCGACGTGGACAGGAGGTCCTCAGCGGAATCGAAGATGATGACTCCTTGTCTGATTGAGAGGTCTACCTACTTAGGTAGGCTGCATTTCTCTTCGACCGCAAGTCGATATCTCAACCTCTGATAACCCTCCTCATGCTACTTACGCCCTTTCCTCTATTTTCTTCTCTTCTCACTCTATTCCCCCATTCACGATACCCATCCTTACAGCTCTCGTCTTCCATCGGAACAAATATCCTTTGCATAGCGTGGTCGGCATTCTTTGGTCTTGCAGCATTACGATAAGGGGCCTGGCGTTGTTTTTTTCCCCCATATCTTTTTCATCATCTCTTATGTGGAGGTTTTTATCATTCTGTATTCACAAATATTTGCCTATCCTCATGCATACTGTCATACGTTTTCTTTGTCTTTGCCTGATTCGTATGTGACTTCACATTCTGTTGCCTACCAGATCAGTGATTCTTTTACATATTTTTCGCCTTGCTTTGTCCGTATCGGACTGCTCATAATAGATTGATTATGATCTTTATCTCGAGTTCTGTCATGAGTTTTGTTGGCTTAAGCTTTCAATGTTTGTTGTAATTGTATTGGGTATAGTACATATGTATTCTGCTCAGCAGCTAGCTCTAGATAGCGAAGCATTCAACTGCTTCGAACATGAACCACAGTGTTGCTTGTCGGTCTAGATATGCTATCGTAGACCCATGCCGGCTAGTTCGTGATGGTGTATGATAGCTCCGCAAACCCTATATGAGGATTGGCTACCATGTTCAAGAAAAGCCGCATATCTCAATCATCGCTCTAGAAAAGCAACGAAATATATACAGTCTCATTTCTAGTCCATAGGTGCGTGTGCTTGGGGAAGGGCTAATCAGACCTGACTAGCCGCTCTAAGGAGTCAAGTCTAAAAACTCAACGGGTATAGTTTCGAATTCGGACAACACGACATGCCCTTTCACGACAAAGTAGCCGATGTCTCTGCAGCAGTCGGCACAGCGAGCCGACCACCCTGCAAGCTCCCATCAATCCCGGCAGCAGACAAAATCGACCAACGAACAGCATCGATACCCAACGACCGTCCAGGACCAATCTTTGCCTCGGCACTACAAGTCAAAATCTCACCCAAAGACCCAGGTCCCTCCGAAGCACGCGGGTCTGGCTGCACAATGGGTTTGATACCATGTAGCAAGAGCTGTAACCGCTCGAGATTGGCGGGCGTGACACCAGTCTTTATCTGCTTCAATTGTCTAACAAGGAACTTGTCGACCTTGGATAAAATGATCTGGTGTGGGATTGCGTGGTGTCGGAATAGTCGCAGGATCTCGGCGTCTGTTTGCTTGATGCCATGCGTACTGTCGATGAGGAGGAATGCGCGACGGAGTCTATAATATAATAATCTTCGTCAGTCATTGAACACCATGGGTTGGTAGGTTTGTTTCATGTGTTCCATGTTCAACATGGGATAGGAATCATAACTCACTGTTTCCGTCCTTGGAGATACTTCATAATCTCTGCTCCCCACTCAGATCGACTCGCCTTTCCGTATCCCGGCATGTCAAGCAGTACAACCTTCGACTCGCCGCCCTTGGTCCCTCCAATCCCGAACGCGTTCATTTCTCTCGTCCGACCTGGTTTCGATGAGGTCCAGCAGATCTCCTGTCCCATTATTGCGTTCAACAGTGAACTTTTGCCAACATTTGACCGGCCCAAGAATGCGACTTCGGGCTCGACTGATGCAAATGGTGTTGTGCGGAATTTGGCCGCGGACCAGAGTTTGAGCGGTGAATGACGCGACGGCGTGAAGACCTTATCGGCGAAGGCTAATTGTTCCTCTTTCGGTGGTCTTGTATCCCAGTAGTAGCAGAGGTCGGACGGGGTGAGGTCTTTGAGTTCGCGCTTGGAATTGGGATTCGAGGATGAGGATAGAGCTCGTATGGTTGTATATAATGATATCCTGGATGCAGGGTTCCTGCATTTTGATATTGAGTTCATCATGACTCTCGAATTCCCCGAAAAAGGAGTCGACAAAAAGCCAAATAAAAAAAAAGTAGAGTTGATATCGATTTCTCCAGATCGGCGCACGGAGCAAGTCGCCCGAGCCAAGACCGCATCATCAGCTATCGCATCCAGATAAGCCTGACATTCTTCCCGACTTCCAAGATCGTTCCATACCTCACCAGTCAAGATGATCAACGCAGTTCTCGTCTTCAATAATAATGGCCAGCCCCGGTTAACCAAGTTCTACACACAGCTGGTGAGTCGGACCCCCCTCCCCCCGCATTCGCGCACCCGCACAGGACGAACTCCAAACTAACCCCATAAACAGGACACGCAAACGCAGCAATCCCTGATCGCGCAAATATACCGTCTAGTCGCGCAGCGTCCAGCAAGTGCGTGTAACTTCCTCCCACTCCCACCTCTCCTCTCGCAAGGCGCTAGCTCCTCCGCCTCCGGGCCCTCCGATACCCCCACGCAAATCACATACCGGACCTACGCAACGCTGTCGTTTATCATGATCTCTACGTCGACTGAGTCCCCGCTTGCTTTGATCGATCTCATTCAGGTATTTGTCGAGGCGCTGGATCGCATGTTCGAGAATGTCTGCGAGTTGGATCTTATCTTCGGATATGAGACTCTGCATGCCGTGCTTGGTGAAATGATTGTTGGTGGTGTTGTGGTTGAGACGCATATTGAGAAGATTATTGCTGGTGTGCGGGGTCAGGAGGGATCGTTGGGGAAGAAGAAGGCTGTTCAGGCTGCTAGTACTAGTTTGGGTCGTGGGGCTTTGCCTGGGTTGGGGGCTTGGAGGTGATATATGGGGGATAGGCACTTTGGTCTTTTGATGACCTGCATGTTGATGGATCTGAGGATTATTAAGTCCTATTTGGTCTATCTAAGGCGTTCTGGTTACGCATTCTAGACTTGCTTTCGCAGGATTCGGGGTGATGCTTTGGACTTTTCGGTTATAGATGCCTTTTAATGATGTATTCCCTGACATGATTGTACATTGTGAGATTTTGTAAGAGCCAAATACTCATGTCTTCAACGTATGTCAAACCGGATTTCACGGGCATGTTTCTTAGGCTGTAATTTTTGAGAAGGACCACCGAGCCCTAAATGTTGCGGTGCTTGGTTGGTAGGAGGTTTCGGCAAAAGCAGAAAGCCTGTGGCCGGAGGTTCGATGCTATTCAGTGTTGCGGAATTCGTATTGCCAAATGGGCGGCCAAGCAGGAGATATTCGCCCCCGGTCCATAGAAGAAGGAAAAACATCCAAGCTAGATCACTCCACGGCGGAAAATTTCTGCGTCGTCCTGCTTGATTCCTTCGCGGGCAAAGTGGAGTCAGTCCAATCGAAGAGTCTTAGGGAAAGACAATTGCTTCAAATGGGCGTAAGAGTCAGCTCCCTCGCCTAGGAGTTAGTAGCGATATTCTCCTCTCCCTTGTCGTGTCGCCAATAAGTTGAGGTGCTGATGTTTCACGTATCTTTAAGATGCGTCGAGAGTAAAGTCCTTACGGGTTCTTTGGCGCCGTCACTCCCACATTGGCGCATTGCACGTAGAATTTAAAGTGGTATTGGTGGGCCATTGGTATTGCCTAGATCAGTAGCGGGCTGGACTGAATCACACCAGCTCGATTTCAGACCCGTTCATATCTGCGAGGATTCCCCATTAGGAGTGTGGGGTGTGCTATCTTGCGATATAGTATTACTTTCTAAAGTTCTAACGCGACATCCAGTCCCTAGGTATAGATCAACATATGATGTGAGAGAGCTTACCATATGTGGGGTCCACGAGTGGCCCTAGGCCTAGGGGGAAAAAGGACGACACGGCCAATCCAGAGCTAGGGTAGAGTAGGGCCGATCTTTCCGTACATCCGATGATTAGCGTGCTGTCATTCGAACAGTAGACTGTATTTCGACATCATTTCAATTGACGTCAATTTGTTCTGAGAGATGTGAGGGGAATTAGAAGACCAAGGAACCTTTTTTTTATTTCTGGTATTTATAAGAGATTACAATATTAAATGTGTAGATAATTGAGGAAAGTACATACATACCTGTGGACCCTCCGTTGCGGCCAGAATCTCACGAGATGGTTGATGTCATGTGATCTATCTCACGTGGAAACTTAAATCTACCCTAGCGTCTTGCCCTAGCCCTGGTCACCTGATTGCGCTAGCGCGACCCACAGAAACTTCATAAGTTGCATCCACACGAACTTTTCCCTTTCTCATCCGTCAACCGTCAACCAGCGCAATCCCAGTCGACAAAATGGTGGTGAGTACAACAACTGTCTCTTGATAACTTCAGAGGCTTCTTCTAGTTATTGCGATGTCTCACGACATTCGCTTTGCTTCAGATCTTTTGATCTAAGCAATTCCGCCGATCGCGCATAGCCTCGAAAGAGATGTGTCGTGCATCGTGTGATGATTTTGGCTGGAAGCATGGAGTCAATGCCCGTAACACGGCTTGGCTCATGTTCTCCTTAGAGTTTCAAGAAGATGCAGCACTATGTGAACAGCACGCTGATCTTCTTCCTCAATGATAGCCTCCTAAGTCCGGAAAGAAGACCGCCGCTCTGCCCTACCCCCAGGGCAAGGCTGGCGCTGGCAAGAAGGCTGCCAAGGTACGTTTTCTCTTTCCCCTTTTAGGAGTGCATTGAGTTCTTGAAGATCGCTAACCGTTCTACCACAGAACCCCCTTATCGAGAAGCGCTCTCGCAACTTCGGTATCGGCCAGGACATCCAGCCCCGTCGCAACCTCTCCCGCTTCGTCAAGTGGCCCGAGTATGTCCGTCTTCAGCGCCAGAAGAAGATCCTGAACATGCGCCTGAAGGTTCCCCCTTCCATCGCTCAGTTCCAGGCCACTCTCGACCGCAACACTGCTGCCCAGACCTTCAAGCTCCTCTCCAAGTACCGCCCTGAGACCAAGGCCGAGAAGAAGGAGCGTCTCGTCCAGGAGGCTACCGCCGTCTCCGAGGGCAAGAAGAAGGAGGATGTCTCCAAGAAGCCCTACAACGTCAAGTACGGTCTCAACCACGTCGTCGGACTCGTTGAGAACAAGAAGGCTTCCCTCGTCCTCATCGCCCACGATGTTGACCCCATTGAGTTGGTTGTCTTCCTTCCCGCTCTCTGCCGCAAGATGGGTGTCCCCTACGCCATTGTCAAGGGTAAGGCCCGTCTCGGCACAGTCGTCCACAAGAAGACCTCCGCCGTTCTCGCCCTGACCGAGACCCGCGCTGAGGACAAGGCCGAGTTCGCCAAGCTCCTCTCCGCCATCAAGGAGGGTTACACCGACAAGAACGAGGACTCCCGCCGCCACTGGGGTGGTGGTATCATGGGCGCCAAGGCCAACGCCCGCATCGAGAAGAAGCAGAAGGCTCTCGCTGCCGCCATCAAGGTTTAAGTTAAGCTTGTGTAACTACAGCTTTTCTTCCTTTGATGTCTGTTTGACGGGATCGTTTTCTAATCGAAGCGCTCGGATCTCAAAAATAATGAGTTGTTATGGGAAACAACGAGGTGTTGAAGGCTTTGACGATCTATTGACGGCCAATTCTTTTAGCTTTAGATGGGTGCGAAAGAGCCCTTTGGCCCTTTTTGGATCCTGTTCTAACAAAAAAAGACACATTTTTCTCTCACGAACTCCAATGGCCCCATGTACCAACTTTTCTGCAGATACCCATGAATGCATTTCTCTACCTGTTCAATCTATTGATGGCCTTTGTAGTCCCATCAGAACTAGGCATTCATGTCGTCTGCTTTGTATTTGTAGTATTTGTATATGAGTGTGCTGGTTGTAGTCTATAGTCTGTCTATACGAGTGTTTTATGGTGGAGATGGTAGACAAAACCTTTCAGACGAAATCTCTTCATCTGCCAATGCCCTGATCAGCACTATTTTTTACCCAATCGAGATTTTCATTTCTCCTCGGATTTGTGTGGGATCTGCGAGACAGCGACACCTGCCAAGAATACCAAGTCTTTATAGTGCCGTCTTGGCACATATCTTAAACATGTCTGCATACTTCTATCAAACAGTCTTGCATGAAAGAAACAGGCTATATGGTAGTTGATTAAAGCTTTAAGAGTACTGCAAGACTGTGCAGGCTGCATAGTATATATATAGTGGTGGGGTGGAGGGGTAAACCCCCCCCTGAAAAGTATTTTCGCTCCAAGCTACACGGAATATATATAGACATAACATTCAAGTGTATTCATATTTCATATCACATACTCAGGAGACTATCTAGAACTGGTTTCCGTTGTTGTCATACGCCTCGTGAACCTGCTCACGAGCCTGGTACTTGGCCTTCTCCTTGTCGAAGAAGTCCAATCCCCTGGTCTCGACCTCACGGTCGACAAAGGCACCGGCGAATCCAGCGAGGATCTCCTTGGCCTTGGCGTGGCTCTCAGGCTCGCCTGTTACAGAGAAGAAGAAGTATTAGCTTTACTGTCTCTAGACTTGGGGTTGTGTACCGGATGGTCAAAAGAATGGAGTGAATGGGGATTGTATGTACCGTTCTGAGCGACGTGGTTTTCGTAGGCCTTGGCTGCCTCGTAGCTGGCGGCACCGGCAATCAGCTCGTGGATCACGGAGGGATCGTGCTCCTGCTGGCCGTTGTAGGTGTTGTAGGCCTGAGCCTGATCGGAGTCGTCTAGGTAGATGTGTGTTAGTGGAAGGTGGTATCAAGGAAGGGTAAAGGGGATACTCACCACTGAACCAGCCCATTTTGAATTGAATTGTTTAAGAAAAGTTGGTGAGAGAGAATAGTAGAGGGGAGAAGTGAAACATGAAGAAGAGGGGTAGTCTAGTGGCTTTTATACTCTTCCACTAGTGCCACTTTATCATTTACGGTCACATCATTGAGGGGCATAGGCTTCCGAGGGCCAGTCATACAAGGCCACACTAACTTTGGTCTAGTCAGAATATAGATGAAACAGAGGTGTACAGCATATATGCAAGACAATCTCTATTCAGAAGAGAATTAGGAAGATAGCAATAACAAACAGGTTCATTACACTCCTCAGATAACCTACACCCGGGAAACCGATAATCGAGCAGAATGAGAGAAGACAAGGGTGGTATGATGAAATTACAATGAGATCCAGAGGTCCACGGCCAAAGCATAAGAAGAAAAAAAAAAGTACAAAGAAACCCAAAAGCCAGCCCTATGCTCCCAGAAGACCAGAGATGCTCACCGCCGATTTTTTCCAATATGAATGATGACACTGAGGAACCCCGTCTAAAGACACAAGTTGAAGCAAAAGCAAGCGAAGAAGGTGTATAATGTGAAGAAGGACGAGACATAAACGTGATCGCGGTCATTTGGTCATTAACGTTGAGGAGGTCGTGAAAGCCCTTGGCGTACCTGCGTTTTTGTTAGCCAATTCCACGAGTATTTGGATAAGCAACCACTCACCTTCATTTGTTCAATTCTCGCCTTCAATTGGCTGGTGACTTCCGCAGCTCGCTTCCAGTTCTCTGCCGGCTCAGAAGATCTGGGCTGCTGCTGGTGGTCGTCTTCGGTGAAATTTGTGTTGGAGTTACGGGCGGACGAGCGCGTCGGGCTACCAACCGCAGAGTAACCGTATGTAGGACTCAAATTGCGTCGGCCTAGGCCACCATTACGACTGCTGAGTCCTGGTGATTCCATGCCATTGTTCTCTCTCTCCTCACTGGGAGTAGCAGAGGCGTAGCTTCGAGGACGCGAGCTGTCAAAGCGGGATCCCATATGAAGACCAGATCGTGCAGCAGCGTTGCCGTTGCCGAGGTGATCTTGGTAGATGGAGCTTGTGTCCGGCACACCCATGCTTCCTGCGTCGGAGGCAGCGTTAGGTGGGCTTATGGCAGAGGCACGAAGTGCTCGTGCGAGTTCACGCTTCAATCTTTCGATCTCTCTCTGTTGTTTTTGAACACTTCCCTCCGCGGTTTCCGCGTCACTGCGTGCTCGAACAAGTTGAGTCTCCTTCGCCTTGATGCTCAAGACATCGCGGGTATGGTCCTCAATCAGCTGTGCATTTTGGTTTTGAAGTTCAGTGATCGTCGAGTTGAGCCTTGAACGCTCGGCCTTCATATCTTCCACGGTTCGGTTGAAGTTCTCCTTCTCCGCACGTAATTCCTCTAACTCAGCACGATCGGCGGCCGACATAGCATTGGCTGCAGGTGAAGGAGCAGGGGCAGGTTCAGCAGGCGCTGACGGTCTGGCAATGGGTCGACCCGCAAGGCCACGGCCAAGACCGAACTTTGGAGCGGCTGGCGGGGGAGCCACATCCTCTTCTGGGGGTGGAGCAACTCGTCTTGATGGTGACGCAGTGGTTCCAGGACCAGCAAGCTTCCGTTGCAGCTTGAGACCTGACCCAGGAGTTGGAAGACCGCCGGCCTTCGGAGCACCGAGCTTTGAAGGGATTCCTCTGGCCGCAGGCCTGGCTGGGGGTTCCTCTGGGGGAGGTGGAGCAGCTACAGGGGCTAGTTTCTTCAGCCCCGATGGCGGCTTCTTGCCAACGACCTTCCTCGCAGCCGGGGCAGCAGGCTTTGGGGGTGCGATAATAGCCTTGGGTCGCTCCTTGGCCTTGACTTCAGCGGTGCCGAAGTACTCTTTGATCTTTGTCTTCCGAATCTCATCAAGTCCATCGAGATACGGGTTCATGGCCCGTTCACCAAGAATCTTCATTAATGTACCCAGGATTTCAGCAGCTCCTTCACGGATTGCCGGGGCTGACTCGGTCAACAACTTTGTGCCGGCATCAGCGATCGCTTTCTGCTCTGGCTTGGCTGGTACCGTCCGGGTTGTGCGCAAGCAACGAACCAAGAACTTGACAGTTTCCTGCTTGATCTGTGGGTTCTTGTGCTTAAGATACTCAAAGATTTCTTCCAAGCATTCCGTAAGGGTTGTCGTGGAGAAGACAGCATCCAGTGCCTGGCCCAAAGCATCTGCGACAGTCGTCTTCTTTTCTTTCAAACGTTCAAACATGGGCGCCATAATGGTACTTCGGTATTTGGTAAATCCGCTGCGAAGGCCTTTGGCCAGCACGTCCACACAATTTGCAGCTACCGTGGCGACAGCGACGTTGGCGTCCTTCATGGATTTGGCCAATCCTCGCACAATATCATCATAGGGGCCGTCTTTGATTCGGGGAACGTTGATAACGTTATAGAGAGCGTCTAGCGCTTCCTTGCGGTCCTTCCATTTTGACGAGGCCAATTGATCATGGAAGTCGGCAGGAATTTTCTTCATGACATCAACCGGTTCCGCCAGGTCGAAGGCATCAACAACCACCCCATCCTCCTCCTCATCAAAGTCGTCACCGGCTGGTTCTTCACCCTCCTCGCCTGCCGGTGCAGCGCTGGCCGCGGCCATAGCATCTTGTTGTGCCCGAGTGAATCGCTCTTGCTTCGGTGTGGGATCCTGCTTCACAGCTTCGAATAGTTTCTCCAAATCTCCCTGTTGTACAGGCTTCAATTCGGCCCAGAACAGAGGCTTGATGGCCTCCCGAAGCCACCGATAGAGTTCCACAGTCAAGTTTTGTGCCTCTGCGCGGACATTTTTATCGGCATGGCCGAAAACCTTGGTCAGTGCCTTCAAAGTTTGCTTCGGGTCAACGATCTTGCAGCCGAAGTTGTGGTAAATGAGGGTTAAGGCTGCGAGAGATGCGGCGACCACCTTGGGTACTTTGTGTGATAGTATGGGTAGAAGCTCCTCGATCACTGCGTCGGCCTTGTCCAATTCGACACATAATAGAAGAGCTTCCTGGGCGCTAGCTTTACCGGCCGGTCGTGTAGATGGGAGACCTTTCTCAGCAAGTGGGCCAATTGTATATGTGCGGGTCCTGTGAATGGGAATGTTGTTAGTGGATTCAGGATGGACTAAGAAGACCGTCGTGATTGGGACCGGGGGTTGACGCACCTCGTGCAGGCCTGGGCTCCTCCGAATTTCAGAAAGGCGCAGTATGCTGCAAGACCTTCTGACTGTGCGGCGACGTTGGAATCTGCAACCGCCCCTTTGAACAGGCCGGGATCTTGTATAAATGGCACAAATACGGGGTCTGTTTCGTCGGGGGTCTTTTCAAATTGCGCTTTCGCATCTTCGTATCCTTCCTTTCGGACTTTCCAGTTCTGTATATCGGGGTTAGACTTTCCAGTAATTCCATCAATTGGGCTGGATATGCGGGAATGAGCGCACCTTGTGAGCGAACCGGTCGGCCAAGGGTAAGGAGGAGAAGTCCTCTGTGGCTTCAGCCATTCTGATGGGCGAAGGACGGGACTATCAGCGGATTCTAGGAAGGGAAGTGGTCAGCACTTTCTGCAGTGTCCGATTAGAAGTGCGCATAGCAACAGAAAAGGTCCCGGAGAAAGAGAAATGGGACCGAGTTGGGTGTTGCGGGGGGTCTCGGGAGTGTCTCGGGGGGGTTCAGGTGATCGTACTGTGTTCGGTTGATGCCCAAGGGTATCAAAGGCAGAGTTGTCTTGGACAATAAGACACTAATGACTAGAACATGAATTATCCAAGTCAAAGGGTCAAACTGTATAATATTTGACAGGGGTGGCTGATAATAGTTGAAACACACGGGGTTTAAAGAAAAATAAACAGTTGAAGTTGAAGGAAAGTAAACAAAAGCCTTGGCGAAGAGTGTTTTGTTTAATTCCCCCCCGCGGTGGATCTCAACTTGTTCTTCATATCTTCTCTTCTCTTTCTTTTTATTCTTCAATTCCTCTACTTCTCTTGGATCAATTCGCCAATTCGTCAATTCTCCAATCTTTCCCCCAACTCCCCTTATTCGCCGACACCGCTCCCACCTACTTCCCCTCCATCGCACTTTTCCGAACCAATTTGGTGTATGCGCATTTGGATAAACGGAGAGAGCAGAGAGCACATATAACATCATGAGCCAACTTCTTACGTCGCGGCAGGCGGAGGAGCTGTATGTGACCCTATCTGGTTCCATTAGGGGTGATCGCTGATGGTGTTTTGCGACAGACATAAAGGAATAATCGCCTACCTCACCTCTGTGAATTTGCACCACAGCTCCGCCGCTTTACGAGAAGAACTAGGCGACTCGATCCGAGTCGATGAGACCACACTTAAGAAATATGAAGGGCTCTTGGAGAAGAAATGGACGAGCGTAGTCCGGTTACAGAAAAAGGTGCGAAGACCAGGCACACCACAAGCCTTCCTCTTGTTAACCTGCCATTCGGGTACAGATTATGGACTTGGAAGCACGATGCGCTTCACTCCAGTCTGAGCTGGACACTGCAACCCCGACTTCTCTGAATCGCAAAAACCAAGACCCAGTTTCCTGGCTGCCTCGCGCACCAGCGCGCCACGATCTCCAATCGCACCGCTCGCCGGTATCGTGTCTCGCTTTCCATCCAATATTCTCTTCATTGGCCTCCGGCTCAGATGATACCACAATTAAGATCTGGGACTGGGAGTTGGGTGAACTAGAACGCACAATCAAAGGACATACCAGGGCAGTGTTAGACGTCGACTATGGAGGACCGCGCGGAGGCACACTTCTTGCATCATGCTCGTCAGATCTAACGATCAAATTGTGGGACCCGGCTGACGAGTATAAGAACATCCGAACGCTACCAGGGCACGACCACAGCGTTTCAGCAGTTCGGTTCATTCCATCTGGAGCTGCAGGGTCTCCCATGTCAGGAAACCTGCTAGTCTCGGCTTCTCGCGATCTCACACTGCGCATATGGGATGTCACAACTGGATATTGTGTCAAATCCATGTCGGGTCATGGAGATTGGATTCGAGATGTTACACCATCCCCAGACGGCCGGTTCCTCTTCTCCGGTGGAGATGACCGAGTTGCACGTCTGTGGGATATCTCATCTGGTGATACTAAGTCAACATTCCTAGGCCACGAACACTATATCGAGTGTGTGGCCTTCGCCCCGCCAACAAGCTACCCTCATTTGGCAGCTATTGCGGGGCTAAAGAAGCCACCACCAGCGTCGTCATCCGCCGAGTTTGTGGCTACAGGTTCTCGCGATAAGACCATCCGTCTCTGGGATACCCGTGGAAACTGCATCAAGACTCTTGTTGGCCACGACAACTGGGTCCGCTCATTGGTCTTCCATCCCGGTGGGAAATATCTTCTCTCAGTATCTGACGACAAGACTTTGCGTTGCTGGGATCTCACGCAAGAGTGCAAGTGTGTACGCAAGATCGTGGCTCACGACCATTTCATCAGTTCTCTTCGGTGGGCACCACCTTTGGTTAAGGATGCTGGCGCAAATGAGGGTGCGAAGGGTGCGAACGGTGCCGAGGCTGCATCTAATGGGGCGAAGGTAGACCCCAATGCCACAAAGATGTCCATTCGATGCGTCCTGGCGACTGGCAGTGTTGATCTCAAGGTCCGGGTCTTCGCGGCATGAGCTTCGATTTGAGTTAACAGCGAGGAGCAATGGGAAAGAGATGATGTTGGGCAACACCAAAAGCTTGAGAGGGATAAACCCCCATGTCCAATCGATTGAGGGAACACTGCGTCCCTTGCCGGGGCCATACCTCCAAGCTAAGGGTTTCAGGATTTGACGGGCACAGTTTGCCGTTTCTGGGTAAAGGAGTTGGTTATTCTTCCATGATACCAGTGACTTTCTTTCTTTTTTGCAAATGATTAGGGGATTGGACTAGACAACATCGTCTAGACTAACCCCATGTTTACGATGTACGCTGTTGGTTGTTTTGTATTTTGATATTGACGGGTGGTTTCTCTCCTTCTTTCTCTTCTCATACATACTTTAGACCTACCTTTAGTTGGAAGATCCATCCCAGGAATACAACATATCACGATGCCAATGAAAAATAAATTGAAGCGGTATAATACAGTACATAACCTCCGATATGCAACACCACGGAGGCCGAAGGACAAACCCGACACTTCAAATACTGAAGCCCGTCCCAAAAAGAGCTAAACGTACAGTTATTGTGATGAAAGGCAAACAGCTCAGTTCTCAGCCTCCTTCAGTCTCTCCTGAGTAGCCCTCTCACTCTCAGCCACTCTCTCCTGCACAATCCTCTTAACCTTCCCGACGCGCTCATTCTCCGCATGAATCCGATGAATCAACTGCGCAGTAGAAAGCACCTCACCCTGAGGCACAGGCACACCCGCCTTAGCCGCCTCCTTCACAAGATCCACCTCACGACCCAGCCGCTTCGACTCACGACGGAGATACTTCGCCGCCCAGCGTGTCTCACGCTCAGCCTCGCGCTCCTCCTTCGAGAGCACAGCAGGACGGTTTTCAATCGCCTCACCGAAAGGAGTGACAATACGCTCGACGACGTGGTGCACATTCCGGCTCTTGGGTGCTCCGGACGAGAACTCGATTATGTCGCCTTCGCGGAGGGAGTTGCGCGGGTCGGAGACTAGGTAGTGGGTTTCCTTGGGGTAGAACTTGCGGATGTGTCGGTCCCAGAATGTGTGACGGTGGCAGACGCGCACTGTGCGGTCCATGCGGCCGACGGAGACGACGGTGCCGGCTTTCAGGGCGGAGGCGTAGTTGCGCAGCCGGGAGGGCGCTTGTGTTTCTGTGCCGATGGTCTTGGGCTGTGTGGGGGTTGGGGTGGTTGTTGAGGCATTGCGGAGGGGAGTGGTGATGTATGTGGTTGATTGGAGGATTGAGGGGCGTGTCAGGGACAGAGGTGTCGTGATTGAGGCGCGGAGAGGCATTGTTGCCCGGAGGAGGTGGCTTGGTGCCATTGTTGGTGGGGAGCAGGCGGTTGCTCTTCCAATTGTAGTTGGATGGGATTGGAGGAGACGAGGGATGGGAGATGGTCAAGCACGCGAATGGTTTGTGGTAATGGTGACCGCCCAAATGGTTGCGAGCTTGAGGTGTTTGGCGTTGAGGATTTCGAGAATTTCTCGGGGAAGCATGTTTGCTCTGTTTGCACTCTAGTATAAAGCGTCGACTTGGATGAAGGAGTAACTGGGCAATCGAATAGCAAAATCCTCCTATTTAAGTACATAAATTGCATCTGCACTTCTTATGGTTTGAATACTTCTTTGGAGGGTCTAATTCCCTTAAATAGATTTTCCATCTCCGTTCCAACCGCTACATTGTCCCTCAGACACCTAGGACCATCACGAGGATGTGTTTTTTTTTTTGCTCAGAAAACGAATCACCCTATAGCTACTATATGACTAATATAAATTATGAAAGTTGCAGGCCCAGCCTTGGAGGTTTGCTAATTGGAAGAATATTCATGGATATTGGGGTACTACATAGATGAACAACCTCCCCTACAGACTTCCAGTGAATATAAGATGCCACCCTGACAGGCTTCCAGCTAATGTCTATACAAGTCTTACAGTTCTACATACCAAGGTCCAGTCCAGATGCCCACGCGAGCACCCAGCCCAGTTTGGCTCATTTGCCCATGCCTACCTACTTTGTCTTCACAACAACCAAATGGGGATATAGTTACATTCTGTTCAAATTTCTTGCTAACATAGAGGAACAATTAATCCGAGTCGGGTCCGGCTATTCTGATATGTCTGGTCTATGTTGTAGAAGTGAAACCCATCCTGTATACAGAAATCACATTTTAGAAAAAAAAAAAAGAAAGATAAAGGCAGAAACCAATGAGAAACCTCTAAGAAAATACATTTCGCCTCATCCATGTTCGTGAAGGCCATCTAAGTTTCATTGAAACACCCGTTCCGATTGCAGAGCACACATGTCTCGGAAGAAACATCAAAGATTATTACGCATTACGCGTCTTGCGTCGTGGGTGGCACATCGGTTTCGTTTGCATCTGATTCCGCCAATTTCTTGGAGTGGAATTTATCGGCAGAGTGTGCTGATATCCGGGTGAGTTCGGTGACGAAGGATTGGCCCCAGAATGCGCTAGAAAATGGGTCAGTTGGAAATGGAATACAAGAGAAGGGATGGTCCCGGCAGCGCGACGGGTAACATACCTAGTGTACTTGGAAACGTATCTGTCCAACTTGGCAAAATTGAGAGCCCTCTGTTCATCGCTCATGGTCACGGCTTCTTGGTAGGCGCCTGCTAATTCTTCGGTGTTCCAGGGGTTCACAATGATACTGCCGTTCAGACTCTGGGCTGCTCCGGCGAATTCAGAAAGCACCAGAACTCCATGGCGTTTCTGTTGGGTGGCGATGTACTCGTATGCGACCAGGTTCATGCCATCACGGGTCGATGAGACAATGCAGGCATCTGATACGGCGTAGAGAGCGATGAGCTCGTCGAAGTTGACGGACTTGTGCAGGAAGTGGATAGGTTGGAACTCGACCGTGCCTTGAAAGATGATTAGACCCGTTCAGAACACCACAGTCAGAACACCAAACAAGAATACTTACCGAACTTTCCATTGATCCGACCCACCAGTTCGTTCACCACAGCCCTCAAATTCTGGTATTCCTCGACATCCTGCCGACTGGGGACGGCGACTTGTACAAGAACGACCTTCCCAACCCATTCTGGGTGGTCACTGAGGAACACTTCAAGGGCGTGCAACTTCTGGGGCACGCCCTTGATGTAATCAAGACGGTCGACACCGACCATCAGCTTCACACCCTGGAACTTCTGCTCCAGCATGGCAATGCGCTTCTGGACCTTCTCCTTCTTCAATCCTTCCTTGAACTTCTCAGGGTCAATGCCAATGGGGAAGGCTCCACATGTAATAATCTTGCCCTGGAATTCAATGCCATTGGGCGTAGTTGCAAGGCCACTAATCAAATTAGATATGGACTCCAGAACGTGCAGGGTATACTAACAGTAGACGTGAGCAACTGCTCAGGAAATGGCGCGTGTAATCATAAGTGTGGAAGCCAATCAGGTCGCAATGTAGGACACCCAGGAGCAGTTCATTCCGCACGGGGAGGATTCGGTAGATCTCACTGCTAGGGAACGGTGTATGTAAGAAGAAACCGATCTTCACGTTCTTCTTGCTATCGCCAATCTCCTCGCGCAGCATCTCGGGAAGCAGCATCAGGTGGTAGTCGTGAACCCAAATCAGATCGCCATCCTGTACTTCCTTCGCGATAGCCTGTGCAAAAAGACGGTTCGCTTCCTTGTAAGCTTCCCAGGCGGACTCGTCGAAGGTGATCTCGCCGGGGTGGTAATGGAACAGAGGCCAGAGGATGGAGTCTATCCGAAAGAACAAGGTATCAGTGTACATTCCAGGGGCTTTGCGGGAAGGAGAAACTGACTGGAGAACCCATTGTAGTGTCGATCTGCTAGGTCATCATCAATGAAGACGGGTACAGCGCCATATTCTTCCTTGAGGCGCTGCTTGACGACAGGGATCTCGGGCTCGGGAACCTCCAGACCGGGCCAGCCGTACCACTGGAAGGTGGTTGATTTTGAGAGGCCACTCAGACCACTGACCAGACCTCCGGAAGACATTGAGAAATCATATTTCCCATCATCAGACCGCTTGATTGTGATCGGCAAACGGTTCGAGACCAGAAGCAGGCGAGCTTCATTCTTGGGCTCGATGGAAGGCATGGTGATGGACCGGATGCCGGGCGGAAACGGAGGACAGGATTACAGGGATCGGAATAAGAGGTAAAAGTATAGGCAAGGCAAGCTGGGCTCCTGTAGATCCGATAGAACATGCGATTAGAGTCGATTTCATAGGCGGGGAAACCCTTGGAGATCATGACGAATATGAACCAACCTTTGACACAAGTGGATATTTCACTCCGAATGAGCACCCGACTAGCAATCTGTCTCCATAAGATAGCTGTTAGTAGTAATTACCAAAACAAGAAAGCCGAGTGTGAAGAGAGAAAAAAAAGGTGAAGGGTGAGAGCAAAGCGGGGGACCGGGATGCGAACGTCACTCTTGAAATTGTTGGAACTACGTGTGGGCCTCAATATCGCTCACATGGGAGACTGTAGAAAGATATAAGAAAGGAAAGATCTTTTTTTCTATAATTCCAGGTAATTTGGATTTAAATGAGAGATATTTCCAGATCCTTTTTTTTAACTAGACAGGTTTTAATGGTCATTCTGACTCCGCATTGGGTATCGTACTACCAGGCTTGTCCCAGCCAGTTAGAGAGGCGAGTGACCGAGCGCTGACGTCGAATATTATTTAAGATAAACATAATGTATCTGAGTAGGCATCTTTTGAGAGGGTATTTGATATTTGAGATATCTTTTAATATGTCCTTTTAGATATTCTTTTTGCATTTATTTTACTCTTGTCAGGGTTAACGACGGTTTCTATTTATACCCAGAACCTATACAACTCACAAAGCCGACCTCTCTCCTACAAGACTCCATTTCCCAGACTCCGAATCATGAACCGTCCTTCCCTCGTCTTCAAGCTTCATAAGTACCTGTAACACTCCATGCGAAGCCGGTACATGCAAAGACTCGGGAACACCGACGTAGATGCGCTTAACCAACTCAATAGGCGTCCACGCCTGCTTGCGTTCCGGCGAGGACTCGTCGGCCGCGACATCAAGCTTGCCAAACTGCAGAACACGGAGGACCTCGTCTTCCCGCTGCTGTCGGTGCTTGATGTACTCGGTGATCCGCGCGCCGGCGTCCTCGATCACCGCCCCGTGTCCGGGGTATCCCCGGCCTGAGGAGACGCGGTCGCGCATCCGGTGGAGACTGTTGAGGTAGGTTTTGAGGCTTTCAAAGACGGCTGTGCCGTGGCCTAGGACATCTGTAGATTTATGTTAGATATGGCTCTACGTATATTGCGTATCATGTTTCATCGACAGAAGGGTGATTTTAAGAACTGTTGCACCTACTATCACCAGTAAACATAGCATTCTCTTCCTCGAGCAAAAACACCATATGATCAACGGTATGTCCAGGTGTATGGAATGCTGTCAAGGTAGCACCCTCGACGGAAAACACCTGGCCCTCATGGATATCTGCCTGATCGGAATCAGGTTGGTGTTTGAAGATCTGAGCCTGTGGACAGAGTTTGAGTAGATCTGGTACCCCGCTGACATGGTCGCCGTGCCAATGTGTCAGGAGTGCCTGGTGCACCGTTGCTTTTTCTGCTGAGAGCACGGATTGAAGGTTTGCTGCCCATGAGGGTTTGCCTTCGCCTGTGTCTATTAAGATTCGCTGGTGGCCGCGACCAATTAAGTATGTGTTTGTGCCTGGGTATGTGGTTAGGGTGTGTGTTCTGAGCTGAGATGGAGTGTGTGTTGCTTACCTTGGAGTGTGAACTGTATTGGGTTGTGTGCTATTGATCAGCTTGTCATTTTCTAGTGACATCATGGTATCTATCCACTCACCTTCCCTGGATTTCCGCCTAGAATTCTCATGACTGAGGCGCTGAGGCGCTCCACTTCTGGGAGTTGGACGAGCTGGGTTGTCATCTTTGGAGATGGGGTGGAGATGGTAGATGGGAGGCAGGAGATCCTCAACACCTGATCTTTATATATGGCCTGAAGTGCAAATCAGTTGTTAACTGATGGTTGACTTATCATTCAAGATTCGCTAGGCTTATTTGATGCGATAGATAGGTTGTAATGAGATGCAGAGTTGAAAGTTGAGAATATATCAAAGCACTTAACTTGCCGAACCCTATGACGGAATAAGATGATCTGATGGCGTCCAAGTCAATCTTATACTGAAGTCCAACGAACGCGGGGCAGAAATTGTGCCTCGGCAAGCTTATCTCAGCGTTCGATGTGTCCGAGGTGCCATCGGTATATTCGTGAGACTTTCATGGTCTATTAGGCCGAAAATGGTTGGAATACTTTGTATACAAATTTACGACCTACGAAAGGAACAAATTGAAAACAGAAAGGAAATTGTGCATGCATGCCATTCCTAACATACAAAAACAGTGAGATAAAAATCAAAGAGTATATCCATTGAGCCCACCCGGATATCGGGAATCAACGCAAGGCCGAGAAATCGGCCTACAAAAACACAAATTCATTCATAATTTTCCCAGAGCGCAACTCCTCGTATCTGCTCACAAAAGGGACATGGGTAATAGACAGCCAATCCAATGGCTGCCGTATCACACCGTAGTTTTTCAGAAGCATGTATCTGAATTGTTCAACACACAAGAGAACGTAGTTTACACACGCGTCTCGGTCGTAACCGAAAACACTTTAAGGTTTTATTGTTGGGGAGTCATGACAGAAGGAAGGCAGTTTAAGCCTTGCGGGCCATGGTGTTGAGGGCAGAGCCGTCGCGGAACCACTCCATCTGGGACTCGTTGAAAGTGTGGCTGAGGGAGATGTCGAAGGCGGCGCCACCGTCCTTGGGGTGGACACGGAGGGTCATGGGCTTACCGACCTGGAGCTCAGTGCACAGGAGGTCGACCTTGTCCTCGGGGTTGATCTTGTCGTAGTCGGCAGGATCGGTGAAGGTCAGAGGAAGCATACCCTGCTTCTTCAAGTTGGTCTCGTGGATACGAGCGAAGGAGCGGGTGATGATGGCGAGACCACCGAGGTGACGGGGCTCGAGAGCGGCGTGCTCACGGGAAGAGCCCTCACCGTAGTTCCAGTCACCAATGACAACCCACTTGACACCACGAGCCTTGTAGTCACGGGCAGTAGCGGGGACGGCATCGTACTCCTTGGTGAAGTAGTTCTTGACCTTGTTGGCCTCACCGTTCTCCTCGTTGGTGGCACCGATCAACATGTTGTTGGAGATGTTGTCCAAGTGGCCACGGTACTTCAACCAAGGGCCAGCCATGGAGATGTGGTCAGTGGTGGTCTTGCCCTTGCACTTGATCAGAATGGGGATGTCGGTGGCATCCTTGCCATCCCAGGCCTGGAAGCCAGCGAGAATCTGGAGACGATCGGAGGTGGGGGAGACAGCAACGGTGACGGAGGAACGATCGGCGGGAGGAGCCTGGTAGGTGTCACGGCCAGCATCGTAGCCGCGAGTGGGAAGGCCATCACCGGAGGGAGGCTTGAGCTTGAACTCCTTGCCATCCTTGTCCTTAAGGGTGTCGGTGAGGGGGTTGAAGTTGAGAGTACCAGCAACGGTCATGGCGACAACCAGGTCGGGAGAGGCAACGAACGCGTGAGTGGCGGGGTTGGCATCGTTACGGCCAGTGAAGTTACGGTTGTAGGAAGAGATGATGGAGTTGGCCTCACCCTTCTTCACGTCCTTGCGGTCCCACTGACCAATGCAAGGTCCACAGGCGTTGGCAAGGATGACACCGCCGTACTCCTCGAGGGTCTGGAGCTGACCGTCACGCTCGATAGTAGCGCGAATCTGCTCGGAACCAGGGGTGATGGTGAACAGAGACTTGGACTTGAGACCGTGGTCAAGAGCGTCACGGGCGATGGAAGCAGCACGGGACATATCCTCGTAGGAGGAGTTGGTGCAAGAGCCGATCAGACCGACCTTGAGCTCCTCGGGCCACTTGTTGGCCTTGACAGCCTCCTTGAACTGGGAGATGGGAGTGGCAAGATCGGGAGTGAAGGGACCGTTAACGTGGGGCTCGAGCTCATCGAGGTTGATCTCAACGAGCTGATCGTACTGAGCACCCTCATCCTCACGGAGGGAAGCAGCGTACTCGCGAGAGAAGTCACCAATGTGCTGGCGCTTGGTGGCCTTCAGGTAGTCGTACATGCGGTCGTTGAAGGGGAAGATGGAGGTGGTAGCACCAATCTCGGCACCCATGTTACAGATGGTACCCATACCAGTGCAAGACAGGGAGTCGACACCGGGACCGTGGTACTCGATGATGGCGCCGGTACCACCCTTGACGGTGAGGAGACCGGCGACCTTAAGGATGATATCCTTGGGGGTGGTCCAGCCGGACATCTTACCAGTGAGGCGGACACCAATGACCTTAGGGGCCTTCAGCTCCCAAGGGAGACCAGCCATAACATCGACGGCATCGGCACCACCGACACCAATAGCAGCGGTAGCGAGACCACCAGCGTTGGGGGTGTGGGAGTCAGTACCGATGATCAGACCACCGGGGAAAGCGTAGTTCTCAAGAACGATCTGGTGAATGATACCGGAACCGGGCTTCCAGAAACCGATGTTGTACTTGGCGGTAGAGGAGGCAAGGAAGTCGTAGACCTCCTTGTTGATGTCGTTGGCACGAGCAAGATCCTTCTCACCTCCAACCTGGGCCTCAATCAAGTGGTCACAGTGGACGGTGGTAGGGGTCTGGACGCGGTCCATGCCAGCGGACATGAACTGAAGAATGGCCATCTGGGCGGTGGCATCCTGGCAAGCAACGCGATCGGGGCGCAGCTTGAGGTAAGAGACACCACGCTCGATGTCCTGGCCGTGGGGGTCGTCGAGGTGAGAGTAGAGGACCTTCTCGGAGAAAGTGAGAGGGCGCTGCAGACGAGAACGGACAATGTCGAGGTTCTCGGACATCTTCTTGTAGTTGATGTAGTGACCCTGAAATGAAATACGTCAGTCGCTATTGCTTGGAATCGTACTCCACGCCTGGTTCTCGGGCGCTAAGCTGGCAGCCACTCACAGTTTCCTGGTTGGTCATCTCGACCTTCTTGTCGAGGGGGTCAATGGCGGTGGCGAAGGCCC